GTTTCTGTAGACTTCTTAGTTTATTACGATATTTGGCTGGTAACTAGTACATTGTGAACTCAAATCCGTCCTTTGGACTTGGAATCATGCCCTGAGTTGACAGTTACATCAGTCGCTTTTGTACTTATAATATGTGCATTGGTGGAGAAAGCAGTATTTTTTAATGCAGTCCTTAAATGTAACAAACAAGACCAGTGCTCAGGGGACTGAAAATCCTTGAAAATAATGTACACCGTGTCAGTCAGTAGTTTTTAGTGCAAATCTACCCATCTTCACAGTACACTGTCGAATGGTCCACTCAAAGACACAATGTTTCCTAACAGGATTTGGAACATGATGTTTGGAGGTATAATATAACTGCACTCCAACCATCAAATTAAAATAACCTAACATGAAAATAGGACGGTGGTTTAATTTAATGACCATCAAGCCTTGATCATGAGAGCGATAATTTCAACCCACCCATGTTTGAGGGGCAAAACATTTTGGCCGTCTTCGGCTGCTTACGATTGGTAATGAGGAAACCATTTGATGATACAGAAGTTTTTTTACCATATTTGCTGCTTCCTCGATTCGTGTTTTCTACCATATAATGGTTTCATTATTTCAATGAGTCATCCAATTACATACACATTCAGGCGTTCAGGCAAAGACCTGACAGCTAGCGCTCGATAACAACAATAAAGTGAGCAGTAAATAAATAAAGGCTACAGTGAAAATGTCATCTAGAAATTCAGACAAATTAAGTTATTTTCACTTTTACGGAGTCAATAGATATTTATTTAACTTTGCCCTTCAAACTTTCACTAACTAAGGCCTGTTTCGCCGTTATAATTCTTCACACACTGCCTCAAATTCACATGGTTTGTCTGAAGTCTGTTTATTGATTGTTTCGAGTTCTGTCTGCTGATAGACGTGCCTTTTGAAAAAAATAGAACAAAATGGGTTTATCAACCACACTTTAGTGTTCGTTCTGCTGAATATTTTTACTCTCTTCTTTTCAGCACTGCAAATGTAATGCGTAGGGTGAAAGTTGGAACACATGAGTGTTCAGTTAGGTTAAAGTTTGTGCCATTTGCAAACAGGTTATAACACCTGTGAACACATAGAACAGTAACAACACACAAACCCACTTATCAACTTGTTGGTTTATCGGCTTCATTATTCCTTCAGAAAATTTCCCTGTTTCTATACACTTAATAGCCTTATTTAGGTAATATCCTATCGGAAAACGCATGTTGTAAGTTGTTGATCATGGACGTAAGAATGTCTGGAACGTGGTTATATATTATAACTAATCTTAGCGTTATTCAGATCCTTGTTTAACCAAATTTACCCCCTTGTTTACATGTCATATTACGTATCAACATAACTGAATAACTTACTAAAGCAGGTCCTGTAACATTTGTAACATTTTAATTTTGCCCGTAAACTGACATACCCATTGTACCATAATGTCATATGGAAATAGATTATCATTTCCGAACGGCTTGATTGCAGTATCACCTATGGTCGGAGTGGAATAATTAACTGCTTAACCAGTATATGTGCAGTATGACCATGTTCTGCTTTTCATTTGTTTCTATTACGACTAACAACAATTGTGCCAAATTTTAGTCTGTAATGAAAGATCACTATAAAAATGAAAGCAAAGTATCTAAAGTTGATATGTAGAAAATCATACTTCTGATTAAAGATACCTCATACGATGAAACTATTCAGCTAATATCAGTTCATGAATTCCTCTTCATTTGACTAGCACACAGAGTAGCTGTTGACAAGAAACATTAACAACCCAATACTAGCTTGAGCTCCTTCTTGTTTATTTCTTATGAATTTACTGTTTTCCACGGACATCTTAATCAATCACTTTCGGTTCATTAACGTTATTTTTCTTAAATTTGCAAGCAGTACATACCGACATTATTCTATCATCAGTCTTTGTTAAGCAACCGTCTACACTTACGTTTTCCTTCATCCTTACTTTTGTATGGGAACTCATAGTTAGTCCTAATATATTATGGAATAACACGTGGATGTATAACCGACTGTCCATAAGCTTCGGTAGTCTTATATTGCTGCACCATGTTGCTAATGGAAGTGGTGTCTCCTGAGAGGGTGTAGAACATGGAGCTTAGAGTAGGACAAGAAGTTTTACTAAATCATCACATCAATAGATTCTAACATTAGGAAATGGGGAATGGTGGAGTTACTGACCAGCAAGCACTAGGGGTGAGGGTAGTGATTCAATTCACTTATGTCTATTATACTGAGAATCTTGTTTGTCGTGGGTCGTTTAAAATTCAAGTAAATGCAATTATTCAGTGATACTAAAGCGTCTTTTTAATGTCTGCATATCCAGTATCTCATATTTCTAACACTATGTCAGCTTTACTATTCTACCAACACAGCCTATGAGGTACAAACTCACACTCTCAAGTCAGGATTGCAGTCATCTGATAAAAAGAAATGATATGAACACTGACGACAGTGATAAAGCTATTTGTGTATTGAGACATTTTACGTTCCTTTGTTACATTTTGTAAATGAATATACATACCCATCTCTCTTCCTGTCGCGGCTCTTCTTCGATTAATCCGGGTCTGTTATACTAAGCTCTGCCTCAATGCACTCTAAATTTTGCTTATGTGAATCATTTGTAGTTTGCTCACCGATAGTTTATTCTAGGCACAGAATTTAGCCTGGGATTTTACCAACTGAGTGGACATACATTGATATGCTAAATTTTAAAGAAATTGGCAGCTTTTACCGTTCATGTCACTTACCCTCATCCTCTTTTTTCGTCATTCCATTTTAAAGCATAACGACTGTCACGCTGATCTATGGTATACCTACTTATGCTTAGACCACAAAATTAATATGCGCTCTCATCAAGGAAATAAGATTTACCGAATCAATCCGTTTGGATAATAGTTAGTAAACTTTAAATTGGCGCTTACTTCATTCACTAATTAGTCGCTGTATTATATTGAGATAGCTCATGGATTTACTTTCATTCGATAAATCTATCGAGGTAGTAATTTGTTTGATTACCTATATTGTGAGCTGTTATTTTTGCCGTTAAAACAACAACTGAAATCTTAAAGGTCATAAATAAAATTTCATTCTTTAGGGACATACACTGTCTATGAACTTGGCTCATTTTTCAGTGAATCATGAAAAAATTCATACTGAAACTTTCGTCTGTCAAATCTTTAATATGTTTTTTCATTATGTTTCAATTTTATCATTCGAATGGTGGTGCATTTCCGTTCTTTGTTGGCTAAGCGATTTTCAGGGTAATTCCGACGATGAACGAGTCTTTATTCTGCTAAATAGTAAACTGGTCTACTGTGCTCCATTAGGAAACGGCTCCTGTTGACTATTTGTGGAGTAGTGCCGTAGTTGTCCAGTGGGTGCGGTACCAACTTTTATTTCTTGGAGAGACAACTGGTACAATTAAGTCTCACGAAGTTTAGTAATAGGTCTGTGATGCAATGAGATCTCCGAGGCCACATGTGCGCTACAATGTCGGTGCCAGTGAGTCTGGAAATCTGGCCTGAAAGTGTTGGTAAAATATTTTAAAACCGTCATGACTGGGATGGCGGTTTGCAATTATTCCCCGTTAACTATGGATTCCTGGTAAGTGCAGGCATAAGATTATGCTGATTACGTCTCTGTCCTTTATACACACTGCCCGTCGCTACCAGTGATTAAATGGTTTAACGGGATCTATGGATTGATGTCATTGTTGTAGTCCAGTCGCTAGAGGAAGTAAAATTCATATGAAGGTAAACCTCTGGAAGGGTCATTATCATGAACCAAAAATATATGATGTAGCATGCACATAGCTACGCGCTAGACTGTATCAACACTAGCTTATTGGCATTTGCTTTAGGCTTCTACGGTTATTAATTGTTAATGAATGAATCTAGGCGAGAGTATAAACTATGGACGAACAAATCAGATTTAAGATAACAGATCTTAAATTTTGGCGAGAAATTTGTTCACGCATTTGGTAAAATTCCATTTTAGCATTAAATCTGATGTCAGTAAGTGACGAAAACCTTCAATCTATTTGACAACCATAACGTTCAACTGTAAATCCTAATCCTTTTTCTCCACACTAATATACAACCCTCATCTAGCCCCAGTAAGTAGTTGGTAATTCTATAGTCATTTTAGCTTTGCTCAGAGGTCGTCCACATATTATGGTTTCACCGGGCTGTATACATGTTACACGCGAAGAAATAAACCGAGAATCTCTCTCCAAGTAATTTTTTTAACAAATAGCACTTTTGTGGTTTCTAATTTACATGAACATAACACTATAAATAAACGTTATAGCACCCGAAAAGAATCATTCGTCATAGAAACAGCTTTTGAAAGTAATCAGAAATTTTCTTGCTTATAACCCTTCGGAGCATATCATAATTGTGCGACATTTCCCGTTGTGCTACAAACATTAGTCCTTAATATACCATCACTAACTCCGATTAACAGCTCCAAATCACTCACATTTTCCCAGTGAGTTTCTATATTTATTTAGGAAAAATAACTTTTATTCGTAAATATGAAAAATTACGCTGTTTTCGTTTCGAAAATACTTTTTTCTCTCAACTAGACAAAATGAAATATGACTTCGAAAGACAAGGGAACAAAAACAAATTACCATGCGCTAGATGTCTAGAAAGAGTTAGCTTATAAAACTGCATGCTGAAAATCGAAAAGAAAAATCTGAAAGCTTTGATGCTAAAGAAGCAGATGTTTTATGGGGTGTTCAAAAATATCTTAAACACGAAATTTTAGGTTTGCAACCAAGTTACGGCTTACCAAACCACAACATACGGATATTGAGAACAGTATAAAATATCATGTTTTGTGAGCTTTTTGAAATAAAATGATGAAACAGTGACGATTTTGCAGAAAATCTTCTGGACTGTTTACTTTTCAAATTATTGAACATAGGAATGTTGTTTTATGTGTTCTCTACTCTAAGCGTTATTTTGAAAAGGTTTCCAACGTCTCCGGGTCTTATGTGTCGTACAGTTTGCAAATGAGCATTGGAAATAAGAAATATTCTCAGATCTCTGGCTTGTACGTAAATAATTTTTCAATTCAAACTGCACTTGTGAACCTGTTTGCATCTCTTAGTTAACTGTATTGTATGTCATATTTTTAGAAACTGTTAGCGAAAGTAGATGTAAGCCAGAAAATATAAAATATTTGCACTTAATAAAGCTTCGTTAAGTCGGCGCGTGACAATTGACTGCAAATTTATGTTGCTAAAACAATATAATGCTGCTACCCGGTAATCATTTTAGTTCTTATAACTTCCAATAACACTTCACTCGGCTGTTTAGCAAATTATGACTGGACTTGATATTTGATATGAGCTCCATTTTAACATAAATTAGTAACAGTTTTAGAAAAATCTGTTGGAAAACTGTACTTAACTTTCTATTTGTTGTGCGGCTGTAATCTGCCACGGAAATATCGAAGCATATATTTAAGAAGTAGCCTAGGCAATGCCTATGAAAACAATCGGTAGAAGTGAGTCTTAAAATTTGTTAGTCTGCAGCATAAATGGTATTCGGATTAGTTATATATTACGCGTCGAATACTTTGTCATTAGTGTTGGCTTACATTGTTCTAATCACTCCAATTTACTCAGTTAAAACATGTTACAGGACTGGTATTTTCGGAATTTCAAATTACTTTGTGTCTGAAGAGCATCTAAAAGTCTGTATAAAGTATGCTGTTGCAAAGATTTGTATTCGTTTCTCTAGTGACCCTTACTAATTTTATATGGACGACAGCTTATGCTTATCTAGCTTTTCAGGACTGCATATCCTGAGAAAGTTTCTGTTAAACAGCTTTTATCTACTAGTCTACATACACAATGTACGGCCTCTGTATTTCGATCTAAAACTTAGTCGTTTCCTCCGCTTAAATACAAACACCACAAATGCCCAAAAAATATTGATGCTTCCAATTGCTCATTGCTGGTTAGTCATTAAAATTCAAAAATTACTATTTTCAGGTTTTCCTTGCCCAACTACATGGAAAAATCCTAAACTTCAAGAGATCAATTATTTTGTTATATTTATAATTATAATAAGGCAAAGACGTGTTTGTTATCAGATAAAGTTAAGAGAACAAAACAGCAGACAGCTCATGTTTTAGTCTTTATCAAAAGCGCATTTTATGATGACTCTGTAAAATCGTATCCGAGATATTAAAATGCAGTTATTTGAAAGTTTTAGATATGAATTCTTCTAAGATTACCCGATGGTTTCAACACGCATTTTGAGCGGAGCTTATAAATGGCGATCTTCATCTTATAATTTTATTAGCATCTTAGACTCCGTTTTCAAACGTATAAAATCTGGTTATGAATTAGGCTTTCTTTCAAAGGTAACATGTATCCCTTTTATTTAAATATAGGTACTCGGATAAGCAGTAAATTAAGCTAAATACCTCTACAACTTAATCAGACTTGTTGGTTACGAATGTAAACCAATCAGATTAAACCTGGCAGTGGGAATGCGTGGTATAAAAAACAATGATCTTTATCGTGACAGACGGTACTGTCATATTCACTCTTCTTTTTTATTTGCCTTCAAAACATTACTCGATGGCTAAATATTTGTGGAACTAAGGATCTAAAAGCATATGTCAAAATTTACATTAGTTGCGGATGGCTTTGCTTGAATATCTCTGTCTTCTCTCAGTTGAAGAGCATGCAGTGAGCTTGACTGTACATATATAAGAAGTTTGCCAATTTTACAATCAAATAGAATCTTTAATTAATAAATGTTTTTATCTAGCAAAACCATTGTTTGTTGCTTACTTGGAAAATAAGAGCAGTTTATGTAATTATTGATCGGGAAATAAATTTAATAAAAAATAAATAAGCTTTGATTATCGAATCCAATAGGACTATTGTTTAAAATTGATCATAATAAATATGTATAATTTCGAATTTACATTTTAGCAGGCCTAATGATAGAGATGTACCCAGAGCTGCTGCGCTTCCGAATAGAACTTCGGCTCGTAGTTGGCACAAAAGTGAATCAAGTAATAAAGAAATGAAGAAGTTAAGCAAAGAGCTGCCCCACGCAAAAACTTGTGGCTTGAAATGCCAACAAGGTAATCAGAAACAATTAGCAAACATCACACCATCTGCTTGCATATCAAAGTTCTCCCTGAAATCGGTTAACGAGAAAGAGACCAAGTATTTAAACCTTAATAGAATAACAAACATTCAAACAGACGTAAAACCATCCACCACTTATAGTTCAGCCGCTACAAATAATACATGCAGATTAAAACGTTCAGTATTTAGAAAAGATGAAAAGGATTTTTTAAGTAGTTTTGAGAAAAAATATTCTATACACAGTTATAATCCTTCAAAATTAAATAATAACTCTCATATGAGTAAACCAGATTACAAACATGCTCTTAGCTTGACTACTGGCAAATCACGACTGGTAAAAAAGATGTCAGTTAATCAATCCGATCATTCCAAAAGTAGTAATCATCTTTTGTTAAACGGAAGTCAATTATCTTCGTGGTCTATGCAATGCGACAATGCTTCTGTAACACTACATAATAAAAAAGGAGCGATAGATTCAAGTCCACGAAGGTATGTCAATAGTTATTTATCTTCACACCCTTTTGTAAAACAACCAACTGATGTAGTACATGGGTCAGCAAAGAGCATTGATTTCAATGAGCAAAAATCAAATGGGAAAGCTAAACGTGTTTCGAATGAGTTGAATACAAACGGTTCAGAGTACTCTACAACAAAACATATTAACCGCAATCACAAAACCTACAACAAATCAACAAAGATAAATGCTTCAAAATATTACCGATGTTCAGAAACCGAGCCAAGTGAACAGTTAATTAATAATGAATCCGATGATAACATAAATTCTAGTGCTGTCAAGTACTATGATATTAAATCTACAAATGTAACTGATTGGGGTAGTGTTTCTTCATCTGAATGGGGTGATGATATGTGTGTAAGTAGTTAGAAAACATTCATATTTTTATTAATTCATTAGTTTTCTCAAAGTCATCTGGAGATGATTTTTACTATAAGCTAACTCAGTTGATGATGCGTTTTTTTCCAAAAAATATTAATTTCAAATCTGTAGGTTGAGCCTGCAATTTACAGATCTGTACATGGACATAACATAGAGTTTGAAACTTAACAATGAGTCTTTTCAAAGTTTACATTATACACAAGAAAGCATAGCTAGAGTGTTTTGTTAACTTTTCGTACAAATAACATCGCAGAAAACCTAATCACTAAACTTTTGTTGGTCATAACTGCTAATTTCTATCAGGCAGATAAAATATACAGTTTAACATCAGTCCTAGAAAACGTAGAGTTACTTCACAAAAAGATTATTTTTTCAAAGTAACAAGTAGTTGACTCTAGTTTAAAATTAGTAGTTACATAAAATGGAGTTGTGTTTCATAGAAAAACGTCTTTTTCCCTTTTATTTTAAAAAATAAGCTATTCCCACTGAAAAGATGAATAATGAATATAAAATACTTAAATGCCAATTTTGAAGATATTGTAAGTAATAAAACCATAGTCGAGTGATTAGACATGATTTGACTATTTAAATCCTACAACTATGCCCCATCAATTTTATTTTAAACCAAATTATTACCACAGAGTTCCAAAATCAATCAAATGAACATCACTATCTTACATAGTTTAACCAAGAAAATAAGTTAATTGAGTAAATTCAAATATTACTAACTCAAAGCTAAAATTATCAGAGGGTATAAAGGAATTCCTAGCCAAAGATTAAGGATTTAATACTTTATGATGCAATGTTCTGTGTAGCTGATCTCGTTAATAGTGACTATTCACTCAAGTCAATCAAACACAATAGTGACATTTAAGATCCACGTCCTGATTGTTTCTGCTACCTCTATGTTTTGGTTGGGTTTGCCTATCGTGATGAGCCATTCAGGCTATACCGGCCGAAATAATCATTCCTCAAGGTCCTGTCATGTCAAGTAGGTAGACTGAAGAACGGAAAGACTAAAAGTAGCAAACCCAAGGTCCGAAAACGAAACCGTACTACTAACTGTACAGAGGTGTGACTGCAGTAAGGTGTTTCTTTCAGACAACTAGCATAACAGCGATGCTGCCTTCCCATAAAGAAGAGTAGGGTTAGAAAACGTCGACTCTAAAAATGCATCCTTCAACTTATCCCACGAATATCCGTCTCCGGCGGTAGGGTTTTAACAAGTACGGAGCTAGCATAAAAATTATCCACAAACAGGTCGTGTGTGGCCACCCTCAAGTAGTTGCCCCTGGAACACTGCGGTCACGCTCTGAGGTCACTGAGATCAACTCTAACCCAATTTATTTTTTAGATATCTTTAGAAGAACCCTTCCACGATATGGGGCAACCGAGAAATGATAACCGCTTTCATACCTCTAACAGCACTTAAAACCACTATCTGACTGAAATCCAGGTATCTTTCTCTACAAAACTCAAGTTATTGAAACTTAACTTTATAAATCGTCTTGGATTAAATCTTACTAGTACTTTATTTACCAAACAGTAAGAAGTTTCGGGTACTACCGATTTAATGTTTCAAGGATATCTCATACTTATATTTATTGACATAGTGCACGAAAAAATTATTCAAGAATGCATATCGATAGGTATTAATTCTTTGACTTTACATATCTACTAGTCAAACAGTAATCCGGGGTGATTTATCGAGTGCCTATGTTCAGCATTACTAAAGAAAAGAAATCTTGCTTCATGATAAGTCTTTTTCAACTATATTGAGTAAATGTTTATTTAGTAGGTAAACAAGATAATTAACGGAAAAATGCTTAATAGAGCCATATGTTTTAAAAGGCTCATCCTGTTCTAACAGCAGAAAACCATAAATACTAAATGCGCCATAGATGTCAAACTATTTTCTAACTCAAAAAACTCGGAAATTGGGAGTTGTTAAAGTTTAGATATTTTTGGACATCGAAAATAGAAAGATCGAAGGGAGCAAAATAATGAATTGTGTTGATCAGATACCAAACATAGGAATAAAACAACGAAAAATAAATAAGTTTACACTCTGTTTAGAACCAGTTCGATGTAAAAAGGTATCCTATCACACGCTCATATGGCTTAAATTCTGTAAGATTTAAACAACGTGAAAAAATTATTAAAAGCATTTTTGAAATATATACAAAACATTTAATTGATAATTCAAATATGAACAATATTTGAGCGAACAATTGTTTTCAATAACTTCATCATCAGGCTCTACAGTTATAAGTCCATAATTATAATATTTTACAAAGTCCAAAATGGGGCATGTATTAATGAATTTAATTGATACTTTGATAGAACAAAGGAAGATGATTTATTTTATACAATAGGAAGAAACCTATTCTTACTAATGTGCATTGTTTTAGAATTAAATTAAGGTTGTTTTTTTTGTTAAAAATATACACTCTATGTGTATCTAAGCAACCAAGCTTCTTTTAATCCATAAGGAATTATAACAAATGATTTAATAACAGAAATGTGGCCCATTATATAAACCCAACAAATATTAACATAAAACTTCAGAAAATAACAAACGTGAGTTTTGTCTTTGATTTTTAATGAGTTTATCGTGTCATATACTCCTGATTAGAGAAATATGAATTTTTTATGAACGCAGTTCGAAGAATGCTCTGGACATAGGTTTTGCGCTTGTAAACATTAATAGGGAACTTGTGTCTAGAAACCTAAAAAATATATCCCCTTTTCAAGAAACCTGTTTTTCAGGTGTTTTCGTAATAAATTAAAGACATAGTTTTATGCTCAGTAAGTGAACATAAAACTAGTTTCACACGTCTAAAAACTAGAATTTTTTTATTCCGAGTTAGTATTAAAACCTTGAGTGACTAGCCATATCCGATACTCGTAGCACTACAAAAAATGCCACATAATAGTACATTTTTGTATGGTAAGTAATTTAAAGATACTTGGAGTATTGAACCGATTTCGTCTGAATAATCACACCCCACTAAATGTAAACTAACTACTAGTTTAGTCGGTGATTTAAATTATGTTACCTACGTAATTCACATTCAAAATACTGGAAATTGGAAATTTAAAAGTGTGTTGCGCCTGTGTTCAGGTGCACAAACTTTATTTTAAAAAACAGTAAGGAAGAGTACTTCTCAACCTGATAGTAATTGTTCGTGTCATAATTTTCCAGATAAATGAAATTATCGAGAAATACTTCTGTAGGCAACTTCTTGTTCCTCAAAATAATGTTTTTCCAAGTGTAATATATTTCAGCTGAGGGGTTGTTTTGTTCAACAATTAAAGTCACTTTCCAACTTGTTTTTCTCAAAGAAACATATACTGCTTTCAGTTTATTAACTTGAACTTAAAACAATAGATAAATTTAGTTTACATTTGACAAGTTATTCGAATTTTTATCAATGCTTAATCTGTTTTCGTCAACTATAATAGAATATCCTATGATTTTTATCAAACAAAATACATTCGCTTGACAAATCGGTGGTTAATAAATTGATTATTGAAGACATTTTTAACATATATCTGTATATTGAGTATGCAGATGATAATTTTCTCAAGTTTTACCAAAGCTAATTAACAATACATATCGAAGGAAAAATGGAATGCTTCATAGCAGTATACAAAGAGTATATATACGAAATGTTTAAAAAGCTATTCCTTAGCTTTGTGATTGAGATCATGAATAGATCAATGTAAGACCACCATTGAAAACCTGGGTCTTGGATGTGCACTGCTGAGGAGTCAATACTAGGACGTAATGGCCGTCCAGTTCTTCCAGGTTTACAATGGTATTCTAACTTTGATCGATTCATGATCTCAATCAAAAACTCGACAATCCCTGCAACCATACACGGGTATTTATTAACTGTTCTATTCCAATATGACGTAAATTGCAGATTAATTTGTGAAACGGAAAAATTACACTTGTGTTCTACTTTAATTTTTATGTGAGTTTCCGGTTTATATTAAAATAAGATATTTGGGCAAATAAAAAAATTCACAAAACACTGAAATAGTTAATTCATTTGTATTTTTAAAGGTTCTGTTTATAAACTTGGCTGAAGCAGGTTTTTATTGGGTCAGTGGCCAAACATTTTGTGTTGAGTCTGTATTTATAATTTATATTCAGGTTTAAAAACTGATAAAGAAATTGGACATTTTTTGTCTGTCTAGGTACATGAGATGATACATGTGTGTGTGGCATACAAAAGAATCTTTTCTACTTTCTATGGTTAATAATTGAATGAGAAAAATTAATCAACATTTAATATCAGACTAGTACAAAGCGTTACCCTCAGATGAATGCACATTATAAACAGAATATTTCGAAATTTGTATTAGTTTTCTGAGACAACAATTTTTATATATAAGTTTATAACTTGAGATTGGACAAAAGTTTAATTAACGGTAGTTAGTTAGAAGACAACTTCACTAGCTTGTTCTAAACTGAATGTTTCATTGACTTTTTTTTAGGTCAACTTGACTTTTTAGTTAATGGGGTTGAAGAGTTTACATACCCATTTGAGGATCATGTTTAAGGTTTATTTGGAGCCACCACAGATAAATTTGAAAAGTCGGTAACGTAATCGGGTCAGAGGTACCTGAACATCATTATGACTGTGAACCGAGTGAGATTACTGAAAAAGGTCATGTAATTCATATAATTTATTTTGTTAGTGAAAGATAAGCATCATAAACGACCATTTGTATTCAGATTTTTTACAATTTTTATGTTGAACTTTTTTTTGTTTGCTGCAAGACTAAGAACTATTACGAAAGGTCTACTGTTATTCATTCATTCATTCATATAGTCATTTAATTAAACAACCGATAACGTTGCTTATGAAGACGAATCGTAGATTGAAATATATAATACAGAAACGATAGATAATTAATATGTTTATGAAATGTGTGTTCCTCTCATTTTTTTTAAAAAAGTCCCCGTAACAGACTATACAACTGAATTTTAATTTCAATAATTCATTACCTTTTTTAAATATTTATTGTTCTGCTTTCGTCTGCACCTAATTTTTTGCATGAAACCAAATAACTACTCACAAATATTCTAATATATCCTTACTTAATTTGAAGGAGTTTGATCGTCAACAATCTTTCCGTGTACATGAAATGTTCGAGGAAATCGATCGTATTTTATTTGATAATCCGAATCTGGATCTACAAGATTCAATACTGAGATATACATCAATAACAACAACAAACGTTGATGATGAACCGTCTCGGTATACAAATATTTCAAATAGTATCAATTCGCCTTCACACACGGATGATTATGATTCAATGGGTTTAGATAATTTAGCATTATTGTCTTTACATTCAATTGAAAATCGAAACCCACGTAAGCCATGTTTTCTTTAAATCTAATAATCTATTTAATTTTATTTATTTTGTGCAAGCTGTACAAAAAGTAGATTTACATTTGTGCAAACCTTATTTACTGAAAATATCTGTCCAGCACAAGGATTTCGACAAGAAAATATTGATGTTGTTCAATGAAAAGGAGACACTTTCTCTAGGTTTTAATTTTTATGTCCCTATAACACAAATCTCTGAATTGACAATCAACATTCAATTCGAAAACCTATATGATCAATTGAGTACTTGGTCCCCTTCATTCTTAGATAATCATAGTTGATTTAAAGTTAAATTAGTGGATATAACGTATCTATTTCATTCTTTTGGGCCAAAGCAGAGAAGTGTACTAAATTCTCAGCACTTCAAATCATTAAAAGAATTGCGAAACAATGCCGATACTATTATACTTAAACCCGATAAAGGATCTGATGTTTTTATTATGAATAAGTTCGATTACAAAAATAAAATGGAATCCATTCTCAGTGATAAAAGCAAATTTATGGCTGTTGTTGACTTCTATGGATTACGTAAATTAGAAAAGAAAATAAACTCGAATCTAATGAAATCGTTAAACATGAATGCTATTAAGAAGGATGAGTTTAATTCATTAAAACCTATGGGTTCGGTGTATCCTCATTTATATGGATTACCAAAAATTCATAAGCCTAATATCCCCTTACGTTCAATTCTATCAATGTGTCGGTCACCTACACACAAACTTGCAAAATGGCTTACAAAAGTAATAAACCCTGTCCGAAATCAATTCTGTAAGTATTCCTTGATTGACTCATTTGGATTAATTAAATACTTAAAGGACATGAATATAAAAACAAAGACAATGTGCTCCTTTGATGTGAACACTTTATTTATAAATATACCTCTTAGGAAAACTATTGATTTTTTATGTGATTATATCTCACTCAATAACCTTCCATTGCCATTTCCTGTTAAAACTCCTAAAGATTTATTATTATTATGCTCTGAAAATGTAAAATTCACTTTTGAAAGTGAGCACTTTCGACAAATCGATGGCGTAGCTATGTGTAGTTCTTTAGGACCGTTGCTGGCTGATGTGTTTATGTGGTATGTTGAAAATCTAACTGAAGACTAAATTCAAAAGATGTGTCTGTATTAGCGATTCGTTGATGCCATCATAATTATAGGAGATAAATGTGAACCGCTTGTTAAAAAAACTCAAAACAAGTGAAAAGCATATTTCTCCTACGTGCGAAGAAGAGAAGAACAACCAACTTCCTTTTCTAGATATACTGATCAGTAGGAGAGATGATGGTTTCATCCAACGTTCCGTATATAGAAAACCGATATGGACAGGGCATTATCTTAATTTCCATAGTCACTGTCCAACTCATTACAAACGTGGATTAATAAAGGTCTTATTGAATAGAATCAATCGTATTTGTACTAGAGATACTATTGAAGTGGAGACGAAGCTCTTAACTGTGATACGTTACTGAATAATGGTTATTCATGGAAGTTCATAAACTGCTGGAAGGGTTGTAATACAATTAGACCTATGACTCTTCTGGCACCCAAAAAGTGAGTTTATATTATGTTACCATTTAGGGGCGACTCAAGTAGTCTAATGTTGAAACGGAGACTGAAATTGGCCATCAACAGGACATTTTATGCAGCCCAACTTGTCATTATTGGAAAGGCAAGGTTTATGTTTCACCCAAAATCCAAACAGCACATAAGCGATTGTGTCTATCAATTTAAATGTATGTGCGGTAACACGTACATAGGGGGGAGCAATCTTGATCTGCAATTAATGGTGGCGAAACACATACCTAAATGGCTGCGGAAACAAATGGATGCAATGGTCAGACAAGATTACAGAATAAACAGACATCTTCCTCGATTGCGAAACATTTGGTTGAAACTGGTCATAAGTTTGACATCAAGTCACCATTTGTAGTGTTATAAAAAAGCCTTCAAGGACGTATGCTAAGGTTTATTGAAGCCTTGACTATACGGAAATTGAAACTACCTTTATGTGTTCAAAAACAATTGGTTCTTACCCTTAACCTTCCCTGGTGATGCTGATTTATTATCCAGTGTGGTCATCACATTGTTTTTGTGTACTTTATTTTCTTTCTTTGTTACCGCTAACCTTAACCTGTCTAGTTGACCCTTTAGTTTTCATATAAATATGTCTTAACCAGTATATATTAACACCACTAAATTAACTACTTCTATGAATTCGGTGTTCATCTTGTTGTGCTAACGATGTGTGGCGACTTGGACCGATGCATATGTGTGCCTGGTTCTACGTTGTAGCTGACTGAGTGACTGATATGTGTGATTAGATTGTTCGAAATGTATTGCGCAAATATATCACATAATTCTGGTAAACTTCGTGTTCTCATTGCATTACCGAAATTTATCGAACGGACTAATTGTTTTAAATGATGTTAATTAATTATATCGCATCACGCTCAGCCTGGCTATATAAGTTCATTGGGGGGAATAAATTTACAGCATTTTGTTATGTGTTTGAGTTTTTTACCTACAGTCTCTTAAATATTCCGTAATTTTGAGCCTATATATTAATAATCTATTTTACTGATTGTTACAAAGTCCACTCCATAAATTATATTCGTTACAAATCTTGGAAAAAACATACAATACTCTTTAATCACATCAAATTTTTCATATAAAGTACAGTTGTATATCTTTTGAAAATGACATTTTCTGAAAAAAATTTCTTCTCTGAATCATGCTTCGTTTCAAAGTCGAATTCAATTTATGTTTGTATTTAGTGCCTCGTAGAGGTTTTAATCAGCGTTCCTCAGTAAAAATGATATTTGTTTATCTATTCATCGAATTTATTGAGTTCGTGTCAGAATGATTCTTATGTTATATGTGTAGAAAATTCCAATCAGTCTAGAATAACTGGTATAATTCTAAACTTCATGTTAGTTTAGCACCTTGAAGATTTCCTAACTTAGACCCAAATCTGGTCTTTGAATTAGACGCCAAATGTTTCATGGAGTAACGACCATGAATCGACGAGTAATCGTAAGCAAATAATTACTACATACATTTTCACTGTTACAAGATAAACAATTAAGATCTTTAGCTCAGTCAGCTAGAACGCTGAAGGCACTCATTTTTTAGTAGTTTTGTCTTGTAAAAAGTAAGTTCAGTTGTCTATCAATAATTCTGAAGTCATTTTGAAAAATATTTTACTCTTATAATCGTTCAAAAATTTACCGTAATAAATCCGTTTTATTCTGGGTTAGGTGTAAATCAAATTTTCCTTAAGTCATGCTAATAATATCGATTATACATCAGTTATACTACTCTGAATTTTAGTCGATGAAGCGTAACAAGTAATTGTAACTCATGGTTGTTAGTTTTTGTAATATGAGTACGAACAAGGATTCGACATACAATCAGTTGGTGAGTTTGATATTGGATATTTAAAATGTGACAGAAAGTTATTGTAAGGGGAATAGGGTACAAAATAAGTGATTGGACTTAATTAAGATTGACGCCTATATATATATATATATATATATATATATATATATATGTAGAGTAAAAATGAGGTTATATGCTATTACTGGAACAAGTAAACCAAACAACTGAGGCAACAGTGTTTCAAGATATTCACTTTAATTATCATCATAATTATCCACTTACCTATGCTTACTATAATTAGCTAGTAAGTATGATTATTAGTTTACCATTAGAAAAAATTATTAAGTTTTATCTAATGAGTATTTCGCAATGCATCAGATTACCTGGAACTAAATTGCATTTTACTATCGGCTAACTTAATGAATAGATTTATAGCCGTAGGTTTCTTTCAACCAAGTTAGCTGGCCAGCAGTGTTCATTGTCACGGTCTATACTTGGATATCTTTTACGCGTGGATGCTTTTTTTATTGGTAATGAATTTATGGGACTATACATATAAAACCACTCATTCAGTAATAAATTTCAAGCAATCCGATGACACATTTAGTTGTATAAATATTTATATGCGAAAAGTATCCTTATTTTTCCTACCTTCTAATTTATCTAGTGTGACCTTCATTTTCCACACATGTCTTAGCAAGGAAATACGCGATAAGGTTATTGGAAATGCATCGTGTGAATACACATAGTTCTGATAAACTTTTTCTTGTCGTCGCATGATCTAAATTATTATCCTATGGACAAGGTATTTTAAAGTTACACGGGCCTGGTATGGTTTCTTGTTTCACATGATTACTACCTTGTACCGGAAACTCAACCATTTGACAGGATCTACTCATTCAAGTGACCATATTAATTTTTCTTATTGCATGGCCACTCAGACTCAGTTAATGCCGCGACATTTCCTGAATTTCCTAGCCGACCAGTAACTAGTGAACAGGCATAACAATCAGATGAAAACTGAATAAAATTGTACTTAAAAATATACCAAATACGTAAGCAACTAGTACTTAAGGTTCATAATGTGTAGATAAGGGAAGGTGACACTTTAGCGTCTAAAGCAAAGGATGCCAGATTCGCATTTCACTGATAGCAATCATAGCCCCTAGAATGCATGTGATAGGTTTCCATCAAACAGGTTTAAGTAAAAAATCTTAACCACAGCCTACGCATTTCAGAACTACCTTGAAATTAAGTCTACGCTAGCTGAGAAAGTATATTAATCCAATATACGTATAAAAGAATAATTGGTTTTAGGACGGAAATTTTATACTTTGATTAATATATTACACCGAGAACCAGAATAGTGAACCTTATAGGCAAAAACAGTACTGATCAAGAAACCTTATTTCCAGAAGGATTTCAAATGAACAGTTACGAACATCTGAATCATAATTTCCCAACAATGAGTCGCAAGCAAAGTGATTTTCTAATCATGGTTTTTGTTGACCTCAATTTTTTTTGTTTTTATCATTCATTTCCCAAGACCACTTCAATACAGTCTGCACAACAGTAACCATTACTAAGTCACTCGCATAAGAAAAGATATTAGTTTACTAACATACTTAGTGAGCGATCTGTTCTTTTTTCATGACTGATCTTTGTCCGAAAACAGAAACATCAGACAGTTTGATTTTAATTACATAAACTCTATTAAAATTACCTTCTAAGTCATCATAGCACATCTAACCTAATCGCCAATGGTTATATTTAGCGAATTTAAATGGCTATATTTGACTTAATCCATAATAACAGTGGTCTATATTTTTGCATAAAATTGACCGACCCAAAGTTGAACTACTTGTCCAAGTTGTAAGGGACCCAGTTTTGCCATAAATATCGTGAAAAACAAAGGATAAAAGATGCATATTTATTAGTAACATTTTGTCTGTCTTCTATTGATACTTATTTGATCAACGTTGTCTGCAAAGTGAAAACTAAGTAATTTAGTTTCAATGTAAATAGGAATTAATTTCAAAATTTATGAGTTATGTTAAAAATTATTTTATGGAATTGCTTGGCGTTACACTTTCCTATACGGAGTAGTAGATGTTATATTTTAGTATGTAATACTTTAGAGAGTTACTGTTCTGTTGGCAAATATTTATTCATTTGGTAAGTTGTAAGAGTTATCAGATAATCATGTCAAATCAATAAACATTTTTTACAGCAATCTGAAAAAGCCTCATTTTAATTATCCTTAATGGTTATCAACAGGAGCTGGTATTCAATCCAGAAAAGTAACCTAAATAAAACTTTAATTAGCATAACATTTCAGGATAAAAGTTCACGTTAGAAAATGATGATTTAATTAACATTGAACGCTTTTCTCAAAGATATCCTAGTGAATTAGAAGATATGTAAATAAGTAGTGTTGTTTTGTGAGAGTAAATGTACAACAATTCATGATTGATTAGAAAAACAAAATATATATCAACATGGGAGCGCAAATCTATTTGGGTTGTTAAAGACACAAAGAAGCAACTATATACCCTTATTGTACATAGGTTTTGTGAATAGAAAGAAGCATGATTCTGTTTTGTCATTTATGCTTAAGATTGACAATTAGATACAGTAGCGTTAAGGTTTCACGCAAGCATGTTTTCGATTTTCAGCAGTGAAGCAAAATGTTTGGAAAAAAATGAAGTAATATTTTGCAATCAATTAGTTAAAGAATATAAGCGACCCTAAAAGGAAGAAATCTGAAAAAAACGACTTTATAAGTTCACATAAAGTCGTATATCCCTGACAAAAGTTTAGTCTTTACCATTGTCAGAACTTATAACATAATACATTCTTTTAATAAATCCCAGTAAGAATAATCTAACATTTACTTGGTCTAGATTCAAAATCAATTATAGTCTTACGCCCTGTCATGTCCATGAGGGCTTAACTTTTCTCTATATCCGATGCATAAAAAACCAGTTAATTCTGAAACTTTTACCAGTTTATTTCAGTGGATACTAGGGAATTTTGTTGCACACTTGAACTAGTTATTTGTAAATACTAATACTAGCTGAGTAGTTTGTCACATAAAATTTGAAGAATTTCTATCTAAATTTAAAATGAACCACTAGTTATCTGAATATGCTATGTTCAAAATGTGTTTATACCTCTGACATTGGTTAAGTAGCTTACTTTTTCTCGAGTGTTCATTGAAGTTTATTAAAAGTAAATTTGTAAACAGTGTTTATCAGGTTTGATAACGAGCTCATACCACATTTCTTGTCAGGTTCTACGTTGTCTATTATTAATTGATTAACCATATACCATAAACTTTTTTGGTATTTTTTCGTACCAACTATGAACTATCTACGTATCAGCTGATTCTTGTGCAGATTAAGATAAAAAAGCATTATCAAACGGAGTAGGAAAAATGTGATGTCTCATTGAGAACGGTAATAATAAAAACCGGTAAGTATTTTCAATAATCAAATCAGTAACCAAGACTTTTAAATCGTGAAATCTAATTGTTTTGTTTTTCTAGACTCATTAGCTGATAGTTGCCTATGTTATCTAGAACCATCGTGAATTAAATTTGACGTTTTCTGACTGACAATTTCGTCTAGCTTATGAATGGTTACTTGTAAATCACAATCCACCTTGTGACATTTTAAATATTTCTTGGATTATTTAGCCATCTCAATCTGTTCATTATTGAACAATATATTACTATAATCATGATATTTTTAAAAAACCTTTGTAATGTCTCTTTGTACAAAAAGATACTTTTATGAGTAATCATATCGTTAAAATGCAGTATTCAAATAAACTGGCATTCCGAATTCTACTTAATGGTAATACCGAAGGAATTTTCATATACCAGTAACAAATAATTCCGCATCTAATTCATGACTGATATTAAATCACATTCTAAAATATATCGATGTCTAACATATATGACATTGTTTCTTAATTATCCTTGTCTGTTGTGCTAAATCATGAATTAATAGCTGAGATATTTTATTTTGAATTATCAACCCATAGATAAACCTGTAAACATTATGATATTTTGTATATTATAGATTGGTAACTTTATCCCTCCCGTAGAGTAGCTCTAGATGATAGTTTGTATATTCCCTGAGTTATATTATTATTTAATTAAATGTAACATAAACTGAGTGAAAACTATAGACACTGTTATAACTTATTAATAATAATAAGAAACATAAGAATAATGAATGATACGGTATTTGGCTCTAGGTGAATTTTGTTTTATTAGCTGGCCAATCATACTTAAAACTCACCCAGATCATTCTTTTGATATGAAGATCTATTTTCATCATCTCGTAATCACAATAAATAATTGATACTTTATCTTAAATAGAGTACTTCAAATTTAAAGAAAACCCATTGTTTGGTAATTTGTCACCTCGAACCTTTTAATACGACTGAAAAGAAATATCTTACATAATTTGAACATCTTACTTACTTACTTACGCCTGTTACTCCCGATGGAGCATAGGCCGCCAACCAGCATTCTCCAACCCACTCTGTCCTCGGTCTTCCTTTCTAGTTCTATCCGACTTTTGTTTATTCTTCTCATGTCTGTCTCCATTTCTCGGCGTTATGCGTTCTTTGGTCCTCCTCTTTTCCTTTGACCTTCAGGATTCCATGTGAGGGCTTGCCTTGTGACGCAGTTGGGTGATTTCCTCAATGTGCGTCCTATCCACTTCGAGCGCTTCCTCCTGATTTCGTCCTCCACTGAAATCTGGTTTGTTCACCTCCACAGTAGGTTGTTGTTGATAGTGTCTGGCCGACGGACCCGAAGTATTTTGCGTAGACAACTGTTAATAAACACCTGTATCTTCTGGATGATGGTTTTCCTAGTTCTCCAGGCTTTCACCCCATACAGTAGAACTGTCTTGATATTTGTATTGAGAATTCTGATCTCGGTGTTGGTTGGCAGTTGTTTTGAGCTCCAGATGTTCTTCAGTTGTAAATATGCTGCTCCTGATTTGCCGATCCGCGTCTTCCTATCTGCCTTAGATCCACTGTGTTCATCGATGATGCTGCGCACATATGTAAAGGTTTCCACATCCTCCAAAGCTTCTCAGTCAAGTGTAATTCGATTGGTGCATGTTGTATTGTACCGGAGAGTCTTGCTTTTCTCTTTGTTCATATTGAGATCTACTGCTGCTGAGGCTGCTGCTACACTGGTGGTCTTCTGCATTTGTTGTTGCGTGTGTGATAGAAGAGCCAGATCATCTGTGAAGTCTAAATCGTCTAGCTGCATCCTAGCTGTCCACTTCATTCCGTGCTTTCCTCCAGATATTGACGTCTTCATGATCCAGTCAACCACCAGGAGAAAGAGAAAGGGTGAGAGAAAGCAACCTTGCCTGACACCGGTCTCTACCTCGAACGAGTCGGTGAGTTGTCCTCCATGCACGATTTTCCATTTTAGTCCATTGTAAGAATTCCGTATGATACTGACTACCTCCTCAAGCAGGCCGTAGTTTCGAAGAAGCCTCCATAGTGTTATCCTATCCATGCTATCAAATACTTTCTGGTAGTCAATGAAGTTGATATAGAGTGATGAATTCCATTCAATTGATTGTTCCATAATAATCCGTAGAGTTGTGAATTTAAACGTCTACAAACACTAATTTTATTGCATAGATAATTTGTTCAAAAACAGTCAATATAATCACTAATTAATTGGTAAAAGTCTATCATTTACAGAAATTTATTATTTACAGTACATTTAATTATAATTATCAGTAAAACAAGGTAAACTAAATACTATATCATTACCTTTGAGTTCAATCAATTAAAAATGAATGAATTGTTGTGTTGTTGTGATTATTTATTTGCTTATTTCAATAACCAATACGTTAAATAATAAATTAGTGAGATAAATAAACGGAGGCCATAAGAAAACAATTTGAGTTACTCTAAGTGTTTTATAATCGTTTGAAATTAACAAATTTTGTTTTAAACTAAGTCAAAGTAAATATTCGTTCTGTCTTGTAATGTTACTTGCAGTGTATGTAGTTAGTTTGTTCGAAATGATGAATGGACAAAATTATTATTTAAGTCATTTGTTTTTTTTTTCTTTTTAATCAAAATATTTCTACAGCTTATCAGTATCCTGATCATTTTAATTCAACAGTTACCAACTGTATAAATAGTATTCCTTGTGGAATCCAAGATCATTTATTTTATGAATGCAAAGACTGGTTATCTCGATTCCCACATTTACGCGTTGTTGGTAAACAAATAAAACTTGCTGATGAAAATGAATCTACTTTTCATCATAATGATAGTAATTTCATATCAGGTAGAAACTATTGTTTATTTATTGCTTCAGTTTTTGGTTTCTAAAATCAGCAATACTATGAACTTTCACTGGAAAATATAGGTAAAACTCTCCAAGATGAAAACTAGTTTTCATAAAGTTATGTTTAGACATAGTTACAAATGAAAGCTTCTCCGAGTACTTTACATTTAATGCGCTGTGAAGGTTCTTGTATTAAACAAAAGCCACAACGACATAATATTTTGTTGTTGGTTCCAGTAGCTTTCTTCTGTAATGATTTTATCAGACAGTAAGAGTTTTATAAATATCTGTCATTGCTTATTTTGGCTACCTACCGATCAGGATTTATATGTGTTGAAGACATACACTTCGAAACCTTTTCCTGGTTGCCTCAGAATAGAATTCATAATGTTACAATAGTTCAGGATAGAGAAATAAGGGTATATACAGAGTTGTCACCTTGGGTTTTTGAGACAGATATAGGCTTAATTTCTCAATGTCCCAGTTGTAAGCATAACTATTTACCACTGTTTAATGTAAGCTTCATGCACACTTGTTTACTTCTGCAGCTAAAAGCAAACTGAATGTTCGCCTCTACAGACAAATCTATTTGTTGTTCAAAATCATGTGATTTTGCTACCGTGTTTGCTTCCTTGATGACTACTTTACCTCGTACACTTCTCAGTTTAAAGTGGCTGTAATCGATAATATACCCTGGACCTAGGTTTTGTGCTGTTTGGTACTTTTCAGTAAAGCGTACCTGTGATCTTAAGGGGACTGATTCTCTCTGACTCATTCAATCCCATGCCACCCATGTTCACAATCATACATTACTACTGAGCTATCTGGGCCTCAACTGACCTCCTTTAGGATTGAAATGTATATACAACTGATTGATCACTGGGTAGTGACCATTATGTGAATCAAGCTCTTCTTAGTGCCTATTATTATTGTTATCTGTTTTCATTGTCAACGTGTTATATTTTAGTTAGTTATAAAGTGTTTTCCGTTTCATGAGAAAGAATTCCATGAGCCAAGTATATCCGATTTTTATACTTATAACTAAACGATAATCAAAACTTGAGTGTACAGCCTGATATATTTTATACTGAACGTCCACAGGAGCACTCGAGAAAATGATGATAATCGTCTGGTCTCATATGATCGAGATAGGTTTCTCAAAGTTACAGTTAGATGCCTATGATACAGTAACTCACAAATGACATTTGTGAAGGGCTAGCTATAGCACGAATTGGCTGAAGTTGAATATGTGATTTGGTGAAATATATTATAGTGAATAAAAGTTGTCGTGTTCCTTAGATAATGTCAAGTTTCTGGTCTCATAGATACTCACTACTAGGCCATTCAACAACTAGAAAGCAGCGGCTATCTACCACTCCATAGTTTTCAGTAGTCTCCTAACTAATATTAGTTCACAAGTGCTAAGAATTATCCTCAAAATAATACGTGTGCATTATTTTTATTCTCAAAGTGTATGCTAAAACAATGATATTTTGTCAGATTCCTTTTTGACCGTAACGAAATTTATTTTAATAAGTGTTTCAATAGCAAACTGTCAACAATTCATATTATTTATTTTACATAACATTTTTAATTTTTATAGAGTTCTCTAACATGATTAACGTATCAAGCACAACAATGAATACACCTCTGAATATGAGGAAAGGCATCACCACTGACAGAAGGTTAAATCATACACAGTAAGCTGTTATTATCCCATACCTACATTAATTGAGACTACATTTAAATTTCAGTAGAATTCGGATACCTCTATCTCAAGGATGAAAAACTAAAACTAGTTTTCTTGTTGAAATCTAGTTATAGTATTTTAAGATTTTGTTATCATCCTCTCACAATTTCTACCTGTTTGCTAGATGTTTGAAGTTCCGTATGGACTTAAAATGGTATCAGCCGTGTGGCAATGTTACGTAATTAGTGATTCTTCGCAAGCACTAAAACATTCACGGACTTTTAATTTGCCTTTATTTTCATACCTTGTGCCTTGTATTTCGTTTTTAAGAGGTTTATTTTAGTTGTTTTTAGACATCAAACATAGAAAGACATGTGTATTACTGTTCTTATTACGTGACATAAATGATTACTCTCGTTTCTCAGTATTTTTTACCGAATTAAAATTCACTGATTATATTCTAATGACTTTATTTAACGATGATATGAAATATGGATGAGAACTTGAGTGCTCTTCCATCTTTTCATTGATAATTCGTACGGTACATTCGTTCGCTTATTAGTTTGATATTTATAAGAAAGACGGTTAACTGTACTGGAAAACACACAAGTTAGGTAGACACGACAATTTCACATCGTCAAAGTCTTTGTGTTGATTTATTTAGAAATAAACTTTATAGCAGGAGGGAGAAGAGAAACCAACAATATTCGAAAACGACTTTTGAAAGTTCCCATAGAGAACAAGGAATATTAGAGCTCTAATACCTTTTGTTTTTCAATAGCGGAATGAAAATAAGAGAAAAAAAGATTTCGTAAAGAAAGAAAAACGGTGTTGTTTGGAAATTAAAAAATAAAAAATTGAGGACGTACTCACCATGCTAATCGATTACCAATCACGTGATTTAAAAGTACGTCAGTTTAAGTAACCTGTTATAGATATATATTTCATCAATATTCCACCTTATTGGTTTTGAGATATACGACTTAATTACATTCAAGTACACCATATACATATGTATCTATGGAATTCAAAAGTTTTGACACTGAACTTATTTGTAACATTTCGAACTATTTTCGAAGGAACATCCTACGGATGCATTTAAAATATCTGTCTTGTAGTAAGCTAATTATCAAGAATTGTCCGTAATAAGCATTTCAAAAAAATTAGATTACCTCAGAATAGGTGAAAACTAAATATTGTGGCTTTGATTACTGTTCATCGTCCATATCCAGTTAAGGACATTGTGAATGAATAGTATTTCCACTTTTATGCAATGTTATTGTTATTGTTTTGGGTGACCAACTTGTAATGTACGGATTAAAACATCCAGCTGAAATTTTGATTTCAAAATACTAGCCAGTTGATATATACAGTTTAATTGATCCATTTATTTTTTCTCCATAGGATTGAAATGGGGAAAATTGAAGAACACCTTTTAAATCCACCAACATCCGCTAATTGCATGGAGGAAGAGATATTCGCTATAGATGGTGAATATGAAGAATTTATGGGTGGTGTAACCGTTAGTAGGTGAGTATTTATTGGAACATGTGTTAGACATGAGTGGTTGTACATGATAACATGCTATGAACAGAGTTGTATTATATCTAGAGTAATATTTACAGACGTTTTCGAAAAATGTTTTTTGAACTAATTTTCGTAGCCCTTTCTATTAATAAGTAGTTTACTTATAAAATCAAAAAACCTCCGATTATCGCTTTGAAACTGAGTTATAAAACATCAGTAAGAAAGCTATCAGAACTTGTGTCGAGGAAATATTTGACTAACCTATAAACTATTGCGTCACAGGTTGGAATTGGAGCACAATAGTTCGTACTCTTTTCTCTACACATCGTATTTTGTTTTCAGACAACATTCGTGACTAAAGATCTAGTACATATAATGTTGAATTGCTACTGAGTTGCATTATCTACTGTGTTACAGTTTTATGATCCAAGACTGTAAAAGTTCAGAGGATATCAGTATCGTCATTGAAGTTTCCATCCCATTAAATAATATATGTTTGAGAGGTTAAACCACAATAAACATTTTCTACCCATAGAACATTCTTTTGCTGTTTTTGAGAGGATTGATCCTTATTGCTCTCACCAAATATAAACACGTTAAAACTTGTCTAATTTTTCATGTGTTAATCGGTTTAAATGCTTTTGTGGGAAGTGAGAATTAATGGACATGGATGTCAAATTGTTTGGTATATCAGACCAAACATTTTCTAGTGTTAGCTTTAATTGTTGTCATCGCTTGAGTTCGAACAGACAATCACTATCATTGTAATCAAGAAATATTTTCGAACACTTTTCTTTAGTAGATAGAAAGAACTCCGTTAGAAGTCTCTAGACGCTATGTAGATTAAAATGTTCTTTGTGTTGCACACTTACCAACGTTCGTTATTATATGTAAACTTTATTTGTTCAGCTAAGCTTAAGTATACTGAATTACATCACATATACAGTATCTTTTCTTTGGACGAATATGGAATGTTGAAGTTATAGCTTATTTCTGCTGTGATTCATTCTTGTTGTTGATATTGGTAGGATTTTGTTTCAATCGATTCTGTAATAAGTAAATTTGTCATCATATCATAATTTCTTAGACATGTCTCGCAGATAATTAGTTGAAGAAACTAATTGTAAACCATATGTTGCATCTACGCGTTTTTTTAATAATTAATTACCGTATATCCATATCTAGACAACTCCGATAAATATTTAAAACGAAGACATTTAATGTCATTGTTGTTATGTTTCTTAAATTCCCTAAAATGATAATAATTTCTTTGATTTAAAGTACATATTTCATTTCCCTAATGATAAAGCCAAGGATATTAATTTACAAAGATCAATAATTACTTTATTAATTAACCAATGAAAACCCATCACTACGCAACCTAGTTTTGTTAGTTGTATTCAGTGACACTATAAATTACTTTTCTAGAGGAATCAGTGAGATTAGAGATGTCCATGTAAGTTTCCAACAAAAAGGGAGGGAGACAAAGAATAATATTTTGTTTTATTAGAGTTTACGAAATCAATACTACATACTGTTTTCCTCAGTGGTTCTTATCTGTATTTAAGATTATTCTCTGATTTTATATCATTAAGTCTTATTTGTATTTGAGACTTCTTAAGTAGACTGTTGTTTAAACGGGCTTCGTTATTTCGTTGCTTAAATTTTTAAATGTATATTTGTCAGCTGATGAACTGTTGGAAACCAGAAATTAGATTGTAACTCCTCCCTAGTTTTGAAGCTTTTCAATCTGGTTACCTTTAGATCCAAAAAAGTAGGACCCCGAAAATTCAGATCCCTCAATAATTAAGATATTGATGAGTCAGGAATTGCACTGCAATGATCCATGTCTCCAAATTCAGACAATTTTATGTGGTACACCGATCCACAGCAAACTTCATCAGTGAGCAACTACTTTCATCTTAAATATGGTAAAAAATAAATTACAACGTCTAACAAGAATTTTAGTAAAATTATTTAGATGCCAGTAAATAGTTTTACGGCTGACATTAACTTATTGTGAAAACTGCCAACTTATATAATTCCTTAATAGGATTATTCAATAGCAACTTCTTTTATAAGCGAATAATTCTCCAGACTTATGCTTTAGGTACACTTTATTTGAAAGATAATTTGTTGTACTATGATATTAAGTACAAAACAGTCGTAATTGATGGGATTAAACACAGAAAATAGTATTTTAAATAATTGGAAACAAAGGACTACTTCACTTTGTTTAAAAGCAGCTTTCTATAAGACTCTTCATAGCAATTCATTCACGTTCACATAAGAATTTCACGTGTTCTTTTATAGTTGAAACTATGACGAAGTTAATCCAAATTTTAGGAAAGTTAATTATACCCTATTGCTCATTGAAAGTTATGTCAGACAAAAAGAATTTATCATATTTACACCGACAAATAGTATTTACTACTTTTAATCAGGAGTCACAGTTCATTATTTGTTTTACAAACTAAAGTTTAGATGTTATGAATACTTTGAATGTTCGCATTCTAATGTACATTTACAAGATTACGAGAAACCTTTTTAATCATAGTATTTAATTGCTTTGTAATAAATGAGAAACATGTTAATAGTCTCAAAACACCTAGGATATTGGTGATAATTTAATGACTACTAAGTCACAAAAACTAAAATAACTTAACAATGATAATTATTAAATTTATTAAGTATTGTTTGTTTGAATCTTCCCATCGATGTGTTAGGACTGCAACTGGTCAGTCTCTAATTGGCATATGTGCATACTGTGCGTATTGCCCCATTATAGCCTTAATTCACAAGCATGGTAAGCAGAGAAGGATAGTGGCTAGCAGTAGAATCCAGGACGCGCGTTTCGTCCTATTTTGGACTCGTCATCTGGATGTACCTGCATCTCAGAGTTGATGTTCACTCTGGGACTCGAACCCAGTACCCTCGCTTCAAACGCCATCGCGTTATTCACTAGGCCACTGAGTCATGATGCTTATTACTTATAAACCAATTTTTATGATTAAATTTACCTTTATGGATAGTAAACATTGAAGTCAATGAACTATCAACTATAGGTGAGACGAGTAATTATTTCAAAGCTTACCTAACATCAATAGCTTAATCTTGTTCCACGTTTGTTTTGTAATTCTTTTGTGAATAAATTTTGTATTTCCTAGATACTTTTAATATTACTTGTCTCGACAACCTGTAACAATTAATTTGTTACACCAAGTTCAGTTCGTTGGTTGATCGACAATTTCAAAGTATGAGTAATCACCTTTTTTATGATGGTAACCAAAGTATAAACAATAGTTTCTTTCATATCCAGACGGTTTCATTTTGAGACTATAAAATATCATGTGTTCTCGGTTTTCAGCAAATACAATCCAACTTGCAATATTGAACAAGGCAAACAATTATCATCATATGATCATACGCATTTTCGTGATAAATTGTTATTTAATGATAAAGAACCTAAAATTTCGAAGTCCCATCAAAGTAACCGACATCATGTTCATCATAACTATCACAGTTATCATCATTTTAGACATAAACACAGAGAAAAATCGAATCCTGCTCCAACACATTCGAATTCAGAAGAATATAATGGAAAATTATGTATCTTACCTGATGCAGTATCTAATTCGTGTTTCCCCTCATCGCCATGCATAGAATTGGAAAGGGTTAAACAACCCAATAGTTTGGAAAATTGTTATTCGGAAAGCGACTTTACTGACCCGCCATCGAATTCAGTTGAAATGGTTCTTAGAATAATATCTGAGCAGCTATGGAATGATCTAACGCAATGGACGGAGATGTTATTATGTAAGTACGATGCAACTGTGTTTGTTGTTTTAAGCATATTTTCTTTGTTTGTTTCCAACCAATATAGATTTTGGAGTTTTAACTGTTTTACACTTCAGTAAATGAAGTAATCATGCACAGTCTAAAGGTGAAACAGATAACAGAATGAACTATTTCATGACGATGAATTACATGACTGACTACAGTCTTTATATGTGGTTTCAAAACACATGAGATAAGTATAAATAAAAAATTGTTTATTGCAAACCATAAGAAATTAGATTGAACTGATGACTAAGTACCTGTAAATAAAATTGTTACCATTGTATTCAAACACAATGAACTTATAAACTGGTTATATATCAAATAACGGAGTGAATTATTTTATTCAATGTTTATGCCAGGCCTCGTAAGGAATGTGGTTTTTTAAAGTTGGTACAAAAATTATAAATAAAATCAGATGACTTCAATGAGTTTCGGGATATTGAATGTTCTTCCACTTCCAGTCATAAGAGTATAACTAAAAAACAGACATATGAGATATTTATTTACTACACATTACATAAGTAATACTCTGTAATCACAATTATCACAGATAATAATATCCATAATTTTGTCTGAAGTAGTTATAAGTCATGATATGTTTCTTAATTACCCCAACTCTCAAAACGCGGAAATCTCCAATCATCTCACAATATTTTCTGTAATTGAATATGTGATGCAAAAGTGTTGCATAATTTTTGTTCTCATAAAAGTCAATATAATACTACGGAAACAGCATTACAAAAGTTCAATACTCACTTCCTTCGACATACTGACAAAATCAACGAATTTAAGATAGCTCTCAACAACAGCTTCCAAGCCTTACAAGATCTACTGGAAGAAGAGGAAACTACTATGGAGGACAATTGGAAAGGGGTCAAAGATGCACTAAGTTCAACGTGTCAGGAGGTTCTGGGCCTGAAGAAGCAGCGTCATAAGGAATGGATCACTATCAAAACCCCGAACAAGATTCAAGAAGTGAAGACAAGGAGATAGCAATTAACAACAGCCGAGCGAGAACAGAGAAATTCGAGGCACAAGCTGAATACACAGGAGGAAACAAACAAGTGAAGAGGAGCATTAGAGCTGACAACAAGCAGAAATACGTGGAAGACCTAGCAACGACACAGGAAAAAGTTGCAAGAGGAGGAAATATCAGACAACTGTGTGACACAACGAAGAAACTGGAAGGGAAATATAGTAAACCAGAGACACCGGTCAAGTACAATGAAGGTAAGCCAGTCACTGAGATTCAAGAACAGAAAAAAAGATGGGTAGAACACTTTGGGGAACTCTTGAATATGCCAGCCCCACTTAACCCACCGGACATCAAAGCAGCACACACAGACCTACCTATAAATGTCACTCCACCAACGATTGAATAAATCAGGATGGCCGATCATCAGACAAATAAAGAGTTGGAAAGCAGCAGCACTTGACAATATACCAGCCGAAGCACTGAAGTCAGACATACAAGTAACTGCAAACAAGTTCCATGTTCTATTTAGGAAGATTTGGAAGGAAGAACAAGTGCCACTGACAGACTGGAAAGAAGAGTACACCTCATCGAGATATCGAAGGAAGGTGATCTGTGCAAATGTAAGAACTACAGAGGTATCACACTACTACCGGTACCAGGGAACGTTTTCGACAGAGTGTTGTTGAATCGGATGAAAGATCCAGTAGACGTCCAGCTTCGAGATCAACAGGCCAGATTTCATAAGTTTTGGTCGTGCACAGACCAAATCGTGACACTACGGATGACTGTTGAACAACCGATTGAATGGAGCTCACAACTATATATCAACTTTCTTGACTATAAGAAAGAATTCGACAACGTGGACAAGAGAAAAATCAAAGAATACAGTGCTCCGAGAATCGGAAGCAGACAGCAATAAAATGATTAACAAATGGTAGCAACTGGAAAGGATTGTCCGGTACAGGTTTCGATGGGGAATACTGGTGGGCGGCCGATTCTCCTCCGCGACGGTAACAGGAGTAAGTAAGTAAGTACTAATTTACAATCCAATTTTGTGGAAAATAACGAACCCTAAATACAAAACTGTCATTATGTTTTTTTTATTTATTCATATTTTACTTCAACTAACGAAGTAGTTTTCTTATGATATATCCTGAAATGTTTATTATTTCGTTTTCAGCTGAGAATATGTTTTCGAACTTAAACAAATACGAAACTAATGGAAGTAGTCATAAAGCTTCTCCTCATAGTCCACTTCAATCTTATCGACTACGAGATAGCACGTTATCACGATACAATTCATCAGTTGGAGATGCACAAAATTCATCCACTTTGACATCATTCCGACTACCCAAACAAACAAAGCATTCCAATTTAGATACATCAAACTGCCTTAGCAGTCAACATACTGTACAAACTCATGAGTCAAATGTTGAACTCGCCGATCTTTTGCAAATTTCAACCAAAACACTACAAACCCGTGAAAAGTCGTTAGTTCAGTAAGTCTTACTGTGTAAAATCGTATTTTTATTGTTAAAAGAAACTGATAGTATATTATTATAAACTCAGAAAACGAAATTTCATCTATTCTCCTAATCATCATATGAGAGGAATATCAACCTCATAGGACATGCTTAACACGTTTGAGTTTATATATTACGTGACTAGCAGAATCAGCCTGCTTTCAAACAAATCAGTGTATCCACACAATCTACCATGTTGCTTAGACATAAAGAGCTAGTTAGTTCTTATCCATGTTGATTGCCTTTAAAGCCTTTTTGCCCAAGATATTTTTAAACAAACTTCTGCTATTTTCAGTATGGGGTTGTGGAGATTGTTGAATTTCACTGAAATCATGAACCGATCAATGTTAGACCACAATTGAAAACCTGAAAACACTGGAAAGCCGTTTCGTTCTAGTGAGTTTTCAGGAGAAGCCGTTACCACTGGAGTTCAACCGTGTCGAATATGAAGCAGCTACTCACAAGACACAGTGGGAGATAGCTGCGCAATATCGTGGACTGGTTGGCGTTAGACGTTAACACTGGAATGCAGGCTGTGGTTTAGAGGTTAGGCGTTTACATGAGACTGGAGGTCCTGGGTTCGAGTCCCACGTGCGAAGTCATGAGTGTGCACTCTTGATGAGTCCCATACAAAGACAGGACGGCCGTACAGTTCTCCCAGGTTTTCGATGGTGGTTTAACATTGACCGGTTCATGATTTTAACGAGGTTTCTTCTACGTTAGAAGGTACGAATTCGTTAAGACCACAAATCATTTTCATCTGCGTTTTATTAGTTTGGGGAATTCAGTTGATAAACCCTTTAACAAAAAGCTAACGGATTCGCACTACATAAATCTATGCTTGTTTTTTCTTTCACTTACAAGGCCTCTGTAATTCTTTCTTACTGTGTAGCTTAACAGGCCAATTCGTATTAGAGAGTTCCTATGAAGAATTTAATTCAATTATATTGAAAATGTTTGAACCTAGTAACTGGCAAAGCTAGAAATTACATTTTTAAATTTTATGGAATTTAAAATGTTTTTATCAGTAGACTACATGACCTTTGTGTTCATTATTGCAATCTGGTCTGTATATTTTATGTACCACAGCTGATGGCGTTTTGATTTTTTTAGTGAGCTATCAACTGTGTTTCATTTTCTACACAGAATTGGTTTGTTACATATATCGTCGTAACCGAATAGTAAATTAGACTCTGGATGATTTCTGGTATATTTTTTGCACATTAATACGGTTTAACTCCTTTTATTTGCCACCTAGTACATATTTCCTCTTGCTAAGTAAATAATATCCTTAATCATTTTCCCTTGTTTTTTACATTCTATATTTCACTATGTTATATTTAAAGTGATGGTTACATTTTCTTTTTTTATTAGACTTATATACGTTGTTTTATGATTCTGTTCCTTGTGCTTCTTGTTCTCTATTTAAAATTTATCTCTGGCTCTGAAACAGGATTCCCCTTTATACTGTTAGTCATTTTCTTTAGTCTGGTCCTATTATTTATCTAATAGCAGCAGTAGTAATCCATACGAATCCGACATTAACCTCACTACTATATATATTTTATGAGTTTAGTGCTTTGTTAGCGACTTCTGTTACGAATGTATTTTGCTTATTTAGTTGATGTGAAATAGTGTAATTATGAAGCTTGTCATCTCCACTGGCATTTGAACGCTGTAACTTGTTTCACATGTCATACTTTTGCAATTCGCCAATAACATTGACTAAAATGAAGTCATTAGTTCGTGTGGATTTATATACTTTTAATATATTAATATGTTTCATATAATTTCTTTTAGGTAAGGAAACATTTTTTATCTTTCAAAGAAAGAAAAAAATAGACATTTTTAGTTAGAGGTTTTTGCAGGATAAGTTGAATAATTTTTTCCCAATCCAGAAATGTATAAAAATAAGAACCAGATTTGCATCTGCGATAGGTCTTTATTTAGAAGACTACACGATTTTTTAATGGCATGTTTCGGTGATTGATCAGTGTTAAGGCTTTAATTAACACTGGAAGTCAAGGAATTTAGACTTAAATTCCAGTAGATTAAAAAATGATTACTTAGTGTTGCACAATCTACAGTGCGGTTCTATGCAAATGGTTATCGTTTAATTTTTAGTTATTGAATGGCGATTAAGAATCTCGTTACTCTAATTTAGATATGAGCAGCCAAATGATATCACTAGCCTTCAAGCATAAAAGTGCGGCTCAATATTCAGTGCATAAACCTGTGTTCCTTCGCTAAGTGCAAAAATGTTTTCGCTTCATACAAATTTATTCCGGTTGACTTAACTCCTAAACAATGTTTTGCGACATTAAAATAATTCAGAAGTATCAGCATTTTGAAAATGTTTTAACTGTAAGTTTTATCATTCAATTGATCATTTTTTTGTACAATATCTTGAATTGTCGGTCTTTTTAATGAAAGAAAGGAATTTATCTTAATTATGATTAGGTTTGAGCAGATTTTTATTGTTTAACAATCTTGTTTGTTGAATAATTTTACTACTTCTTTTCAGAGAAAACAATGATCCTTTTACTAAAATACAATACACTGGAAGTAACACAATTTTGAAAGATTCTACAAATAATCATTTGATATCTTCTGTAGGTGGTTCACAGTTGACATCAGTGACTATGACAACCATTACTACAGCATTATCTCGTATAAGTCCTCAATCCATCGGAACTATTTCTATTAACAGGCCAATATCCAGTTTAAACAATAAATCTGCAACCAATGTTCCGCGTAAAGTTCTCCTTACGTGTAATAGTTCTGTGCCTGAAATACCTCGTCATAGCAGAACCAGTAGAGTTGCTGTTGTTGGTGTTGCCGCTAACTTATATCACAATGAAAAACTTGCTCCATTAGATAGATTACGTACACCTGTACCACTGCAGTACTCTTTTATATCGGAGGAACAATCGTTTAACACAGTATCATCAACAACAGCAATAATACATTTTACAAATACAGAAAATTCCCTTAACTCTATCTGTTCGACAAGTTTAGCAAAATGTCGTGATTTAAATGTTAGTCAACTGTTATCCTCTGCAACAGCAAGCAATGCCTTAACTTCACTCCCACTAGTAATAACAACAACAATACTGCACACCATACCTAATTCAATGAATAATAGTAGCCAAATTTCGTCGGTGAATACAACCAATATGATGAATGAAACTATAAGTTCAAGCGATTTCACGTTACCCCCGTTATCTAATCCAATAAACATTTTATCAACTGTCAACACAACTATATGTTTTCCTCCATCCAACTCTTCAAATACAGAATCAAGCCTGCCAAATCCAAAGAATAATTTATCTACAACTAATAAAACTGGATTTGGAATATATCAAGTTAGCGAACAAAATAACCAGCGTACAACACGTTTACATAAAAAAATATATGAAAATTTAGTTGGGAAACAAAATAATAATAACAATGCTCTTGGGAACACATCTATCTTTACACAAAAAATTCCATCGAAATTATCTATGAATGGGAATCAAAATTCTCTAAAGCAAGTAAGCCAAAATCTGTGAGGTGTAATTAGAATTAATTCTTGTATTTTGTTGAACAATTTTAAGAATACATAACTATTTTGCATAATGTCTACTTCTGAAGCACCAATTATTCCTTTTTTTTAATATCTATGGAAATCATAGTAATTCAGAATGAAATCACTTGTAGTAATCGTTTAACTAATTCAATAAAAAGAACAAATACACGAATTGACAAAATAAGTGTCATATGTATGTTCACATAACCTGCAATACACGAGTAAAAAAGTGTTATGTTTAAGAAAATTCCATAACTCATTTATATGATCAAGCTTATTTTATAAGATAGATTCGCACCGATGCCACACTATTCGATAAATATAATTGGTAACTCCATTACCGTATAACTCACCGAGCCACGGTATATCAAAGGATAAATCCGGGCTTGTGATTGAGAAGTATATATTTTAAAGAAAAATACGATTCTATTACGTAAGGGTTTCTTCTCATTGATTGTCAGTTGGATTTTAGTCAGTCAGTCATATACGACGTGGAACCTGGTACGTATGTACTTTAGTTTAAGCTTCCATACCCCATTAGCATATATATATTTATTTCTCAGGCCATATTGTAGAGTTGTAGAGGTAGTAACAGTATCGGTGATGATAGTAAAGATTGGGTACCGAAAGCACAATTTAAAGAAAAATAAATTATCGAGATGAAAAACGCTTTGTACAGAATTTAGATACTTGGGATATAATGAAAGCAAGATTTTAATCGCTGAAAAATTCCCATCATATTAAAACACAATTATATGAACGAAGAATATTCTTTTCAATAATTTCTCATCAGGTTCTACAATTATAAATTAATAATCCATAAAAGAAGATTGGCCAAGTTTAAGGCGGAGTACATCAATTTAAGAAACTGTAATATGTGAATCAAGGATTGTTTGTCATAAAATAAGATCGAATCATTAATGTTTTTCGGATGACTAATATGAAGTGTTAACTTGAATCAGTTTATAGGTGAAATAAAATCGTAAGATAAATTATCAGAATATATATAGTTGACATGGGGGTGAGAGCTACAAAAATAGGATTACAAATCGGAAATTACGTAATATGTAGAATTATATAAATTAGGTCAGATATAGTAGATTTTATAGACGGATGAGTTGTATTGAATAGCTGCAGTGTCTCCATTAAGTCACATGTGAGGAGGAAAATGGAGGTAGGATCGCTTTTCTAGATGTTCTCCTTACAAGGAGAAAAGACGGTTCATTAAAGAGAAATATAAACAGGAAAACATCGTGGATGGGTCAGTATACTAACTTTCTTAGTTTTGTTCCTCTACAGTACAAAAGGAACCTAATTAAGACATTACACTATAGAATTAAGACCATATGCTCTGAAGATACGGTCGAAGAAGAAACAAAAGCATTATATATGACCCTGAGGGAAAATGGATACCCGGAGAAATTTATAAACAAAAACATAACTAGTAAAAGAGACCATAAAGAATGTTTGACTGTGAATAAAAAGCCTCTGTATATACGTCTACAATTCAGAGGTGACGCACCTAGCGAAATGGTAAGATTGAAACTACGAAGATCAATCGAAAGGACTTTTAATGCAGGTAAAATACAACTAATGTTTTCCGCACGCCCAATGATCACGCCGACGTTGAAAGATAAATTGCCTAGACTAGCCACTTCCTTCTGTATCTATCAATTCAACTGCTCCTGTGGAGCAAGTTATATAGGCAGATGTTCTAGGAATTTGTATACTCGGGCTCGTGAACACCTTCCAGTGTGGTTAAGCAAAGGTGTAGTCAGAACGGTTAACAGCTCTGTTTTAGCCCATTTAGTTCAGACGGGACATAGAGCCGACATTGAGAAATCTTTCACAGTAATATATCGTGTAAATAGCAGTCTACCTACTGTATCTTAGCAGTCTACCTAATTCTGTCAGACAGAGAATCCTGCAGACGGCTGAGGCAATTGCTATTCGGATAAAAAAGCCAGAGCTCTGCATCCAAAAGAAATATGTACAGCCACTCCTTTTACCCTGGCCAACTGCAGGGTCAACTTGTTAATGATCAATTTTGTAATATGGTGACATTAATTTGATTAATGTTCACTTCTATATCTCAAACTTAGTTTATCTACACATCTTATCAGTCATTATTCTTATTATTATTATCTTTATTATTATTATCACACCTGCTAACCTTTTATAGAAATTTATTTATCATCCACCCCCTATCTACTATATCTGATCTAATTTATATAATTCTACATATTACGTAATTTCCGATTTGTAATCCTATTTTTGTAGCTCTCACCCCCATGTCAACTATATATATTCTGATAATTTATCTTACGATTTTATTTCACCTATAAACTGATTCAAGTTAACACTTCATATTAGTCATCCGAAAAACATTAATGATTCGATCTTATTTTATATGACAAACAATCCTTGATTCACATATTACAGTTTCTTAAATTGATGTACTCCGCCTTAAACTTGGCCAATCTTCTTTTATGGATTATTAATTTATAATTGTAGAACCTGATGAGAAATTATTGAAAAGAATATTCTTCGTTCATGTAATTGTGTTTTAATATAATGAAAGAAAAAATGCGCACCGATCCTCGCCAATGAGAACGATTTTGAGCTGTCAACCAAAGTCTCTAACCATTAGTCAAGTTTAATTAATTAGAACTTAAATGAATGTCACACTGAACTAATGTCATACTGAATGAGTGCATTCATACCAGAAATTTTCAGAATAAAATCTCATATCACACTGAAATAGTTAATGACTGAAATTGTCAGAATATAATCCAAGCTTATACTGAACGATTATGATACTGAATAAATCCATAATCTCGCTTTTGATTGATTCCCTTTACTTTCATAATAGTATATCGATAAATGGTGTCTTAGTTGAATTTTATTGAACATTTAGTATACGTTTTAATACCTGCGATATTTGAATTTAACTCTTTAACCCCTTAATATTACAGTGCTCACGTGTTCTGTCTTCTATATAAAATATATAAAAATGGAGGCGATATCTATTTTCATATCACCTCTTAAGGCTAAGATTCTATAGTTCATACTGGTATTCGTTGGAGATTTTCATTTTTGTTTTATATTATTTCATTCCTATATTTAAGAAAAACAAAAGCTTGTTCTATTTCCAGGCAATTGAGTAGCAACACACTCAGGTTCTCATACCATTTATGATTGCAAATAGGGAGGTAAACGATTATTACTGTTAGCACCAACCATCAACATTCGTTTTTGTATTGATTGTTTGGATCTTCCCATTGATGTTTAAGACTGAAATTGATCAGTCTGTCATGGGCATATATGCATCCTGTGTGGATTGCCTCGATATTGCCTTAATTCACAAGCATTATAAGCAAAGATGGATAATGGATAGCACTGGAATCCAGGAAGCACGTTTCGTCCTGTCTGGTACTTATCAAACGGATGTACCTGCAACCAATAAAAAATGAATTAAACTTTACTCCATTGCACAAGCTAGTGGTTGTTTGGGCTCAGTTGCGAAGTGGTTGACAAGATAGAGTTGGAAGCAAACGGTACTGAGTTGGAGTTTTGGCGTAAACATCAACTTTTTGACATAGGCACACCCAGCTGACGAGTCCCAAATGGGACGAAACGAGCGTCCCGGATTCCAGTGCCAGCCTCCATACATCTCTTATAACGACCAACACTGTTTTGTGACGTTTGCTAATTCAGGTGAAACTGCGATTATATATATTCAAAGGAAAATCCTTCAAGTTTCCCATTTTTATTTGCATCAAAAGATTTAGTAAAACCTAAGAATTCATCCTCCTATTTCGTCTATTCATGATAAACCTAAAATCATTAGACATACGAATGAGATTAGCCAAATTTTCCATCATACAAGACTTTGATACCATCGTCGTTCATTCCGGTTTCGATTTGTATTGCTGTGTCTTTAAAGTACGGTTATTAAATAGATTTATTCAACAGTCTTGTGTATGAGGGATCTGAAAATTCGAATACCCAGTGGATTACTAATTAACTGCAGTGTCACGGCGGTCTGGATATATTATTAACATAGTGTACAACCGAAAATTCCTCTTGGTCTTTTCAATTTAATCATCCTTCAATCTCAGGTAACTTCTTTTGGTTTCTTACTAAGTAGAGTCTGTTAACACTCATTGTTTGAATATTGTGATTATTTCTATTTTACAATCCGATCCCTAACTTCGAGTAAATAATAAAAAGGTATGGAGTTTCGAATGAAAATAATTTATTTGAACACAATATTTTGTTGACGATAATGATAAACCTTATTGTCCACTTCACTTAGTATTGTTTGTTTGGATCTTCCCATCGATGTGTTTAGGAATGCAGCTGGTCAGTCTCTAATTGGCATATGTGCATACTCTGCGTATTGCCTCATTTAGCCTTAATTCACAAGCATGATAAGCAGAGATGGATAGTGGCTAACACTATCCATCTCTGCTTATTGTCCACTGTTTCTAATCTTCTTAACATTATTATTTTTTCATAAAGCTCCATAAAATATAATTGCACTAAACTCGTAGATTGCACAAGAATTTATCCCAAGAGACTTCTTGTTTAAAGAGAGTATTCAACCAGTCTTTTTATTCTTGAATCTTCCCAAACATTAAAAGAACTACATAATTTTTTATCGTGTTTCTTTTTTTCACTCAGGATTCATTTCCTTTACCACCTATTGATATATTTAAAGACCGATTTGGAAGAAAGAAAAAGCTATGGCGACCATACAGTTCAAGACCGTTATTAATAAATAAATCAATTACGAATCCCTCTAGTATATTGACAAGAGCTTGCTCAACATTGTTAATTCAAAACCCTGAGACTTATAATGACTCATGCTCAATGAAAATAAGTAGGTTATGCTTCAACTGTGTATGCTCTTATATTTTGAATAAATAAATAACATAAAAATTACGTAAAGATTCAACAACAGTCATTGGAATACGGTCCTATGAATAATAATGCAGCCTTCTGACTGACAAATAAAGCGATCACCATTGATCATGAGAGCATTTTGGTAGTTAGAAACAAGTGATACATTTTTCATCTAGCTTTTTCTTTTTGCTCAAAATATAATTATTTTTAATGAATTCACATCACAGATATTACCTAAAAATCAACGTAATTTATTTACTGATACCTGTGTGAACACAATACTGTCAAATACTGTTTACGGTCGTGACTAAGGTTCCGCAGTTTAGGCCGTTTGAAACTGCTCTTTTAAACATTTTTACACAGCCTTCCAAATAACCAGTGCTGAACACGATCATAATGGGGACTGAACTGCATGTTTAAAAACAAAGATCAAATTTTCCAACTTTAACTAACTTTTTTATCCTAATCTACAGAGCAACAATCTGTCTAAAGCAAATGATGTCACTGTGCGTTTTCATCAATCTCTCCAAGCAATCTGTGAACTGTAACCTTTTAATATTGTTTTCATGGACTATAATTTAGTTTCATCCATACTACTGGTCTGATGTTAACACTTATACGTAATATTTACTGTTGTTTTATTAATTCGAGTTTTCTTTTTTCTTTTCCTTCTGCCTCTAATAAGGTCCAGCAATTTTCATTGGCTCTACAACTAATCCTATAAGAGGTAATGATGCAGTTACACGTTGATGAGTACATCCAAATTTTTATTAATATGAAGTTGAGAAGAGATATATTCGTTAGTGATCGAGCCAAGCAAAGGATATCATCATCTTCAGTCGTTCATAAAAAGGAAACTACAAAACTGTTTTACATTTGCTGCAGGTAGATAGAAAGAATAATCTTTATGAACCCTTTATCTATCTATCTATCTATATATATATATATATATATATATATATATATATATATATATATATATATATATATATATATATAATGTACATTTCCCTATATGTATATCCACGTATTACCAATCACATTTATTAATCTAAAACTAATCATGTATTTGAGTTTAGCTGTAAATATGTATTTTTCTAAACTTTTTTGACTCATTTGTATCAAGGCATGTATATAATAAAATATATATATTGTCTTTAATAGTTATGTCGGCTTAATTTATATTGTTAGTTGACTCCATTTTACAGTGAAATTAGTGAGCAGGTGATTACAAATTGGTTCTCATAATCAACATCTAATATTAACCAGTAACGACTAATGATGGTAGACACCGATAACTATAATTTGACATAGCGTTCAGCAGAACGACACATATAAACGAATAGTATTGTTTGTTTTTACTCTGATATACAATAATAGGTTTATCTGTGTATTGAAAAATATTAAACCAGTCTAAGCGATTAGTGGGTTATTGCTTACCATCAAATAGATTACATAACTAATCGTATTAAATCAAAGCTACACACTGATAGTAAGATGACATGGTCATCCATAGTGATCGAAACAATAATCGTACTAATTTCAACAGAAGTATGTTGAAGATTGGACAAACTGTATGGATAATCAGTTCACATATTTGAGTAGTGAATAACAGATTTGAAAAGATGTGAAAAATAACCAATATTGGAATGGAAAACACCGGGTATGAACATATCATAAAACGACATGGACTAGGAGATCGGGACGAGAATGGCGAAAAATTCGCAAATTTATGAATATTCAACAAATTGGTTATAGGCGGCACAATATTCCCACACAAAGCTACATGGGTCTCACCAAATCACACTACACAGAACCAGATCGACTATATTTGCATAAATAAGACATTCAGAAGACCCATGGGAGACGCGAGAACAAGGAGAGGAGCTGACATAGCTTCGGATCACCATCTGGTGGTTTTCAAGATGAAACAGCAGCTAAAAATGGAATGGACAACTGGAGAAACAGCATTACAAAGGTTCAATACTCACTTCCTTCGACATACTGACAAAATCAACGAATTTAAGATAGCTCTCAACAACAGCTTCCAAGCCTTACAAGATCTACTGGAAGAAGAGGAAACTACTATGGAGGACAATTGGAAAGGGGTCAAAGATGCACTAAGTTCAACGTGTCAGGAGGTTCTGGGCCTGAAGAAGCAGCGTCATAAGGAATGGATCACTATCAAAACCCCGAACAAGATTCAAGAAGTGAAGACAAGGAGATAGCAATTAACAACAGCCGAGCGAGAACAGAGAAATTCGAGGCACAAGCTGAATACACAGGAGGAAACAAACAAGTGAAGAGGAGCATTAGAGCTGACAACAAGCAGAAATACGTGGAAGACCTAGCAACGACACAGGAAAAAGTTGCAAGAGGAGGAAATATCAGACAACTGTGTGACACAACGAAGAAACTGGAAGGGAAATATAGTAAACCAGAGACACCGGTCAAGTACAATGAAGGTAAGCCAGTCACTGAGATTCAAGAACAGAAAAAAAGATGGGTAGAACACTTTGGGGAACTCTTGAATATGCCAGCCCCACTTAACCCACCGGACATCAAAGCAGCACACACAGACCTACCTATAAATGTCACTCCACCAACGATTGAATAAATCAGGATGGCCGATCATCAGACAAATAAAGAGTTGGAAAGCAGCAGCACTTGACAATATACCAGCCGAAGCACTGAAGTCAGACATACAAGTAACTGCAAACAAGTTCCATGTTCTATTTAGGAAGATTTGGAAGGAAGAACAAGTGCCACTGACAGACTGGAAAGAAGAGTACACCTCATCGAGATATCGAAGGAAGGTGATCTGTGCAAATGTAAGAACTACAGAGGTATCACACTACTACCGGTACCAGGGAACGTTTTCGACAGAGTGTTGTTGAATCGGATGAAAGATCCAGTAGACGTCCAGCTTCGAGATCAACAGGCCAGATTTCATAAGTTTTGGTCGTGCACAGACCAAATCGTGACACTACGGATGACTGTTGAACAACCGATTGAATGGAGCTCACAACTATATATCAACTTTCTTGACTATAAGAAAGAATTCGACAACGTGGATTGGAGAACATTATGGAAACTTCACCGACAATATGGTGTACCTGAGAAAGTTCTCAACATCATCTGGAATTTATACAATGGACTACATTGTTAATTCATGCGATAAGGACAGCTAACAAACCCATTCCAAGTGAAGAACTGTATAAAACAAATATAACTACTCTTTCTTTTTTGTTTTTTCTGGTGGTTGATTGGATTATGAAGATTTCAAAATCTAAGGGGAAATGTCGTATACAATAGACAGCTTCGATGCACCTTCATGACTTGGTCTTTGCAGATGACCTTGGTCTTCTATCCCACATACATAAACAAATGCGCGTGAAGATAGCCAGTGTAGCAGCAATCTTTGCATCAGTATGCCACAACATACACTAGTAAAGTGACAAGACCCTCAGTCTGATTATACTTGATAGAGGCGCTCTGGAAGAGGTGGAAGGTTTTACGTACCTGGACTGCATCATCGATAAAGAAGAAGATTCTTATACAGATGTAAATACAAGGATTAGCAAAGCACTTGATATGTATTTATAAACAATTGTCTACGGAAGATACTCAGTGTTCGTCAACAGTCTACTGTGGAAGAGATCAAGTCAGCTTACAACTGTAGAGGAATTTAGCAAAACACACTAAAAGTGGACAGGATGTACATTGAGAAAAGCCTCAAAATGCATCACGAGGCAAGCACTAACTTGAAATCCTGAAGGGGACATGTAAAGTGGAAGACCAAGAAACACATTGCGCCGCAATTGGAAGCAGACATCAAAAGAATAAATAACAGCTGAAACAAATGGAGAGGATCGCTTAGGTTATAGTTGGATGGAGAATGCTTGTGGACGGCCTATGCTCCTCCATGAGAGGTAGAAAACACAAGTAAGTAAGTGGTTAATATGATTTTCTCCACATGACTGGTTGAACTCATAAATACCTATTTGGACGATAAGACCAGGAAACACATTCTTCAAATTAGGAACTGGAAAACGACAAATAGATATTATCTGCATACGAAGTCTTTTTCACATCCCTGCTTAGTCTATCATATCAAACATGACTAGTTCTATTCCCGTTGAATAGTTTCTTCAAGAAGAAAGGTTTTTTTTACAAACAGTCCATCGGGTTTGATTTTCCCTTGACCGTTGTTATATGCTTTGGGTTGGAGAATGCTGGTCGGCCTATGCTCCATTGGGAGTAACAGGCGAAAGTAAGTAAGTTGTTATATGCTTATTCATAAGACTCTGTGAGTAATCTATTTGCCTTACTGTTTCTCCTCTTTGAATATTTTAAGCGACGTTGATGAATATGACATCCAACCTACCACCAATCTCCTTGAGAGTTCCACTTTTTTTAATTTTGCAAAAAAAGCAAAATAAAATAGGGTATAAAGGTGATCCTATACCCGTACTATGAACTTGTCTATCATAAGTTGTTTTAGAAAGAATGAACTTACACTGTGTACCTTTAATTTAATTATTCGAGGCTAGTCACCAAAATTCGAAAATTGATTTTCCTGACATCCGTTGAAACACAGTCGATTATCTCAATTACTAACAAGAAACTGTTCGCTTTAATGTGTTGTCCTAACGTAATTTTATCATGTTTTAAAATGCAGTCATTGAGTTTGCAGTAATTATAAAAGCTAAGTGACTCAATACTACAGTTCACCTTATTTTATTCGAAATTAATATATCCAAACGGTTTGTCCCTGCTCTACGTGGAAATTACGATTTGTTTCTCCATTTTTTATCTGCGTCTAAGTCATAAGACATTTGAATCCATAACTAAAAGTGATTGATTTTTGTCTTTGAAATAGCGTGCGTCTTTTCGAGATTGTACATACCTTTATCTATCATCATACTCTATATAAACCTCTAAATAACATGCTAGGAATTATAGATATGCGGAGTAAACGAAATTAAAGACGTTTGATATTTTACGTTGCTCTATTGAATTTTTTAATGATGGACCAGGTTGAGTTTCATTTGTGCTTTCATATATCATTAGTTCAAAAGCTTTCAGCAATATTTGAGCTGGTGTTTGGATTGTTTTTCTGAAGTAGTATTTTCATGAGACAGTTTGAGTTGTTCGCTGAAGTAATGTTTATTTTCTTAATATTTTACAACCTCTATCTTTCGGACTGATTACTGCCGTCACTGTTTGGATTCATACTCCTTTTTACCGTTTATTAATAATTTATGCTGATACTTAACAGCATTTCCTATAAATCAACACCTTGTATATTACCCACATTAAACGATAGTTTGTATCTCAGTTGAGAACAATTTTTGTATCAATAAAAACTATTCAGTTAATATGTTTATCATATTTATTTATTTTCACTACTTATTATGATCTTCATCTGCTTTAATATTAAGTTATTTAAAGAACCACTTTGATATATCTGTTTTAATTTTAATTCATTTGTATCAGTTGTCCAAATCTTCGCATTGATGTTTAAGACAAAATATGATCAGTCTCTTTTTGGTGTATGTGCATCCTGCGCGGATTGCCTCGTTATTTCCATCAAGTCACAAGAATTTACAAAGATTTTTTTCGTTTATAAGGGTCAAACGAAGTTGAGATTATTAGCAGATTAGTCAGTTAAATACCTCCGTGTCACTAACCGAACTATGCATAGATAAATATTAAGTGGTGCTAAATATTACAACATAAGGGGCTGAAAATGTTAGTTATTCTGTAATAACATTTTTCAGAGTTTAACACGAACTGAATGACTTCATCGAGATACTAAATCGAATTCACTCGATTACATGGGATAATTGAAACAGAATGTTTTTCAAAGAAAATCCGGGTATACAATTCAGTTAGTGAATTCTCACATTTTTATTATAAGAGCGCAAAATGTGTAAGCTACTGTTTACGTGTTGTTGCTTAATAACATGAATGTAAAGTGTATTTTATATACTTCTGATTTAAAAATACCATTACACTAAGGAAATTTAAAACTTACTTTTATACCATATTTTATTCAAACTGTTCGCTTAGTCATTTTTTAATCTTAACTGTATTGAAATAGTGCCATATCATTATGTTTCAGCATAGTGTTGATTTGAAAATATGTCGAGGTAACAGTTCATTCAACGGTTACATTTCTGTAAATAGCTTCCATAATTTATACTTTGACTGCTTTTCAAAATTCTACACTATAAGTAGACTAGATAAGATGATAAGTTACATGAGTGTAGTTTTCCCAATCTTCAACCAGAGGCCTCAAAATCAGTTAGTTATCTACAACGTAGGACCAGGAACATATATGCATCAGTCCAAATAGTCATACCTCATTAGCACAACAAAATCAACACCAAACTCATAGAATTAGTTACTTCAATGGTATTAATATAAAAAGGAACGATTGTGTATAAAGATATAGTATAGAAAGAAAGCATTGGTTCGTATAAAGGAAGGTATTAAGTAATTTTTTATCACAGTTTGAGAGAAAACAAATGTCTGAATCGAAAATCAACATTCAATTCGATAAATCGATGGTCTAGCTATAGGTAGTCCTTTAGGACCGTTACTGGCTGATGTGTTTATGGGGTATGTTGAAAATCTAACTGAAGACTAAATTCAGAAGATGTGTCTGTATTAGCGATTCGTTGATGCCATCATAATTATAGGAGATAAATGTGAACCGCTTGTTAAAAAAACTCAAAACAAGTGAAAAGCATATTTCTCCTACGTGCGAAGAAGAGAAGAACAACCAACTTCCTTTTCTAGATATACTGATCAGTAGGAGAGATGATGGTTTCATCCAACGTTCCGTATATAGAAAGCCGATATGGACAGGGCATTATCTTAATTTCCATAGTCACTGTCCAACTCATTACAAACGTGGATTAATAAAGGTCTTATTGAATAGAATCAATCGTATTTGTACTAGAGATACTATTGAAGTGGAGACGAAGCTCTTAACTGTGATACGTTACTGAATAATGGTTATTCATGGAAGTTCATAAACTGCTGGAAGGGTTGTAATACAATTAGACCTATGACTCTTCTGGCACCCAAAAAGTGAGTTTATATTATGTCACCATTTAGGGGCGACTCAAATAGTCTAATGTTGAAACGGAGACTGAAATTGGCCATCAACAGGACATTTTATGCAGCCCAACTTGTCATTATTGGAAAGGCAAGGTTTATGTTTCACCCAAAACCCAAACAGCACATAAGCGATTGTGTCTATCAATTTAAATGTATGTGCGGTAACACGTACATAGGGGGGAGCAATCTTGATCTGCAATTAATGGTGGCGAAACACATACCTAAATGGCTGCGGAAACAAATGGATGCAATGGTCAGACAAGATTACAGAATAAACAGACATCTTCCTCGATTGCGAAACATTTGGTTGAAACTGGTCATAAGTTTGACATCAAGTCACCATTTGTAGTGTTATAAAAAAGCCTTCAAGGACGTATGCTAAGGTTTATTGAAGCCTTGACTATACGGAAATTGAAACTACCTTTATGTGTTCAAAAACAATTGGTTCTTACCCTTAACCTTCCCTGGTGATGCTGATTTATTATCCAGTGTGGTCATCACATTGTTTTTGTGTACTTTATTTTCTTTCTTTGTTACCGCTAACCTTAACCTGTCTAGTTGACCCTTTAGTTTTCATATAAATATGTCTTAACCAGTATATATTAACACCACTAAATTAACTACTTCTATGAATTCGGTGTTCATCTTGTTGTGCTAACGATGTGTGGCGACTTGGACCGATGCATATGTGTGCCTGGTTCTACGTTGTAGCTGACTGAGTGACTGATATGTGTGATTAGATTGTTCGAAATGTATTGCGCAAATATATCACATAATTCTGGTAAACTTCGTGTTCTCATGGCATTATAGAAAACAAAGAGTGTATACACCATTGTAATCGATTCTGAGCCATGTCACCCAGGTCTTCAATCACTGGTTGAAATAGTCGCGTGGACCCTAAATAAGTGATCTGCATCTACCAATATGACTCGGACTAGAAGCTAGTGACTTAATGTACTGATACCACATTTTCGTTTGGCCGCCCCTAACTTTCTTCCAACCGTCTCCAACACTGGTTAGCATTGAGCACCGTTGTAGTCCGTGGTTGAGAATGGAAAATACGTGGTTCAACCATCTCAGTCGATGAAGGTTCACAACCTCATCAACTGATTTGTCATAATTAACTGATACCCTGCGTCTAATCTCATTGTCACTTACCCAGTGGTCGCGGCAGATGCGAGCAATATTTTCAATACATCTGTAATCAAAAACTAGTAACTTAAGAGTATCTTCTACTCCTAATGGCCACGTTTCGCAGTCGTAAAGTAGAACAGAGCGAACTGCTGCGCAGTATACTCGTCCCTTATTTGATAGACGGATATTCCGCATTCGCCATAGATGATGTAGGTTGGGAAAAGCCAAATGAGCTTTTTGAATCCGTGCTGAGATTTCGTCAGACATCAACCCATTAGGGCTGATCAGACTTCGAGTACGTTCCAAACGTAATAAAAATTTGCATCTATGCATGGATGAACTGTTTTAATTCTTTTAGAAAGTGAACACACTTTCCTACCAATTCATTCAGAAATCATTTTTACTGACATTGAATTTTCCACAAAAGAGGAAAGATTAGCGAAACCTTAGATAGTCATCATTTAAAACTACCTGCTTTTGAAGTGCATACGAAAAATGTGTATACCTTTTAAACCTTATTATAACATACTTACAGATTATTGAGTTAAACTGTCACCATTTAAGTGGTGATTTATTATCATCGTTAAAATCTCCAAATTAGATTTTAGCCATGAATAGGCACTAAGAACCCTTAATAAACTTATCCACTCAAATTGTCTTATTATAAACGTGCAGATGAAGAATTTCTACTTCATTCAAATTCTCTTGTTGGTTGTATTTCGCTGTATTAATTTCACATTTGGTAGGCTAAACCTACATTCTAATGTATCATGTCTCACAAACAAATTCACATTCATATTTGTTGTCCGAAAAGTTATAGAGCTTTCCCAACTGTTAAGACCAACCAAAACCTCAAGAAATATTTTTATTTCTGGTATGTCATCATGAACAATTTACTGTATTTCGCCTATCCTCGTGTCACATAACAAACAATTATTGTTCGTTTCACTACAGATAAAGTTGTTTAATAGGATAGAATTTTTGTCTCAGTAATTAAAATTTTGGTTTTTGTTAATCAAACATAGATTGTACTATAATGTTACGAATCCTCATAATTAGTTATGACTACGGCATACGCGGATCAACACCAGCTGCTGTGTAAATATCATCAATAAAGGCTTGATAATTGACGTTGTTTGCTAGACCCATTTGATGACAATATTTGCAATACAATGCAATCCATTCTTTTTCTGTTAATGACTCCCCAAGTCCAAGTGTCGTTAGAACACGACGAAATTGACTTTGATTAACTGTTAATCGATGAGTTTCGTCAAAATCACTGAACATTGGTAACAGTAGTATTCTACGTTGTTTAACCTAGAAGTATGAAAAAGGTTTAAAAAATAAAAGTAAACAATCCAGTCGGTTTGAAATACTGTCGGCGACCTGCTCAAACTTTTAGGCCACTTATATTTCAACTATATAAATATTATACTACCTGGTTTAGATTCCTTTGAACTGAATGATTATGGGAATGCTAACTCTGTGTCTACTCATGTACACACTGTAAAATGATTACGAATTATTTGCAGTACTAAATGCTGTAAAACTCAAATAGAGATCCTAAAATTCTTGACATATTATCCTTTGGCGAAGCCAAAGACAAATATATTGGAATTCAATGATCTTACAAATGATGGATAGAAGAATAGTTGTAGCAGCTAAACCTTTAGAGAACTATAATTAATAATGAATGTTAGAACGATTTTTTAGTGTTTTAAATAATTGCAATTTAAACGCATGTTAAAGAGATATTTGTCGTAATATTTAACAATTGGTGCTGAGAATTATTCACCGTCCCAAAGTTTATGGCATTCAATAAAGTCATTAGCATTACTCAGCATCAGTAAAACACAATGATACAAACCATCAGAATTTGTCTTTACTGTTTTAATAACTTACTTTAGCTGCTATCTTAAGAATAGCCTCGTCAGCAGATTTAGCTAATTCAGCTGTCAAGTGGTTCTGGGCAACTGATGAATCAGGTTTATATGTACTAGGTTCAATTAGTGGATCTTTTTCTAAGTTTGGTGTTTGAAATACAGTCTCAACATCATTAACAAATGCCCGCCAGTCTACTGTATCAGGCAATGAACCTTTATATCTGCAAAAATAAACAGAATATGATGCCCATAGATCACATATTAAATTATGACTGCTACAAGAGAAATTTTTTCAATAGTAATGTCACTCTCTTAAAAATGGCACATTTAGCATCAGATTATCATGGTTCAGAATTTCGTATCACCACTCACCGAGACACTAATAAATTCATTGCACTTGAATAAGAAATGACTGATGTATTTGTTATTCTACTGGTCGCACACTTTGTAGATCTTTTTTTACCTAATTACTGACTAAAACTGTAAATTATTCCGTCTGATTATGAACAAACTTTAAACAGACCTTCTTTTAAAACAGTTGAATGTAGCAACTAATGTTTAATGTTTTCTATTACATTTATCATTTTACACATTAAACTTTAGTTTACCAATCGAAACCGCTTCTATTAATTCAAGTGATACCATTCCTAAGATATTTTAATAAAATATCTAAAATACACCACCAAATTGAACAGTAAATGATACCAATAAGTTATATTTTCACGAAATTGATGGTTCCTTTTTTATCTATCTCGATATTTAGTGAGAATGTATCAGTAAAATTAAATCAGTCTATAGACAAAGTGTTATGTTGCGTCTTCTTTATAATAACCGATTTTAGATTTTTGTCCAAGGCATCTCATATTAGTTCAAGATAATCAAGTATAGGGTAATATACAAATCAATTGGATTACAGTAATTAATCGTATAGGCGCTAGTTATTCCGGAATATTATAGTCTTGATTAGTGTTTTGTTTCACTTCATTATAAACTGTAACAACTTGAACAACTTTAAGTGCATTTCACTCATACTAAGTGCATATTGTTATGTCCGACAACAAGTCGTCTGTACTTCATCAACAAGTGACTATCTAGGAGGCGTGAATAAGATGAAATCACCCACTACCCAACAACCGATTAAAGGATTTATGGCCACATTTCTGCATGTTTCACAATGACCTGGTACATTCCCAAATGTCTAGTCATTGTTAAATATAACGACGTACATTTGGCTTTGCTGAGTTAATTCCTAACATAAAAAAGAAAATGTAGGAATTATTATGTAGGCAGCCAAAACCATGTTTTACAGAACGAACGGTCCTGAAACGATTTCGCTTTTCGATGTAATATAATGTCATTTAAAATGGTCCCTAAATCTTTTTATATTGTAAAAGTACTCGTTTTAGTAGGATCACTGATGTTAGAGGTTATAAGAATGTGATTTCGCAAACTAGTTGCCACAATAAATCCCTTATATGAAGACTACTGAGATATTTGATGCTATTTAATGTCAAATTTTGAGCTACACTTGTAATGTAAGGTAGAGTTGTATTCAAACTCGTGACCTTATGAGTCAATGTCCATCATTTAAGGTGTTTAACCCAGTACCTTAGCGACCAGATAATTACACTCATCTATATAAGTAAAATTATTACTGCAATTGTGAATACATACACATACACTACGTGATGCAAGAAAACAGATTCTATATGCAGTTTAATTTATACAAACTGAATTATTTAAACGCAAAACACTATTAAACTGTATGACTTTTTCATTATTCCTTCTGGTTTCATGCGCTATTTGTAGAAAAGGAACTAAATAAAAGTACCTGTCTTCAAGAATACTTAGACTTTTCTCATTAATTTTTAGATTGAGAACCCCTAGACATCGCCGAAACGTTATTCTTTGTAAGTATCCATGATTGAGTTTATCATGATCGCGAAACCAATCAGATAATCTCAGACTTCTGCGGTATACCTACAATAAGATTTAACAGCATGACGAATTATTTACAAGTAAAGATACAAACGTACTGGTTTTAGATATAACAAAATACATGGTTGAGGTGTTAACCCGCTGATATTACATCTACTGCCACATATATTTCGACAACAGTATATTTAACTATCTTATAGAAATATTTTACAAGTCGTCTTATGAGAATAAAACAAAATAATTTAAATAAATAAAGGTAATGAACGAGAGAACTTGCAATAACGGGAGGTGTATATGTACAAAACAACTATAGGATAAGCCTAATATTTCTTAAAATAGTTCAACCCCATATTTCTGTGTACTACAGTATTGTCTAGCTTTTCCTTGATAAAACCACTCTGCAACACCATAATTCTTATTTGTACTTTGACTAATCCCTTTTATCAGGATAAGCACGGAATATTCATTATGTGATGGATAATCTTTCCACTCAATGTAGCTATCGTTCATTTTGCTAAATTAAATTCTAGGAGCCAATTTGAGATTACTTATATGCTGGTATTCATATTGATTTACGTCTATTTTATGCTAATCGCATCAATCAGTTGATATGAGTTATCTGTCACTGAGTTTATAAACTTTATCTGTAAAACCTTGGACACGAATTCACATGACACAAAAACCATAAGGTTTGAGGCGTATTATTTTTTTGAAAGATGTGTCTCTGCTTGGGTGACCGAACCTCGACATTTAACAATTCAGGGATACATCCCCCGGATTTTCGATCACCTTGTTACCTAGGCATTAAAATTGAATAAAAATTAAGTGCACATTGTAGATAATAAATGCAGTAGATACATATATCATTCCTTCCGTCCAGATCCTTTAGTCTATCTGTACAAGCATTTTACGATCTAGGTTTCTTTAAATCTTGTGGAAATATATCTCTGTCCACTTATCCTCATTTTAGGATGAATTACCTGCTCTCAGTCTCGTGATTTTATCGGCGGCACATGCACGAGATGACGGTGATGAATTAAAAATTCCTGGAAGAAACTTTACAATAGTCAGGTGTATAAAGTTATTTCGCGATGATAAGCACTTGTCTCTGACAATTTTTTAACAATTCAGAGCAGGAAGGCAGGTATGCGCAATGGTTAAGGTAAAAATAATGAAAATCGATATGATATATTGCGCAAATCTAATTTCCGAATATCTCGTTAAGTCGTTTATGCATTGAAATTATCTAAAACTGTAAATATACCTCTGCTTTCAGTGTATCCATAATACCTTCAGCATCTCCCATTACAGGTTCTATTTCCGTTTTTTCTTTACTCAGTTTATTTATTCTCTGTGATGTAGCTAAACGTTCTGGATACTTATATTCGTTTTCTTCTAATTTCGGTGGACAGAGGTGGTTTAGAAAGTCTAAGTAATTGAACCCATCATCATTGGCATAACGTGATATGATAGCATCAATTTCTGCCGGCGACAAACAAAAATCATACATACTTATCAGTTGACGGAAATTATTTGTTGTCACTATTCCACGGTGTAAACTAGGTTAAATATGAAAACAGATCATAATACACAGAAGTGAATAAAACGATTTACATAGTATAACTGGATTTAGCTTGATGAAAAGTGGTGTAAATACTTCGGAATGTTGCAGACAAGAGATTCGATTGACTGTCAGCAACAAAGAACTTCAAAATCAGGTTACTTACAATAATAAAGATATCCTTTCATTGGAGCACGAGCCAAAGGGCTAGTTTAAAAGGCCAAACACCAAACAGGCCGATATTAATGAAGACAAGCATAGAACAGGAAAACAGATTTTTGAGGTTTGCCGTCTATCCCTCTACCTAGACAATTCATCGAAAACTTAGTACTTTATTCAATCTTTGATGAAATGTATGTTTCTAACAAATACTGTGATTTTTAGAATCAAGTAACAATTTGTTATTCGTATTACCCCAGTTGTGTTATCTCATAAATCTACTTCAAACTGCGAAGCTGAGAATCTAGTTGACCTGTTTAATAATTAATATGAAGTTCTGCAGCGTTGAGGTTTAGACAGAGCGCTTTTTCACTAACAATTGAATATCATTTTGATGTGATGTTTTGCAATCTATTTGTTTTAAGTAATTGACCCATATCCGCCTGTTAATAAGAATCGTTTGACGGTAGGGTATTCAAATTGTTGTTGAGTACTTTCGAAACAAATCAAACTATGGCGGAGCTGTGTGATTTGGAGATTCTGTCAGACAATACCTTATCTATCCTATCAATACACGTGCTACTCTGGAAACGGGTGAATAAAACTGGGATATTCACAAATTATGAAAGCATTTGACTTGAAAAATGTGGAGATAAATGTATCAAATTGATTTCCATCAGAAGTATGATAAAATCGGTGATCATCTGATTTGTGACATAAATTTAGGTGAACAAAAATATTTATTTTTATGTTGTAGTCATAGTTACTCAAAACTGCCTCATAGTAGCAATAAGAAAATGTCAGTCGAGATAATGCCATTCACTGATAAGTGAGATTCTCACTATCACTTTGATCCCTCGAACTATGAATGCTTAATAAATTTCAACAATGGTTTTCAAATGATTGCCGATTTTGCAAGCTGATATATATAAGTTATAGTTAAAAATACCTCATACTTTGATTACTGTCAGTGTAATAAACTTTTATTTACAAAGTTTAATTTTTAGATCGGTAAATTTCTAGCGTGGAAACTGTATTCTACACTAATAGACTAACGAATACCTTAGTGTCACGAAAAAAAGAACAAATGGATAGGTATTTAACAGTAAACCAACAAGAAATAGGAAACACTTCCATGAATAACCTATTCAAATTAAATTATTCACTACATGACTTGGAAATTTAATCATTTGTTCATGATATTTCCGGCTAAATAAAGTCAGTTAGTCAGTCAGCTACAACGTAGGACCAGGCACATATATGCATCGGTTCAAGTTGCCATACCTCGTTAGCACAACAAGATGAACACCGAATTCATAGAAGTAGTTAATTTAGTGTTGGTAATATATAAATGAAAGATTGTATTTAAGGATATAGTACAGTACTGATTATTGTTGGCAGTAAAACCTCATTTATTTCACCATAAATTTGATTAAATTAAACATTTTGATTCATGTCACGAATATCAACCCTCTTTACAAGATTATCTTTTAAGGTTGTGATTTCTTTGATTTAACCCTTTATCCCACACCAATAAATGTAAAATTCTGTTTCGAAAATTAATAACAAAGAGATTTCTCAGCAAACAATATCCAATCAATTTGTTTACAAATCTCTTTCTCCTTGAAGCACATTGATACATCAAAAACAAACCACACAATAGTTTATAGTGAATAAAAGTGCTTACAGTGAACAATATCTTGGAGTAGAATAACAATTACAAATAACTTATATACGACAAAGAGACAAAATACTTACAAATCGAAAGCCGCAAAATCTGGAGTTAATTCCAACCGACGTTCATTTACTTTTTGTCTTAAAATTCTCATACCATTTTCATAGTTCTGTTTCATTTCTTCAGTTGCTAACGTCCAATCTGCTGTACCCGGTTTCGGTTGGATAAATGTTTCTTGTGGTAGTACACGAGTGAGTGGTTGTTTTTCCAACTCCGGTAGAGTAAATACTGACCATATGATAAATGAATAAACCAAACAAATTATCCATGATATGAACTTTGGTTAGTAAATTCTTTACAAATATACCATTCTAAAAGTTAAACAGCTCCATTAGAATGCATTGATGGAAGATAGTTTTCAAATAGATTGACAAAAATTGGGCGCCGAGTATAGAGAAATCATTATATGTGAAAATTATATTGAAATTTAAATAATTCCAAAGTTTCGTCCAACTAACTTGTATGGGCTTCTTCAGGGTAATAATCGAAATCAATAACATCAAAGAATTATATAGTGTTTTTTATTTAACAATCATATCAAAATCTACACTACGCTAAAACCAATCATATTTGGGTGTTAAATTTTTTAAATAGGATAATATGAGTGAGTAAATTGAAGCTAGACCACCATCAAAAACCTGGAAGCACTGAACGGCCGTTTCGTCTTATTATGGAAGTTCCATAATAGGACGAAACGGCCGTTCAGTGCTTCCAGGTTTTCGATGGTGGTCTAGCTTCAATTGACTCATGACTTCAACTATGAAAATACTAAATTCTCCACAAAACCCCTTCTGACCTAACATGAGTGAGTTAGATGAGAATCATGTGACAAGTTCACGAATGTGAAATAAAAGACTGAAATGAATTGTGTGTGTAAGAATGAGTTACTAATCAATGATATCCCCCAGATAATATGGTTTTATATCAAGTAAAAATAAGAATAAAAGGGTAAATTGAAGGTTGAAAAATCATTTCTGAATCATTGAATTGCAAATAAAAAAATGCTAATCACTAAATACACAACTGTAATGCTGAAAACAACTCTCATTAATTTCAGTCAAAATAACGATTCATGTGAAATAAAAAGGTTGAATAAAGAAAGAAAAAGTTCAACTACTTGTTAATGAATATTTGCCAAATAGTTGCTACCTGAATACCATACTATCTGTTTGAGCTGTTCTTATAAGCCCATATATACAGCGCTTCTGTTGTCAATCTTTCTTTATGAGCGTTAAAACCTTTCTGAAGTATTTTGGCCCCTTCAAAATTAATCCTGTGTCCTGTTTCTAACACATGTAACCCTATCGCAGATTTATTCTCAAGTTTTCTTATGTCAACCGAGGTTTTGGGATCATTTTTCAAACACTTTGTGTTCATTCAGTTGTCTGAATGTTTCTCCCACGTGAGCTGCATTACAATCATGACAATTGATCTCATAGACAATATTTTGTTGTTCAACCTTTGGTAACCTAACCTTAACTTTCACTAATGCCGACTTTATAGTGCCACGCGTCCGAAAATACACTTTTATGTCATGCTTGTTTAGAATTCGCTTGATTTCTACTGTTTCCCTACGGAATGGGATGACCACGGTGGAATTCCAATCTTTTCGTATATATTCTACTTTAGTTTTTATTTCATTTCTAATAATCTTTTTTAAAACCTCTTTTGAGTAGTTGTTATCTCTAAGTGTAGACAAAAATCTATTCAATTCAACTAGTTAGTCTTCCTTATCTGTAACAAGATTAATACTTCTGTTAGTTAAATTCTTTACAACTGTGACTTTCGTACACAGTGCATGAGCCGAACCAAAATCTAAGTATCTCTCTGAATAGATTGATTTCCTGAATGCATTTATTTTCAACTTACTATTATTATGTATTCGCTCAACCAAACAATCGAGAAATGCTAGTTTGTGGTCAACGGATTCTATTTCCTTCATCAGCTTAATTCTCGCCGAAATGTTCACATTTTCAAACAATTCTTCTAAACATGGTAAGCAGAGATGGATAGTGGCTAGCAGTGGAATCCAGGACGCGCGTTTCGTCCCATTTGGGACTCGTCAGCTGGATGTACCTGCATCTCAGAGTTGATGTTCACTCTGGGTTTCGAACCCAGTACCCTCGCTTCAAACGCCATCACGTAATCCACTCGGCCACTGAGTCCTGATAGCCACTTGCTTGTGCGATGGAGTGAAGTTTAAATTCATTCAGTATTGTTTGTTTGAATCTTTCCATTGATGTCTTAGGACTGCAACTGGTCAGTCTCTAATTGGCATATGTGCATATTGTACGTATTGTCTCGATATAGCCTTAATTCACAAGCATGGTAAGCAGAGATGGATAGTGGCTAGCAGTGGAATCCAGGACGCGCGTTTCGTCCTATTTGAGACTCGTCAGTCCTAACAAATCGATGGGAAGATTCAAACAAACAATACTGAATGAATTTAATTTTTATAAACATTTTAACACCGGATATCATTCATTAATAACTCATTCTTACACATGCACACACACACACAATTCACCCAGTCTTCTTTCATTTCACATTCGTGAACTTGTCACATGATTCTCATTTATTTCACTCATATTATCCTGTTAACAAAAATTCAACATTTAAATATTATTGGTTTTGACGTAGTATAGATTTCGTTATGATTGTTAAAAAAACGCCATATATTTCTTTGATGTTCTTGATTTTGATTATTACCCTGAAGAAGTCCATACAAGTTAGCTGGACGAAACTGTGGAATGGTTTAAATTTCAATCGCTGTGATTGCTTCAAATATATATATTTCACATACAAAAGTAGTTTTCATTTAAAATTACAAAATTATGTGATCACAAAAACTAATAAGCACTGAATCCACCAGGAAGGCGCAAACATATGTTTGGAGTGACTCGAACAGCCTAGTTTTCAAACAGAAATATCAGTAATCAGAGGAACTGACTTTTATGTCGTGTTTGTATGAACAAATGATTCCTTTGTGCTTGATGACTGTCTGGTTTAGAATTCCAAATACAATACGTTCTTTCGTGCTCACCTAGTTTTCTTGGTCTACGTTGCATTATTTCCGGGATAATTAGTTCTTTTAATAATGCGAATACTTCTAACTATCACATTTTAGTAGGGAGAAAATGACTTAATGTGAAGTAAGAAAATGAAGTACCAACAATAATCAGTTAATTATTTGCCTTAATTTGGCAGGAATACCTAAGCTACCGAAAACTAAGGCTTCTGGTGAACATATGTTACTGAATAATTCTCGGAGGAGTATATATAGTTTTGTACTGTGAACAATTACTTTTTCTGCTGAATCCAAAAGTCTTCCGTTTGTTGAATTAATCCACGAAATGGAAAGTATTGGGAATGCCTCGAAAATTTCTTAATACATGTTATAATGTATAACAATCGTTATTGTATATGAAACGTGCAATGATACGGAAAATACGTACGAGCAGTCTTGATTGCTATTCGGTCCTTCCTAACTGCCTAGCCCAGCCAGTTGAGTCCAGAACACAAATAACAGCCTCGGAAATATGAATCATTATTCACAAGCATACTGGGTTTATATACTAACCAAACAGACCCCATATACCAAAAAATAGAAAAATAATATTTGTACAATAATTGGCCAATGTGGCTATGGATAGGGGGAAAGTAATCAATAATAATAGTTCAAAGGTCAAAATAAGGTTACGGTAAGAGGAACACGAATACAATTAGGTCAGTTATTTAACAACTAAACAATAGGAATTAGGCATATTACCTTTGTCCATAATAGACCTCAGATTTACCATTCATGATTCACCAGGGGATATAACACCTCCCCTTTTTGAGAAATCCGGAGTTGATATCCGGATTTTAATTTTTTTTTTCGAGCTCCTCCTCCCCCACGAAATAGTGTTGGATCCTCATATACCCAAGTTTCTATTAATGCGATTCTAGTTATAACATGTTTCTGGTATTCCATAGGGAACCCGTTAAGATTGACTGGATGGTGAGGATCGACATTTGATGTGAGGTCAGAATTTGATTCTGCAGAAATGTAGTCATCAGACTTATTGCAAACATCAATGGCAGGTTGTGGATCAGTATGATAAACAGCGTCCACCAAAACTGCGCTAGGTTCCAGATTTGATGCATGTAACAAAATTTCTGGACAAGCTTGAGAATCTTTATCACTAGATTCTGTAGACATTTCTATTGCAGAATGAGATTCGCTCGTTGAACCGCTTGATATGATCTCTGGTACTCTGTGGGCGATTGGTGCGACCATTTTATGGGCTTTTAACATAGCATCGTATTGATGAGAGCTGAAAGCGTCATTGTTAGGACCTGCTAATTCAGGGATAGTGGTGTTTGAATCCACTACCGGGCACGTTTCTGAAATGGAGAGTGCTGGACAACCGGGCGTCTCTTGAGAGACTGCTGTTTCGTTTGAGTTGCGGCTGGTCGAGGAATCATGGGGGCTGCGATCATTTGCTAGCTCTGTGTGAAATTCATTGATTAATCCATCCACTTCCGACGCGTATGCAAAGCATTGGTGATCCAGAAGCTGTGTGCGTAGTTTGACCATGAACTCCAAATGTCGGTCAAATAGCAACTGTAAGCGGTCAGAAGGGAGCGTCATTTTTCACTTTTGTCCCCGTCGCCAATTGTTATAAACGTATAACAAACTCGTAGATGATATGGACGTGCAATGATACCGAAAATACGTACGAACAGTATTGGGTGCTATTCGGTCCTTCCTAACTGCCTAGCCCAGCCAGTTGAGTCCAGAACACAAATAACAGCCTCGGAAATATGAATCATTATTCACAAGCATACTGGGTTTATATACTAACCAAACAGACCCCATATACCAAAAAATAGAAAAATAATATTTGTACAATAATTGGCCAATGTGGCTATGGATAGGGGGAAAGTAATCAATAATAATAGTTCAAAGGTCAAAATAAGGTTACGGTAAGAGGAACACGAATACAATTAGGTCAGTTATTTAACAACTAAACAATAGGAATTAGGCATATTACCTTTGTCCATAATAGACCTCAGATTTACCATTCATGATTCACCAGGGGATATAACAATACATATGATCTGTGGCTGGCAGGAGAATCCAGGAGGAACATTTCGTCTCATTTAAGACTTGTCACTTAGAAGTACCTGGATCCCAGTGTTATTAATCCTATTGAAGTAGAACCCAGTGATTTTTTATGCAAACACCTAACGCGTTATCTATAACAATGTTCCTATTTCTATGTTTATCTGACTTATGTACAAGAAACCTTTGTATGAGAAACAAAGCTGAGCGATGAGCAAGATGTTTTTTTCAAGAAACGAATAATGGAGTTGTATAAGAGATATAAATCAAAGTAATTTATAAAAAAAATTATAATTAAGTTGCTTTGGAGGGAATAAAGAATAAATGCAACAAAATCACAGTGATAAAGTTTTAGATAAGTAACTCTAGGTTTCTAACCGGCCACCAGTAACAATTAACAGCCATGAGTTTTCTCACCTAGCAATCACTGCCAGGTTCATATACTCCTTGCTCTTTATACTTGGACTCCAAATCGGACGAAACTTAGTGAAAATACAAAGATTGATTATAAGGAATTATTTGACCCGGGAAATAAATTAAAATTTCATATGAAAATACTATTTTTTTATATGATTTGCTTACAGTCAGATTTGTATGAATTAAAGTGAGCAGTATCTAATATCAATTAATCAATAACTTACTATTTGAATACATGTTTTCAATACCCTACAATGAAACATCTACAACCAACAGATATAACTAAATGACTATGTTAAATAATTACTCTTTCTTTTAGTGCTCCATTGATCAGACTCCAACTTGAAGGAATGAATGGATAGCCCATGAATATAAATCTATTCAACTCCCTCTGTTACACCTAGGCTAACCCCGTTTGTGCGATGGCTGTAATAAGAAGCCAAGTACGGATGGAGTTGGATGAATTTTTCTCAGGCACTCTTTTACCCAAAAAGACATAACAAACGAGAGTTCAGAAATTGAAGTTAAGCGAAGAAGCCGACTGGAAAAGGCAAGTGTGCTAAATTATTTTGACAAAGCTTGACTAGATATTTATGACTAGAGAAAAATAAGCTAAAGACATTTAATGAATAGGGTAAGTGATACACACATATACGCTTATATAAAAATAGTCAAGGTCAACGAGCAACTAATTGATAAAGTCGAAATTTGACTGACGAAAAGTAAATAAATTGATCTTCCGGAAAATAGAATAACCCATGTGAGCTTGAATTAGTAATAGACACTACATTTTCAAGATATGATTACCTGTCACAGACAATCAATTTTAGATATCATTAGCACTTAAATCAATTAAGTCATTGGTCGCTTTAAGTGGAACTACGATCCTCATTAAGGAAGGATTGCGTAAATAGCTTGTGAATCTTAATATTGCTATTGTTTAAAGGATGATTTTATGCACATAATGTCGTAAAACAACTGATCAATAAGTACATGTCATGAATGGTTTGTATACATTTAACTATTTTGGATTACTAACAGAAAGCAGAAAAGTGAAAAGTCAGCTATGTTCTTGTTTCCTAATGTATAAAACCTGTTACTAGAGAGTTAAAATCAAATAAGTATTTATTGTATATAATATTCATGAATTCTCGCCTGTCAACTTGTCGCTAGTAGACTACTATTCTACAGAATACGCAAAAAATCACATTCAGTATAGTAGGAATAAAAAGATCATGAATAAGTAATCAAATTAAATACATAAATCTGAAGACTTAGAATTACCTGTTTCTACATCATTAACAAATTTTATCCAGTTCACCATGTTGGGATCAGTTGAAGACACGTATCTATCTACCAAGATGTTTACTTGTACTGGTGTAAGATCGTGCAGGTCTAAACGTGTTAGCCCTGCGGCCGTTAAACAACGTTCAAACTGAGATCGTGTTACATAGCCACTACGTAAACGATCGAAATCGTGAAACCCAGGTTTTAATGGTATACGGTTAACTAGAACCAAATGTCGGATACGGTTTAATAAAACCTCAACAGGCCATTGATCCCCAGCTGATAAAATTACTGGTATCACTGTTGAATGCCGATTTCGTTGGACTACATTTTTACCACAGCGTGTATCACCTATTTCAGGAGTGCATTTTGTTACAACCTTGTTTGATACTTCAAAATTCACATCTCCTGGGTTATCTTCATCGAAATTTACAGGGGCCGCGGCGGTAAACCAGTCATCTATCCTTTCGCAGAATGCTCCATAATTAATACAACCATTCGTAGGATTCGCAAATTTTCTACATAAACGACGACAATCTTCTTTACTCAGATTCAAACCAAGAAAGTGTAATACTCTTTCAAATTGTGTATTGGTAATACTTCTCGAAAAACATGATCCCTAGAAAAATGGTTTCACGAAAAAGATCTTTTATTAGAAACCTTAGCAATGTTTAAACTAGTTACTTCAAATTGAAATTGATGGTTGAACTATCTTAATAGTCAATTATACAGTTTGTTTAGTATGAGAGATTTATTTTATCAACCAAAATTGGAATATGCACTTAAAATGAAGGGAGAGACCTTTGATTTTGACAAAAATCATGGAACATGATTACGAATACAAATAGAAATTTTCTTCAGATGAGAAAAATCTTAAGTTTTTACATTTGACTGATCCACCAAAACTTTCCTTAATGACTCGTATTTGTGGAAGATATCTTGACACTACCATTGAATAGGTCTTTGAAATGAATCGGATCATTGTATTAAACATCATCTAATCAGATGTTATTTTTACAGAAGTAATTTAAACTGAATGTTTATCACAAAGTATTATTAGGTTTAGCATGTGAATTAATTAGTCCTCTAAACAGTTATGAATTTCCCAGGATGTTTGAAAACGTCCATTATTAATCATTTCAAAAAAGCCTGGTAAGATGTCTTTTTCACTTATCATCAAACTGAATATGTACACCATAGATATGTCTAGATGTTAAAGTAAAAAGTGCCCATTACTTTAATATTTCTTTAGTCTAAGATCGAGATAATCCTAATATTACTCAGAATTCCAGAAGAGAACTGAAGAGTTATAAATATAACTAGTCGAAAAACTATGTAGGAGAAATGTAGAGATATGATCATGTAGTAGGGTAAAGTGAAACAGTTAGCTACGAATATAGAACTAGCCAGTTCATTTATGAATCAAAACGGGTTTTGATTAGTGAAAGATTACCACACTTCTTAAAGCGACATGAAGCATCACAAAATTGACTTAGTTAGACCAAACAGAACTGTAATAAATTTCATGAATAATTTCAAGCAAGTGGTTAAAATACATTGATAATCTTTGAAATTTGATAGTGGTGCGATTATGAATTTAAAATTTCAGCATTATAAGAGCTTGAGAAGAAAATAGTGAGTTACATTCAGATTATCTATCTCGATTAAAATAATGAAAACTTTGATAAACTCAATGTAATACAAGGATTCTGTTTTACATCCCGAGACAATATCAGCAGTAAGGTAAGCTAAACATTTCTTGAATAGTATAAAATAATCCTTTTTAATCGGTCATTAAATCACTATCCGTTTGTAGCAGGTCATCTTTATATTACAAATTTGTAGGAATTAATCGATGTTTCTACAGTAATAAAAAGCTGACTTACCATATCATAGTCTTGAAAGTATGGATATGTTAAGATTCTTTTTTCACGGACTTGACGTTTAATTTCTTCAACTAGTTTAGATACACGATCTTCGTCTTCTTGGCTTAATACGCATAAAGGCTGTTGAAATATTGCCAAAAGGGTTACATAATTTGCAACAATTCCAACTTTGTAAGTTTTAAAGAACATGTTTAATATTTCTCGGTTAACTTGTTTGTTCTCTACATCTAATGTTGCTATTTATATCAAGTTGATCATGCCTGTAAACTGGTGTGAATTCTGTAATTATTATTATTTTCAGAATATATATATATATATATATATATATATATATATATATATATATATATAATATGATTATATTATTTGCAAAAGTGTTATACCCCGAAGAGAATTATGAGGGGTAACTGATGAGGACTATTTATGAACAAATATGACATGTATATTTCTTACTGTATAACTGTTAAGTAACTAATCTATTCATATTCGTGTCCCTCTTATTATAAGCTTTATTTTGACCTATACACTATTATTATACGATTTACCATTCTTGAGTTATCCCTTTGTCCACTAATCACTGTTCCCCCTATTCACAGCCACCTTTGGCTAAATCTTGCACATGTGTTATTTTCTATTTTATGGTACGATGTGGTCAGCTTGTTTGGTATATAAATGCAGTATGTTTGAGAATAATGATTCATATTGCAGAGACTGTTCTTGGTGTTCTGGACTTAACTGGCTGGGTTAGGCAGAAAGCAGGACTGTTAAGTACTCAAGATTGCTCATACGGTTTTCGTATATCGTTGCTCTGATCGATAATACACTGCTCTTTAATTGGTGGGGATCATCACGTCATATATTAAACAGGGCATTCATTCACTCGATATAACAAAAAGTCAAATCAAACTTTGACTAGGACTCAAGAAAATATGACATTTTCGATTAAATAAAGGAATATATAACGTCAACTGGCTAAACATATATCTTGAGTAATCGAATTCAGATTGGAGCCTACAAACAAATGTCACAATGGAAAAGGAGCTTGAGACAATGTTATCTTCAGGTCCTGTAGAATAGATAACGGTTATGCAACTGAATGGTATAAATAACTGGTCAAATTATATGTAATTCTTAGGATGTATCCCCTTCATAAAGTCGTATATTCTGTGTATTTCATTTTCACTTGTTTATATAAGTGAATATCATAACGTTATTACCTTACTTATCTCAAATTTCAAACAAACATTACAATGTTCAGTATATCGTTTCCTCTTTTTGTTTCTTATGTCGTTTCGAACTAAAATTAATCGATTACAGTATGTTAAGCTTTTTATAATAATATTACTAATGTAAATTTAGACCGTTTGCAGCTGATGAAAAGCCTCGAAATATGATGAATTCATGTTATTCTGAAAATGTTGTTCTAGCTTGATTTAATTTTATCAATAAATCAGAATGTACAAAAGCTGAAATTACAATTCATTGTTCATGTTCACTTTTCACCAATGAAGTTGCTCAATCAGGCACTCTTTGCTAAATTGTATTGAAAATTGAATGAATAATGATTAATCAATCATTTAAGTAAACACAGTCTGTAAGACAGTTCTGTGGTCAGAAAACATATTTAACACATCTGAACCCAAGTCACATCGCCCTAGGTTGGATATCCTACCTAGAGCATTAGTAGCGCGACAGTCCTAATTAAATGTTTTTTCCTGGTTGAATAAAGGAACGTTTTGCTTATCATAGTTATACATTATGCTGTAAACATTAGTGACGTTATAACCAAGGGAAACCACGTCTTGGCTACTTAATTACCACCTATTTATAGTTCAATAGGTACTTTATACAATAAATAGTTGTCACTTGTTTTATTTTATTTTGCGCATTTACGTAAGAAAAACAACCATCTCATAAGTAATCAGTAACTTGATTAACCATTTTTACTTTGTGTTGATTGGTATCGGTTAGAAAACAGTCACTATTCAAGCCCGTTTGACAGTTTAATTTGTTCTGAGTTTTTATGTAACAGACTACTTTTTCACACTTATAACTATACTTAAAAAAGTGTTGTAGAGCACATTTTATCCTAGTTTAAGGCCAACAACTACGTGTATATGCTTCCTAAAAGATTTTAATATTTTATAGGATAATTGCCTCGGTGAATAATATAGACACAATCAGTACATACATTTACAATAGTCAGTTAACGAAGCACAATCAGAAAACATTGGATGACTACAGAATCTATTTTTACTCTTTTTAAGATAAATTTACATTAGTTGTGTGCAGGTTTAACACTACAGGATCACTGACAATTAAATTTAAAAACGTTCAAATTCTAGGACGATATTGCCATTCTGCTTACCTGTGAAAGTGCACCTCTAGCTGGTATAGTAATTGGTTTTAACGGATCCTTCTCCAAATACAGCGTCTGAAAAGCTGAGAAAAGAAGAGGGTTTATGAAATAACTAGTTATTTAAAAAAAGCCTAATGTAGGGACGGATTTTAATGTAAAACAATATGAGCGATTTAATAGGTAAGTTCCGTAAATTATAGGATCACTGATACTTATAAGTATAAGAATTTACAGTAAATTTCTAGTATCTATGATTGCGACAAAATAGCTGAATTAAAGAAGTCAAATTGAGTTTTATTTTAAGTCTGGCAATTAGAATTACATATTTCAATCAGCTGTTATTAAAATAGTTAAATAATATATAGGGAAGTATGGTAATAATTCATCTACAGAACCGTAGTAAAGAAACAGAAAGTCAAGAGAAAGCATCCTAATTGCTGTAAAACCTATGGTGACATTGTTATATGAACAAGGTAGATTAGTGAGGAAAGCTAGGAACCTACATTAGGACATTCAGATGAAGAATTACGCAGGTAATAGATATGGAATATGTGTACGTTTTGTTTAAAAAATAATGGTGATATTCGTACACTAAAGACTAATCGTGCTTAATATGCTCTTCAGTTCATGTATAATATTGTGTGGTGTGCGAATTCATGAACAGAAATTGATTAACAAAAGTCATTATGTAGCATACGGTACTGTTGTGGATTGTTTAGATTTTACGAAAAAACAATAAAGGAAATACAATTCAGTAACTCGACCAAAGCCATAAAGTTCATAAATCCTCAAGTACTTGCTTGAGAAAGCCCCAATAACGTGAAGAGAATGAAGAACTCATTACGTTAACCATTATCCTTGTTAACTAGCCCACGTATGTATTTAAAAGTTCCAAGCCGTTCTAGTCAGTTCATTGGTTGTTGATGTCACCAACATTAAAACTGTTATTTACATGAATTCAGTAAGACGACTGAAGAAAAATCTCTCATTGCAAAAGCAGAGACCATAGGATGAATTGTGTGGTGGAACTAAAAGTAGTTTTTCATCCTGATAAAAATCAATAGATATCAAGATGCTCGATCATACTAGTTTTTCGTGAACCTCACTAAATTTCAGTGATCATTACAATTTTCAACTACTTATAACATTTCAGCAGTAGAATGTATATAATAAATCTATTTAAACAAAAAAATAATATATCGGTGGATAAAAATCACCATCACCATTAGTCATGAATGAACCAAGGATGTTTTTAAATCTATACAAATGTCTAATCACAATAACCAAAATCAGTTTTCCAGTGTTTAGGAAATGGTTTTAGAAAATATAATCATTTTTCTTAACCAGAATAAAGTAATGATCAGATGGTCGGATAACTTGTTTGATTAATAGTCCTGGGTTAATAACATTGAGACAAATGTTATCTCACGAAACCAGATTCTACGTCTCTTACTATATCAAGCTTTCATCTGGCATTGAATATTGTTTCTTCAAGAAATTGTTCATTTAAAACAATTAGTCCCCTTGATAAATTTTGATAATGTAATATATCACATAGTTCTGATAATTTTCGTCTTCTTATCACATTATCAAAATTGTTCTTTTATTTCATTCATTAAAATATTCGTTAGTGAAAATGGTTGGATTGGTAACCGAAATTACAAGTTACCAGGCAAATGTCTTAGAAACAGTTGTTCTTGTCCTCTCCTGAACTTTTCCACAGTAACAAAACGTTTTTCATAATCTGTTCATCGTTCGTTCTGTAAGTGAATTTTTTATACATGTATTAAAATATCTTTACAAAAAACAATCACTTTTTACATACTTACGTGAGTCAACTTCTCTACAAAATTCGCGATAATTGATGAACTGAGGGTTTGTTGTTGAACGGTAGTAGTTTGCAAGCATTTGAACCTCCTCACGACTTAATTTAGCTTCCTTACCAACAGATGATAGGAGAGCACATGTGAACTGATGTTCCGTTACCTCATCATGTCTTAATTTATCGTAATCCATAAAAAAGTCCATAACACGTATACCACGGTTCCGAATAGTAACTTTTATGCGATCAATGATCATATGTTGTGATGGAATTAATAAATTATCTTTTTGGAAGACATGATCAATATTTTTGTCTTTCTACATAAGGATTAAAATTGAAATGTACAGCATGATACACAAAACAGTATTATTCAGCCACATATACAAGATCCAAGTTCATTTCCAATTTAAAATCATATAAATATGTACGGGTTCCACTCAACCCTAATCGATACTCTAATATTATTAACAACAAACTAGATATAAAAGGTCATTTTTTAAAGTAACCATATTAGTTTGAGTATGTCCAAAGGATAATATAATTATTAACAACTAACAACAAACCATCAAATTGTAAATCGGATCAGTCTAAAACAAATACAATGCTTGAGATTTTTAACCAGATATAAATGAGCTACACTCTCTTCAGTGGGACAAATTTTGTACTAAGCTGTTCATCGCTTTATATACCCATTTCACCTATTGTGAGTACCTTCGCTGGTAAACATTTATTGTCCTTCAAGACTTTCCAATATAGAACGTATCAAAATCGTCACAACCTAATCTGTAGAAACAACTATTAGAACGTAGGATGTTTATTATATTCTCTTTTTATTTTAGTTTGTCTTTTTCTAAAGTAAGGATCCTGATCCCTTTTCTGTAAAGATTCAGTGCTAGCGAAGAGTCTTCTCGTGAGATCCCGGCCCGTGTCAAGGAACACTTAAGGTACACAAAAAGACCTATTAATCCTGCAGAATTGGAAATTTTACAGGTTAAATCAGTAATAGCAGCACATTTCTCAATAACCACCGAATCGATATTAAAAATACCAAAATAATTCAGAAAGTCTTTAACTACTATAAAGAGAGGCCAGTGGCCGAAGCGTTCCACGTAATGCTAGATCACTCTGCCCTCAGTAGGAAAGAAGGTCTGAATATTCATTCAACCTGAAATATTTATTCATACAACCACATATGACCTTATTTATTTTCCACACACGCACAAACCTAATTTCAACCTTACTACTTGACTTTACAAATACATATGTTCTCCATACTCACACTCTGACACACAAATTAATACAGTGACAAGTCACATAAATTCACCTTGATCAAGAATAACTTGACATTGACGTATTCAGGCCTACTATGATTTTGATTGTATCGAAAGTGTTCTACATTGTTTTCTTCTTACTATTTAAACTTGTGTTACCTTAATTCAGCTATTTATTTACTCTGAAGAAGTGGCTTGCATTAGTCCACAAAACGTTAGAAATACAATTTTTCTACTCATTGGAATATAACATAATATGCATTTAACGTGGGCCTAATATATTTACGAAGACTTACTGCAAGTTTTGTGTTGTCTTCCAATGCTTTTTCGTATGAGTCAATCATTTCAAGGTCTTTTTCAAAAGCTAGATAGTCTACAAGACCAGGATTAGTTAGTGATTTATAACACTGAACTAGTGACATCATTTCTTCATCACTGACATCCTTCGGACCAGGAAACCCTCTGAAAAACTACGAACATTAGAAAAATTTATGAAAATTTACAAACTTGGCTTTCCGTCACCTCACCTAAGTTATGAACATCGTACTGTTTATAACACTGGCGTATTATATAACCTTGGTTACGGATAAATTGATTGATTCTCGAAAGAAGTGGTTTTATGTATTCCAATTTTCCATCATTGTACAGCTTATGCTGTGATTTTGTGCCTACGCTCGGAGATCTAATCGGTTAGCTGTAGTAATGAAATTACTCGATTGTTTGGAGAACCTTGGATTCCGGGGTTACACTAAAATCATTTTCATCATATTTACCTTCTATTTCGCGAACAAATTTCCTCCAGTTAATATACCGATTCTTATCAACCCCATATTTTTTAAATAGAAGTTTTTCCTGTGAAACGTCAAGTGGAACACCAATCAAATTTCTTAAAATTCTTAAGAATTGGTTTCCTGAAACTTATGAGTTCATAATTATACTGTATTACCAGTGACATATCCAGACCTTAAGTTATCATAATCGTGAAAGTTTTCATCAAATCTGCATCTACGATCTTTTGCAATGTCTCGAATGTAGTTTTCAACATTTTGCACTGTATCCAAAGCCATACGAAAATCAAATGTGTTTTGAGGCGTTACTAACACTATTTTGATGAAGTCATGCAACCAAACAAATACTATAAACCTCATAAATTGGAACATTTGACAAAAGTGAATAATTTTATGTACTGAACTACACTTTTTATACTGCGTACAGCTATTACTTTTTCAGTCAAAGACGACAAAAGAAAATATACATTAACCAGTAATGAGTGAGATTCGGAGTGTGTTTTACAATATCTTCAAACCCAAATAATCCCTCACTCTTCAAAGGAGTCAGTTGAGACTGCAACTACTATTGATCCAGTAGTAAATTTCATAATATCTTATGAAAGTGTTTAACTGCTGGGGTTTCCTCATTCAACGTATACGTTCTGTTTTCTTGTATTCCGTTTAGTCTCAAGGAGTGTATGTCGTCTACTGAGAAAACAAGTGTGATGAGTGATATAATTTTTCATGATCAAAGAAGCAATACCCGATGTCATTATAACTACTGTAAACCAGTAAACTTATTTCCTCTCTCGTCTTGGTGTTAACTTTTTGTTCCAGGTCATCAGACAGCATTAAAAGAGAGTACTCTTAACATCTGACTGCAGAACTCTTAATCAATTGATTAGTTGCTTATGGGTTCTTACGTGCAGAGTAAAAATGAGTGCGCCGATCGTTTGCGGTGCGAAAGACATTCTGTTTGAATTTTTGTATGCTGATTTCAAAACCATTGTTTCGTGTTCATTGCTGTAGAGACACTTAAACTAAATGAAGATCATTAAGGTTGTGATTATCAGAAGTTGGAGAAAACCGGATTAAGGCGTACCATCATAGCACCCTATAACGCTTTATGTTAATAAATGGGATTGGTAAAGTTATTGTTGTTGCGCAAAATGAATCTATAAAATAAGTAGTTCTGTAAGTCTTCGATATTTGATGCTGACCTCATTAGCTTACTGGACACACACTAGCTGAAAGCGCTGTCACGCATCCTCAACAGATCACGAGTAACTAAGCCGTGCTACTCATTTCTTAAAACCACTAGCCAGTTTAGATTAAACGCTTCCAAAGATGTCGATAGCCTTTCAAATGTATTTTCGAATCTCTTCATCTCGGAATACTTCAGTTATAAGGGTGTTGCTTGTAAAGTGGTTGTCAAACTCTGAATACTTGAAACATCTTTAGTACTAAGTTCTCAGTTTGGGCGTAAAGGGAAATTTCTTGGTAAGAGAATCCAACCCTAATACTTGGTAAAACCAAGAATATACTTACAGTATAAAGTTAAGATAAAAAAAATCGTGACGACTAGCTAAAATTTACACAAAAAATTAAGTTAAACTCAACACATCTGTAACTTTTTATTTGTCTTGAAGAAACAAAATCTAAGGAGCTCTGTTTGCAGTAATGTTTGTTGTCACCTTTCTCACTAGCTATGAAATTCGCTAAACTTCTCAATGAGCAATAAAAGTGCAGCTAATGAACAAACTGATGAATTATCGAAAGTAGGGAAGAGAACCGTCTTGTTCCTCATCTTCAAGGAACGATACAGAGCAAGCGAGTTGTAATGGACTTATAGCATTGCTTCCAGTATATTCAGGGTGTTGCGAGGTCTGGAAAATGATCACAAAATAGGATTCAAAGACGAAAACAAACCCTATTGACGAGAAACTCCGAGAAGGAGTTTTGTCGAGGGGTTGATGTATGAGTACTTGATCTTTATTTGATTGCTTCAAAACTCAGCTGTTAGTTATTCATGACTAACATATTGTGAAGCGCTGTGTAGCATATTATAAAGTGGAAATAACCCTAATTGTGAGACTAACCTTAATGAAGCTTGTCGTACAATAATTGAGGAATTTATTCGCATTCAATCACAACGATCAATTTCACTAATTGAATAAGTTCACTAAACCGATGACTAATTAACACGAAGTTCTGATAGTTTGGTTCATTGAAATTTAATTATTGACTGAATATTTTAAGTGCATGTAACATTTTGGTTTTTTGATTGGTCGTGCTTCACTGTTGCAATCAGTGATTGATGCATAAGAAAATATCGATTTACAATCATGTATTATCTGTTTTATTGAGCCACATTGGCTTTGTTCCATTCAGCGACTAGAAAGTAGTAGTTTTACTTCTTAGCCATAACAAGCATCCAAACAATCCATAATCCTAGAAACCATTGGGTTATTGTGGTCGAATATGACATTGTTTCCCAAATAAAATATGTTTTAATCACTACCGTCTTGTATTATGTGTCACAATGTATTGCACTCTGAGTTTAGAACACTCGATATCGCACTTAAATCTATGCTCTTATGTCGACATATATGGTGAGCAGATATTTTGTGAAGCGTGTATCAAATCGCACTTACAAATTGCCCAGTTATTTCAGGAGTGAAGAATGGTCAATGTAATTTGTCACTCTGCACTCAGTAGATCAACGAAAGACCAGAAAATACTGTAACGTTAAAAGCATATGTGAGTCTTCTTGGAAGTCTCCTTGAAAACAAAGAAAGAGGGCATTACAATAAACGTCATCCAATGCTATGCGCCTATCAATGACTAAGATGATGACGTTAAGGACCAATTCTACGATAGTTTGCAGTTGATCGTCAAGAAGTGCCCAACAAAGGAATTAACCATAAGGATGGGTGATTTAAATGCCAATATTGGGATGGATAACACCGGATATGAAGACATCATGGGACGACATGGACTTCGAGAATGGGACGAAAATGGTGAGAAATTTGCAAACCTATGTGCCTTCAATAAACTGGTCATAGGCGGCACTATATCCCCACACAAACTCATTCACAAAACCACCTGGACCTCATCGGATCACACTACGCAGAACCAAATCGACCATATCTGCATCAACAAAAAGTTCAGGAAGATGATGGAGGATGTGAAAACCAGGAGAGGAGCTCTTAGCTTCAGATCATCACTTGCTGGTCGCTAAGATGAAATTAAAACTTAAAAAGCACTGGACAATGAGGCGGACAACAACACAAAAGTTTTTCATCGGGATACTGACAAACTCAACAAATTCAAGATAGCCCTCAGCAACAGGTTCAAGGCTTTTCATGGTCTACTCAATGGAGAAGGAACTACTAAGGAGAGCAACTGGAGGGGTTAAAAGAAGCAATCACTTCAACATATCAAGATGTTCTGGGCCACAAGAAGCACCATCACAAGGAATGGATCACTGTTGGTACACTGGATAAAATTGAAGAAAGGAGGAGGCAGCAATCAATAGCAGCCGAACAAGAGCAGAAAAGCCAACGCACAAGCCGAATACACAGAGGCAAATAAGCAAGTGAAGAGGAGTATCAGAACCGACAAACGTAAATATGTGGAAGATTTAGCAATGACGGCGGAAAAGGCTGCGAGAGAGGGAAACATGAAACAACTGTATGATACAACAAAGAAACTTGCTGGAAATTGCCGTAAGCCAGGATGACCAATGAAAAGCAAGGAAGGCAAAGTAATCCCCGACATTGGAGAACAACGAAACAGGTGGGTAGAACACTCCAAAGAACTCTTGAATCGACCAGCTCCACTGAACCCACCCAACATCGAAGCAGCACCCACAGACCTCCCAATCGATGTTGGCCCAACAAAAGTTGAAGAGATCAGCATAGCCATGAGACAAATCAAGAGCAACAGTACCAAAAAACATCCCAGCAGAGGCACTGAAAGCAGATGTGGCAGCGACTGCAAAGATACTCCACATTCTCTTCAGTAAGATTCGGGGTGAAGAACAAGTATCAACAGACTGGAAAGAAAGACTTCTCATCAAAATACCAAAGAAAGGCAATCTCAGCAAATGTGATAACTACAGGGGCATCACTCTTCTGTCAATACCAAAGAAATTCTTCAACGGAGTGTTGTTAAACAGAATGAGAGATTCCGTAGACGCCCAACTTCGAGACCAACAGGCTGCATTCCATAAGGATCGATCATGTACACACCAAATTACAACTATACGGATCATTGAGGAACAATCAATTGAATGGAATTCATCACTCTACATCAACTTCATTGATTACCTGAAAGTATTTGATAGCGTGGACAAGACAACACTATAGAGGCTTCTTCGACACTACGGCCTTTCTGAGAGGACAGTCAATCATAAGGAATTCTTACGATGAATTAAACTGGAAGTCGTGCATGGAGGACAACTCAATATCTCGTTCGAGGTAGAGACCTGTGTCAGGCAAGGTTGCTTGCTCTCACCCTTTCTCTTTCTCCTGGTGATTGACTGGATCATGAAGACGTCAACATCTGGAGGAAAGCACGGAATGAAGTGGACAGCTAGGATGCAGCTAGACGATTTAGACTTCACAGATGATCTGGCTCTTCTATCACACACGCAACAACAAATGCAGGAGAAGCCCACGAGTGTAGCAGCAGCCTCAGCAGCAGTAGATCTCAATATGAACAAAGAGAAAAGCAAGTTTCTCCGGTACAATACAACATGCACCAATCGAATTACACTTGACTGAGAAGCTTTGGAGGATGTGGAAACCTTTACATATGTGCGCAGCATCATCGATGAACACGGTGGACCTGAAGCAGATGTGAGGGCGCCGATAGGCAAAGCGAGAACAGCGTATTTACAACTGAAGAACATCTGCAACTCAAAAACGATTGTCAACCGACACGAAGATCAGAATTCTCAATATAAATGTGAAGACAGTTCTACTGTATGGGGTGAAAGCCTGGAGAACTAGGAAAACCATCATCCAGAAGATACAGGTGTTTATTAACAGTTGTCTGCACAAAATACCTCGGATCCTTTGATCAACAACTATCAGCAACAACCTATTATAGGGTAGAACAAACCAGATTTCAGTGGGGGAAAAATCAGGAGGAAGCGCTCGAAGTGGATAGGACGCACATTGAGGAAAGCAGCCAACTGCGTCACAAGGCAAGCCCTCACATGGAGTCTTGAAGGTCAAAGGGAAAGAGGAAGACAAAACACACAAAGTTGTTCATCGTTTCACTTCGTCAAACTCAATGATCAGAATATTGGAAGGATACGATTCTCGTCTCGATCTCCGAAGACTGATAAGCGACAACTCGTGTCTAATTGCTGACTTATTTATCTAGCAAGCAAAATAATTAAACTGCAAGAAAAATATAGTCAGGAAAAAGTAGCCTAGGCAGTTAGAATCACATGGTCCCAGTAAGAAAAAGGATACTCTACCCACAAAAGCTTGTGTTCACGTTATTTACAGATTTCAGCGAAGCACTTCAAAAGACATTTCATTTTGGACTTATGTACAACTTTCTTGACTTCTCAATAATAAATATGAAAATATACATTCCCTATAGATGGAAACATGGATTACTTCTCTCTCTTAAAAATGGCTTTGGTACCAATATATCTAATCCTTTTCCCTCTCTACGATCAAGCACTTCTGATGTCACCCCAGGAAGACTTAAAAATAATGATCAAATAACGTTAGGGTGGATCCTTTTTCTTCTTGTCACCTGAAAGAACTACAAATGATTATATCGTAGTCTATTAATTACTTATGATAATTTTCCATCTATCACGCTCTCTTGTTTCTTACTTTCATAACAAAGCAACTACAAATACACTCAAAAAAGGTCAATCAACTCAGACGGATTAAAGACTTTCCCATTAGATTGTCGATTGATAAAACTCTCCATTTAAAAACGTATTTAAGGCTTCGACCTTCAGTTTACTCTAAGTGAATTTAAATCGGCGAAAAGGCCCCGAGACTATGACTGAAATGTCATATTCACCCTCCTATCCTTCACAGTCAGAAATAGAGCTATCAGTTGTAGTGTATTATTCGATCAGAGGGATAACGCCAAATTAAATAAATTTTTACATTTTCATACTGATGTTAATATTACTAATTTTACTGAACGTATCCTTAACTGAATGTATATGGTCAAGAATTCAGACAAGGCCATGTCCTGACATCTCGTGCCTCACATCTTGTACGACAACTAGTCGCCTTACACCGGGTAAACACCCAACACATCGACCATTACCAAAATATATCTTTCAGTCCTTCCAAATTAATTTTGCTCCTAAAATGTAGAGAAAGATGAAAGTAAATCCAATGCCAAACAATTAACTGGTGATAACACTCCAAAACTTTGATCCATAAGAATAACTTGGTTTTTCCTACAAACAATGGAAAAACTATTACCGCACCCACATTGGCCTATCGTCAAAAGCATATTAAAACGCATACGTTTGCTACAAATGTAAAAGAAATACCTTGTATACTTTCCTGTTCTACATCGAAGTATAGTTTTCAGTGTGAAAAAGGGTAAGAATTGTGCTCAATACTCATTTCTGGACTTCAACACTGTCTTTTGCCTTATTTGAGGACAACTACCTTTTAACAGGTCTTTCAGTATTCACTCCGATAGGGTGAATGACAAACCGGCTGTTCTTATTGCTCTGAAAGTAAACAGTACATTGTCCTTGAAGCTAGGTGCCCGACATCTTCGCAAACTCGGGATACACTAGAAAGAGCTATTCTTTCCCCTTTTCCTTTTTCATTTTTCCTGCATGGTCTGCCACCTTCAACGGAGAACACTTGATAAGGATATGGACGAACTTACCGCATTTCTGACTGTCTAAGAACTATTGAAACTATTTAACTTTATGTTGATCATCCAACGATGGCCATTTTCAATAGTCTCGCACTTAATCCCTCTACATATTGATCTGTTTATTTTCGCTTGAGGCATAAGGATCACGCAGACACTTGTTTGAAGTCCCGTAACGTCTATATAACTGGAGATTCTATAATAGAAAGAAGTTCAAAAGGCAGATACTCACATGTGAGCTTTGCTTTCCATTCATTTCTGTCTTCCTATGCTTTCTTGACACGGAAGGCCCAACCGTATCTCCTACCTTGACACAGTGGTTGAGCTTGCCTATCTCGATGATGCAGTCGAGCTATGTTTACTAGAACACGTATCCCTTTAGGATCTAACATGTCAGCCAGGTTGGTTGAAGAACAGTAAGGCTAAAAATAGGAACTGAAGACCCGAAGACAGAGTCGTACTATCGATCGTAGAGCGGTCTGACGAGAGTGAGGTATTCCCCCTTGACAATCAGCATCTGAAGGGACTCAATCTTCCTATGACGGAATAAAGAGATTAGGAAACGCCGACCCCGAAAATATCACACCTCATATTTATCCCATGGATTCCGTCTCTGGTGCCAGAGCCTTTTGAAGTGCGGAACCAACACACAGAAAACTTCTCACTAAAACGTCCTGCGTGGACGACCTCAAGCAGCTTGCCATTGAACCCCGAGCTCAAGCTATCAGGTAGACAAGACCACCATTAAGTCAACCTCTATTTCAGGTCCTTTAGGAAGAAAAGTCCTTACAGCGTGAACAACCGTGCAGTGAAAATCATCCTCATAACAATCCTTCTATCCTCACAACTAACTATTCCCGTATATCTTTATCGCCAAACCACACCAATGCTAACTATTTGAGTTTTTGAAATGCTATTCCTGGCCTCTTGAAACCGCACTCAAAATAATAAGTCAAAGATTCTAATGTTCAAACCTTGTGTCATTTATGATGACAGGCTTCTTTATCAAGTACTCTGGGATCTTGCGCCACCCATGAATTCCGCATCCCTAAAACGCTCATACTGGTTCCAAGTGTGGTCATTCATTTGACCGAACTATGCTAATAAAAAGAACTAGTGTGATTGACGCCTCGAGTATCTGGAGATCTCACCACTTCTTCCAGCCGCATCGTTGTAGGTATAACGGTAGTTTTTAAAGTAGAACGGGACTCCCCAGGCTGAATTTCAACAGACAGTCGTTTGATTTAACAGAATGGTTAGGACTGGAAAAGATAAGGACATACGCCATTGCCATTTCTGTCTGTGCATACGTTCCCATTGACTGCAACTCGACTGGAGTGAAAGATGAATTTTTTTTAGTAAGCGGTCCGACTTCCCCTCTAAAAGCTAGACGCTCAGATGTAGTAATAGTGGTAGATGACTTTGATTCCCTTATCGGCAAATTAAACCAAGCAGAATGGCTAATATGCAGATCTTAACGTTATAGCGGCCGAGAAAAAAACGAAAAATGACAACCGCCTGCTGCAACTGTGTTCAGATAAATGTTTGTTTCTAGTAAGCACCAAATTTGGACTTCAAAAGAAACACCATGTGACGTGGAGACTCTTACAATTGACCCACCAATGAACTCAAATAGGTCGTGCTACAGTTAGCCTTTGTTGAAGAGGCTTAATAGAAGACTGTTGTTTATTCTGAAGCGAATGTTTAGAACTATAGGCCTATAGGGAATCTAACGCGAGAGAGGTTAATAGGACCTGATGGATTAAGTTCTACAATCTCAAGAGATGGTCTAATTCAAGCAATTGGATTGACTGAGATTCCAGGTAGAATCTAGGAACTCAATGTTATCCTATTTGACTGATCTCGATTGACGATCATCCCAATCTATAAGAAAGAAAAAATTCCTCTCGTGATAATCAGAGGGATCAGTTTGACTAACACAATGCCTAAGATATTGGGACAAATAATATTTTAAGCAGCAAACCTGAGAAAAACACTGGTTTTAGACCTGGATGTGAATGTATAAACCAAATGTTGATTAATCTGGGTTTCACAAGAGAAAGTTTTTGAAACGTTGTGTGCTGAGGACTCCATATTGTACTAAACACGTATTATATGAAGCCAATAATAATAAAAATTAAAAAACTAAATAAACTCTTTATTTCAAACTCGTATACATACTAGAGGGAGCTTGTGAGAAAATCTGACAAGGTGAAGTATAAGAGGAAAAGCGAGTTGAGGACCCTACAAGCAGTCAGTAACTATCATCAATATGGTAAAGACAATTAAGGCGGTCTGAAAGTCGAAATTAGATTTCAGTGAGACAGACTTTCGGATGTTTCACAGCCCTGTAAGTAAAGACGAATCACTTTAGTTTTTGTCAAAGTTCAAGTATAAGTTAGAATAAAGTGAACCACATATTGTGACGTCTTATTGAAATAGCCTAATTCTCTTTCAAATGATGTGATCATACGTGAATTTTTAAAAATTACATAGCTAGGAAAAGTACAACCATTTGTATCCCATCGTGGATTTATTATAACGTCAATTCTAAGTACTAGAATTCCAGTTCTGACTGGCAATAGTACTGGGACATCCTCTTGGAAATCATACGCCACTCAAGGTCACTCTTGCCGCTGGTTTAACAGTACGGTAAGCAGCTAGCAATAAGCGTTGCTGTCGATTGGCAATTTTAAGCGTTTTTCTCATACTTGAGAACTGAAGAATCATTTCGTCATCTCTCTTCATTGGAATTAAATGAATCTATTTGTGCAGTTTTTGTTATTTGACATAGAATAAGTTAACCTTTGGTTGATTCGGGAAACCTCATGTACAGAAATATCATTTTACGACTCTGAAACTGCGGGTTAAAGTTCTACAACTTTTGATCAGGAGGCATATATGAGACAACTAAGCAATTGGGATGAAACAAAGAGTTGTTATCTCTTTAACTCTAGAATCTGTTAAGGGGTTCACTCCTACTTACAAGTCACTCGTTGATTTCAGGTGCCTATCATATGTAGAAAGTTTCCAGTGTGTAGTTGAAACAGAGTGCTATGTACAACCAAAAATGCTTTTATGAACCAGAGGACACCGTAAATTGAAATAACTAAAACTCTCATCATACGGTGTTCGATATTTACGTTTTTTTCCGAGAACACAATGTATTCCCGTTGTATATGGGTGATAAACTTTATGGTGTTATAAAACGACGCATTTAGTATTAACCTAATGAGGATTTGAGGTGAGACAATAATGCGTGGACGACTTTTAGGCGACGCCAAAGTGACTGCGAGAGTCTACCTACTTACCAGGGCTAAATGAGGGTCATAAAGCAGTTTGATGAATAAGGATTATGATTTATAGTTGATGGTTAGAGTTAGGAATTAAATTTATGGTTTTTCATCACGCCGGTTGGCCAAACGAGTGAGTGGATTCCGCATCAAAATCTAAGACCTATTATCGTAAGTCTGATTGTTTCGTCCATAAAAGTCTCGCCGGACATGAAAGCAATACATGAGAAGTGGCTAAACGGCCCTCACTCCAGTTGGGCACTATGTCTATGTTAATCTCGTATATCAGATTGTAGTTAGATGCTGACAAATTCATCAATCCAAGGTTGCAGGGAATTAGAATTAGTGAGATAAGAAAAGGACCAATTAGTGAACTTACTACTGACGAGTTCGGAATTAGTTGAAGTATCTAAGCTCTGAAGCCCTTCACTCTATTCGATAATTGTTACGAATCGGCCGTCACTCCCTGATGCACATTGATAAACACCTTTGTGAATACCGTCCTCTGCATCAACACCTAAGCCGTTGCTTCGAAAACCACTAAACGTAATCAAGAACGTTCCCATGAAAACTGTATAGAGATAATATAGAGGGTCCTGTTATCAATTAATAGTATTGAGTTTATAAGATATGATCTTAAAGCTTTTTGAATGGAATGTTGTAAATTGTGTGCGAAACGTCAGCTACCAAACAATACTGTACCAATATCTGCCACACTAATTTCTAACGACGGTGCCCTAGTTTAACGCTTGTGTGATTGAAACTAGTTTCTTTTAGGACACCAATCCGTTTGCCTGTATGTTTATATCCTCACGGTGTACTGTAGCGTTTCATTCCTACCGCACAGACATAAAGTCTTCCGTTTCAGGTCACCCATTCTCAAAGGGACCATCTTGTTATGTCTTTGTCCAATGGAAGTTTATTACGCTCAGCTCAACTAGGTAATAAAGTTTAGTCCTTTCAACGTTTTTAGTGTTTTTTAGACAACCCTTTAGATGCGCAGGAGTTAAAAAGAAAAAGAACTACGCCGAGACCCCTTCTAGGTACCGACCTTCCGTACTTGTGAAGACTCTTCGTGGTTTTCAGTTTAATGATGGGGATTATGTCTATAAAGGTGATATCTTAGTTCGACAGGTACGTTGCTATTATTGGTCTTTATTCATTTGTATATCATGAATAATTTTGTAACGGTTGTGCCGTTGATATTTCTATTTTGTTGCATGTGATAAAGGTATGTATAATGCAGAGGGTAATATATATATATATATATATATATATATATATATATATATATATATATATATAATACCATCTGACGTCTCGACAAGATACAATTGTTCTCTTTTGCAGAATATGTCATTAAGGCTTGGTGATCTATCTGAAGTCGCTATATTACACTAAGACAAGGAGGGCCGGAATAGTGCGGTAAGTACTAATGAGAAAGATCGGATATTGAGAATGTGGTGTGAAACGACAATGAGAAGGTATATATGAAGGGATAATGAACTCCAGATCTAGAGGAAAATAAAGTTGGCACGTTTGTTTCATTGGGACCGCTTCTGAGTCCTGGGTTCGAGTCTCGCGAGTGCGGGGTCATGGATGCGTACTGCTGAGGAGTCCCACAATAGGACGGAACGGCCGTCCAATGCTTCCAGGTTCCCGACCGTTGCTGCTACCTTGACGTGGTGGTCGGGCTTGCCTATCGTGATGAAGCAATCGAGCTATGCTGGCTGGAACAATCGTTTCTCGAGGTCCTACCATGCCAGACAGGTCGGTTGAAGAGCGGTAAGACTAAAAGCAGCAATTCCAAGGTTTGAAGGCAAAGTCGTACTGCCGACTGTACAGAGGTGCAACGTCATTAAGGCGTTTCCTTCAGACAACCAGCATGACAGCGATGCTGCCTTCCCACAAGAAGGGGTGGGGTTAGAAAAGGTCGACCCTAAAAATACACACCTCGCTATATCCCACGGATTTCCGTCTCCGGCGGTAAGGTCCTTTGAAGAACGGAGCTAACACGTCAAAAATCCCCCACAAAAAGGCCGTGCGTGGCCGGCCTCAAGTAGTTGTCCGTTGGGCACTGCGGTCACACTCCCAGGTCGTTAAGACCAACACTCATCCAACTTCTTTTTCAGATCCCTCAAGAAATACCCTCCCATGGTGATATTAGCTCTCATACCCGTAACAGCACACGAGACCAAGTTGGTCACTTTCAAATCCTTCCTACTCCTAATAACTGTTATCTCCACGACTAACCTTTCCCACGTTCTTTTATCACCTCGCACCGCTAGGGCAAACGATTCAAGTACACGGAACGTTATTCCTGGTCTCCTGAAACCACGCTGTAATCTACATATAGGAACTTTTAATGTCCGAACATTGTGCCAAATAGGACAACAGGCTTCCTTAGCTAGGACTCTAGAATCTTACACCATCGATGTGTGCTGCGTCTCCGAAACGCCCATACAAGATCCAAGTAGCTTCATTCATTTGACCTCACCTAATCAAAATAAAGAACCATCTCGATACACGCTTCGCGTATCTGGAAGCCCTGATGCTGCTTCCCGTGACCTCGCTGGACTAGGTATAGCATTGAGTCCTAGGGCAGAACTAGCTCTTTTAGACTGGATCCCAGTAGACAGTCGTCTATGCGCTGTCCGACTAAACGGATCAGTAAGGACTCGGAAAGATAGGGAAACTCGTCGTTGCTTCTTCGTCGTCTCTGCCTACTCTCCCACTGACTACAGCTCAGACGATATAAAAGATGAGTTTTACAGAAAACTTTCTGACCTTCTCCGAAAAGCTAGGCGTTCTGATGTAGTAATAGTGGCTGGTGACTTTAATGCTCAAGTAGGCAAACTAAGTGAAAGGGAAAGACACCTGGGAGGATCTTATGGTGTGGTGGCTAAAAGAACAGATAATGGCGACCGTCTGTTGCAGCTGTGCTCAGATAACCGCCTATTTCTTGCAAATACTAACTTTAAGCATAAGGAAAAACATCTTTTGACATGGCGACCCCCGAATTCGTCCCAACGTTGGACCCAATTAGATCACATCGCTATCAGCCACCGATGGAGGGGCTCGATAGAAGACTGTCGCTCATTCTGGAGCACATGTTTAGACTCAGATCATGCTCTAGTGCGAGCACGTATCTGTCTGCGTGTTACTGGACGTAGGAAAGACACTGCAGGGAAGCCTCTAAGGGTTCTACTTAATGATAAGCAAGCTAAGAATATATTTCAGGAACAACTGGAAAAACAGTTAGACAGACGTGTAAGTTGTGCCCACCCCGAAGCAGCGTGGAATGGCATCCGAAAAGCTGTGGAAACAGCAGTGATATCCGCTAATAAGGTAAGCCATAAGGTTATGGAGAAACGATGGATCTCGGCAGCATCTACCGCACTGATAGATGCTCGGAAACTCATCCCACCTGGCTCTGAACATAACGAAGAGCGGAGTCAGCTTAAGCGAAGGCTAATAAGAAGCCTACGCAATGATCGTGAACAGTGGTGGGTAGCGAAAGCAAGAGAGATGGAAAAGGCAATGGCAATAGGTAACAGCAGACAGCTATTCAGATTTATTAAAGAAACCGGTATTAGGAACCCAACTATTAGCGAAACTATCTCAGACAAAGATGGGCATATCATTCATTTTCAATCCAGGAGATTGGATCGATGGGCAGAACACTTTAGGGATCAGTTCAACTGGCCTTCAGCCACACTTCAGTTACCCACAATCCCCAGTCGTTCTGAATGGCAAATTGAGGTAAGTCCTCCAACTCTCTACGAAGTTGAAAAAGCTATAGGAAATCTAAAGCGAGGGAGAGCAGCAGGCCCTGACAGGTTTACGCCTGAGATTTTTAATGATAGTGGTCCAGTACTAGCAACGAGATTGACTGAGGTCTTAGGTAGAATCTGGGAACTGGACGTAATTTCATCTGACTTGTCCCAATCACTGATTGTGCCAGTCTATAAGAAAGGACAAAAGTCCTCCTGTGACAATCACAGAGGGATCAGTTTGACTAATATAGTGTCTAAAATATTAGCTTCAATAATACTAGGTCGCCTAACCAAAGCTCGTGAAGAGCACACTAGAGAAAAACAGGCTGGTTTTCGACCTGGACGTGGCTGTATAGACCAGATATTCACTCTACGTCAAGTCCTAGAACATAGACATACATTCAGACGTCCCACAATAGTAGTATTTCTTGATCTTAAGGCGGCATTTGACTCCGTTGATCGTGAGGTTCTATGGCAGTATTTGACACTGAAAGGAGTACCAAAGAAGTATATTAACCTTAGCCGAGTGAGAGCTTATGGCGAAATGTCATCAGAATTGATTACCTCAAGTAGTGTTCGTCAGGGCTGTCCACTCTCCCCATTCTTGTTTAACTTTGTCCTTGACATGCTTTTAGAGATATCACTTTCATCATCTAAATCTCCAGAAGTTGGACTTTTACCGGGAGACTCACTTGTTGACGCCGACGACATAGTTTTATTCGGTGAAGACGCTGACAAAATGCAGAGTCTTCTGACCACTATAAGCAACAATGCAGGCATGTTCGGGATGCGATTCTCTCCCTGGAAGTGCAAAATGTTACTTCAGGATTGAGTTGCATCGACACCTGAACTAATGATAGGGAGTGAAGTAGTTGAGCGTGTTGACAGCTTCACTTATCTTGGGAGTCTCATCAGCCCTTGTGGTCTGGTGTGTGACGAAATCTCAGCACGGATACAGAAGGCTCGTCTAGCTTTTGCCAACTTGCGTCATTTATGGCGTAGGCGAGATATCCGTCTAGCAACCAAAGGACGGGTTTACTATGCAGCAGTTCGTTCCGTCCTACTTTATGGCCGTGAAACATGGCCGATAAGAGTAGAGGATATTCGTAGGCTACTAGTGTTCGATCATAGGTATCTTCGACGCATTGCTCGTATATCCTGGGACCACCGGGTAAGTAATGCAGATTTTAGGAAACGGGTACTAGGTATGGATGGCAAATCGATTGATGAAGTAGTGAAACTTCATCAGTTGAGATGGCTGGGACATGTGTTACGTATGCCCAACCACCGACTGTCCCGATGTGCAATACTTTATGGTGTAGGAGTAGGTTGGAAGAAAGCTAGGGGCGGCCAGGCCAAAACGTGGCATAAATCCATTAAGTCGCTGACAAGTGGACTGGGCCATGTTGGTAGGTCTAGACTACCTGGTTGGGATTCGCGAGATGATAGCAACCGATGGTTAGAGACCGTGAGTGACATGGCTCAAAATCGTTTGCAATGGTGAAGATGCATCCACTCTTTGTGTTCTACCAAATTGTAATCTGAATTCTTCATGTCCGTATCCTTTTTCTCTTTCCAAATTTATTTCACCATATTATACTCCTTCAATAACATCTTCAAACCCTTATCTGTCACATAATACTTATACTATTACTACTTCTAACAATATGGGATTTGAATCAAAAACTTTATCTCTGTGCTAATGTGGTGTGGCAACTCGAACTGATGTACGTACGTACGAAGTTCTACGTTGTAACTGAATGACTGACTGACTGAGTCATGTTACTCCAACCACCAATCACACAAACCTCAACCAAGTGGTCTGCATCCACCAAAATGGGTCAATCAAATAGTCACTGGCTTTATGGACTGATGTCACGTTTTCGTTTGGTTATCCATAGCATTCTTACAGCTTTCTCCTACAACAAACAGCATTCCCTGTCAAGGTAAAAAAAATATCGGGCGTACATAATACATGTCCCAACCACCTCAAACAATAAAGATTCTAGGTGGTATATGTTTGGGGTCTATAAATCGTTATGTAGATTCCTTGAGTCTTAATTCTTGGTCTATTAACTGTGGTTCACCCTAGATATGTCCTCCATTTGTAAGAGGGAGTCTGCTCTCTTGGAATGTCCTCATATATATATTGTCAAGTGCTGCTGCTTTCCAACTCTTTATTTGTCTGATGATCGGCCATCCTGATTTATTCAATCGTTGATGGAGTGACATTTATAGGTAGGTCTGTGTGTGCTGCTTTGATGTCCGATGGGTTAAGTGGGGCTGGCATATTCAAGAGTTCCCCAAAGTGTTCTACCCATCTTTTTTTCTGTTCTTGAATCTCAGTGATTGGCTTACCTTCATTGTACTTGACCGGTGTCTCTGGTTTACTATATTTCCCTTCCAGTTTCTTCGTTGTGTCACACAGTTGTCTGATATTTCCTCCTCTTGCAACTTTTTCCTGTGTCGTTGCTAGGTCTTCCACGTATTTCTGCTTGTTGTCAGCTCCAATGCTCCTCTTCACTTGTTTGTTTCCTCCTGTGTATTCAGCTTGTGCCTCGACTTTCTCTGTTCTCGCTCGGCTGTTGTTAATTGCTGCCTCCTTGTCTTCACTTCTTGAATCTTGTTCGGGGTTTTGATAGTGATCCATTCCTTATGGTGCTGCTTCTTCAGGCCCAGAACCTCCTGACACGTTGAACTTAGTGCATCTTTGACCCTTTCCAATTGTCCTCCATAGTAGTTTCCTCTTCTTCCAGTAGATCTTGTAGGGCTTGGAAGCTGTTGATGAGAGTTATCTTGAATACGTTGATTTTGTCAGTATGTCGAAGGAAGTGTGTATTGAACTTTTGTAATGCTGTTTCCGTAGTATTATATTGACTTTTATGAGAACAAAAATTATGCAACACTTCTGCACCACATATTCAATTACAGAAAATATTGTGAAATGATTGTAGAAGGAGGTGTGTATCGAACTTTTGTAAGCACCAGATGGTGATCCGAAGCTTTGTCAGCTCCTCTCCTTGTTCTCACGTCTCCCATGGGTCTTCTGAATTTCTTATTGATGCAAATATGGTCGATCTGACTCTGTGTAGTGTGATTTTGTGAGACCCATGTAGCTTTGTGTGGGAATATTGTTCCGCCTATAACCAATTTGTTGAATGTTCATAAGTTTGCGAATTTCTCGCCATTCTCGTTTTTTTCTCCTAGTCCATGTCGTCCTCTGATATGTTCATACCCAGTGTTTTTCATTCCGATATTGGCGTCTAGGTTTCCCATCAGGATGGTCAGGTCGTTTCGTGAGCGATTCGTTATGTTCGATCGCAGCCTTTTGTAAAACTGGTCTTTATCGTCGTCACTGTTATCATTGGTGGCTGCATAACATTGAATAACATTCATTGTGATTCCTTTTGTTTTAAGGTATGCTTATTTGGACAGCATCAGAGCAACTCCCTGAGTGTGCTGAGCATCTTATTCGTGACTCGGATACAACAACATCCCTCCTGAATCTCTTTTCCTGTCCTGCTTGGGTCCAAGGAGTTTCACCCATTCCGAGCACTGCCAACTTGTATCTCATCATTTCCACAGCTATTAGACTAATCCAATCGGTCTCCCACATTGTCCGAACAGTCCATGTATCCATATTATTTATTGCTCTGGTTATTTGAAAAGTTATTGGCTTCCTGACTTTCAAAGAATCTCAGCTTTCATTATGATGCGTCATAATTCTTTCTTCAGCTCGGAGGGCAGAGTTTAAATGAATTAATTAGTTTATACTGGTTAGCGTTATTTTTAGCAAGGTTGTTTTCTACGGTATGGGGATGCTTTCCCCACACTCAATCCTCCCTCATGTGGGCTTGGGACCTGCAGTAACCCTGGAAGTGCTACAGGCGTTGTTTAAGAGTGACCGCTTGCTTCGATTCGGGTTCCTGGTCAGTATCCTAGCCCATACACAACTGCGAAGATGATTGTCAAAGAAAAAAACGCTTCTGCTCGCTGTCGCTATCTACGTAAATGACTGTTATAATTACTTGGTTGCATGCAAACTCGTTTTACTCTTTTTATGTATATTTATTGTCATCCCCATTGTTTATACTTTTATTTCCCAACTACACTATCTATACGATCTTAGGCCACTGATCAGTCAAATGTTGGATGCTACCACTGGACGCGGTTTCTGAAATGTTCTGAGACCATGCGTGTCATCTAAACTTGTCTTCTTCAACATTCGCACGCTATTGCAGATCAGAAAAAAGATAGGTTTGGCTGTTTCTTTAGAAAGTCTTAACATCGATGTTTGTTGTCTATCTGAAACATGTATTAAAAACTAGTAAGATGCTACACATTCGCTCTTCATCTGTCGAGTCGAGAAGCTTGTTTTATGTGTGTTTAACCGGGGATTCTGCAGCTACTTTGTCCGGTTTTGTCACACTAAGCTCCAGAACCAAGATAGCACCAACTGATCAGATCCTTATTAAAAGTCGATTATGTGCCGTTAGATTTAAAAGTTCCCTCAAAGTGAGTAGAAATCGGTATAGGGAACAAAATATTTGCATTATCGCTTATTTCCTTCAGACAAATTGCAGTCCTGATGCGATCAGGAATGAAACCGTACCACCAGTTAGACGATCTTCCTAAGAAGGCGCGTTTGACAGATATTATGCTGTTGACCAGAGGTAGGTATATCGAGCGTCTAAGCACAGAGCCGTTTGAGTGAGCAGTGGGGACTTGTTGTTCACCTTAAGATGCAGGGCGAAGTAGCTGTAATCTAACCTATGGGCGAAAATCCATTTCTATGCAGCACCAATTCTCGGCATAGTTATCGCCAATGTTTTACTTGGAGCTTTCTCTCCACGACTCAGGCCCGAACTCAGATTAGTCACACATCAGCTACTGATGGCGTGGTTGTGCACAAGACAGTCGCTCTTTTTAAAGAATTGATCTGGACTATGATCATACCATCATGTATGCTAATCTAACGTTTCAGTAGCCAAAATGTTCATCGTCGTGAACAGATTGATTTAAGCAAATAGACCAGCTTTTGTTGCTATCAAATATTGAGCCGAGCTAGGTTCAAAGCTAGCTGCCAACCCATCAAAAATTTCAGATAATGACTGAGTTGGCATGATGCCATGAAAATTGCAAGTAAAGTTGATTGCACCTTTGTGGGATTTCTACAGGCTCCTTAAGGTACGTCGGTCTACTCTGGTAACCACGAGTCTGGGGAGAAACCTAAGTCCTTACGCAATGAAATTATCCAGAGTTTGCTTACGAACCGAAAACTCTGGTGGTGGGAGCGCGCCGAGTTGGAAGCAGCAGCTAAATCTAGTAATTGTCAGGATCTCTTTCAACTCATCGGAGCCACTGGAAGCAAGAATTTTGATATAAGATAACAATCTATAAAGGTGATAGGATTCCAACAGATAACATCTACTAACGTCTCGGACGATGGGCATGGTTCTTCGAGAGAGAGTTCGGCCGATCTGCTGCCCTGGTGTCATCAATCAAACTATTCTGTCCTCCATGACCGATCCAACTGACTAAGGCGAAGCCCTCAAGCAACTCCAACTCATGGAGTGCGATAAATCATCAGACTCAAACGACTTACCGTTGACTCTTTTTAAATATAACGGAGAACTTCCGGTCGAGGGAATTGGCTGAGTTGTTTGCAAAAGTTTAGAAATTAGAGTATCCATACATCTCAGAGTGAGATGAGTCATCCTTATCTGTAATAAGAGTTTGCGTCATCAACCCAAAAACTATCGAAGTATTAGCCTTATTCTGACTGAGAGCGAACTATTATTCAAAACCTATAAATGATCGACTCACGTGGAGCATACAGGTATTTGTTTTGGTTTGGGATGTGTTGATCACATCGTCACCCTCCTCCATATATTAGAACACCGCCATACTTATCTCAGGTGAGCAGTCTTCGTGTTCTGTGATATCAAGGCCTTCTTCACTTGGTTGGACAGGACTGTTTTCCGGGGGTGTCTGTTGAAGAAATATGTGGCTGAACAGTTTGTTAACATCTTAAACGCCCTATCTACAAACAGTCCAAGCAAAGTGAGGACATACAAAACCACCTTTCCTCACTGCTCCATTTAAGTAGCGGGTTAGGTACGGCTGCCCAACTTCACCACTCCTCTCCAACTTTGCCATCATTGGTGTTCTAAAAACGGCTTTGATGAAAGTAGGTATTGGTGGCATGGATCTGTAAACTGAGAAAGAATTTTCGATCTTGAGTATGGGGATGATATTGAACTAATTAAACCATGTAATCTTCACTTCAGCAACGTCCATAGGTATGACTTATGCTTTACACCTTTTAAGTGCTAAGTACTTTTGCAAGAGTGACAGGGGCGTGTGCTTTCACTCACTCTTGGTAGTAAGGAGTATTAACCAGAAAATTAGTGTATTTGGGTAGCTCCGTAAGTGCTGGCGGCGGCATGACTGATGAGACCAACTTACGTTTAGTGAAAGCCAGAATAGCCTATGTCCGTGTACGCCATTGTTGAAGCCTTAATGGTATTAGTCCGACTGTGAAAAGTTGTGTCGTTCAGAGTAGTTTCTCTCTATGCTTGTAAAACCTAACCTCCGAGTTGTGAATGTTAGACAGCTCTCTGTGTTTGTCTTCTCAGGATTGCTGAAAGTCTATAGCAGCGCCACGTTAGTAATGCAGAGGTTCGGCCACGTGTGTTCGGGGACAATGATGGTAATCCAAACGGTATTACCATCTTGAAAGATCAACTTTAGTGGCTTGGACCTACGCCACGAATGTTGTCCCGGCAAATTATACCTCATTCATTGTTTGCAAACTCTAGAACTGGTTGGGAAAAGCGGATAGTCAATTTATGACATGGTGCCTCGGCATGAAAAAAAGCTGTTCAAGACTGGAATCTTTTGGTCTTCCATGGCTTCCTGGTCGGATTCCTAGATATAATGCAATATAGTGGTTTGAGACGTTATTAAACAGCTCAGAATAAGAATCTGTGATAACTCTGTTATAGTTTTGTTTTAATTTTTCCATAAAAGTGGGAGGAACTTCTTAAAGTGAAAGAATCCTTCCTGACTATATTTTTTCAACTGAACTAGTTGTCCATCTACTGTCTACTACTCTTAATCCCTTATTTTTATTCATTTTTTGCTTTTAGGAAAACTATCACCTTTCCTATATCCTTTCGTAGTCTCATTTACGTATTGTATGGCGTATGTTTATTTTGGTGCTCCTTTGTGCCAATATCTTTATTTTTAAATATTACATAATAATAATAATTAAGACGATCTACTGATTATTTTAGATGTTCCCTACCTGTAAACTTTCTAATCACGGTTTATATATCTAGTTTTTGCATTATCATATGTACTGATTCCGTAGGTACAAATGTACATTAGATAGTACAAAAAGAATACCAGAAAACTAGTCGAGAAATCATATTTTACAGAATTATTTTGTAATAACATCCTAGAGAGGTTAGTTAGTTGGAAATATAAATTAACAGGATTTTGAACTAAACCACGATAGTCATGTTATGCATAATGTTTTTTCAAAGATGTTTTCGTTTATTACTGTATTAAAAAGTTTACTGCTCAATTTTATTCCAATCTTTTAGCTTGGTATGGAAATATACCCGGGCGAATCTGTCAAATTAGACCCCGAAACATGGAACTTAGTAGCACTAAGTAATGGACGTTTTACTATTAGTACAGAGGAGCTTTCACCGTTTCCTAACAGCCCTTTGTATGGTAAAGTGAAGGACGGCGAAGTAATTTATAAACCATTTGTTCATGTTATCGGTGATCCAATCGAACCAGTATATAAACTCAAGCGCATTTTGTAACTAGTGATAATTATAGCTATTATACTCAACAAATTGCTTTCTAACTTTTTCTGAAGTTATTCACCTCGCTAAATCTTTATTATGTAACGTCACATTTGTTTATCGTCAGTTTTATTTGTGCAATAGGGATTTTATAACACAACGAAGTTCCGGAAAAAGTTTTGAGAACCACATTAAGACTATTAATTTAGAATATTAGGGAGATAGAGTTCTCGTTTTCATATTTCCATCAAGGATATCTTTTATTGTTAGACGAATTGGAAAAACGCATTTTACATGCTTCATTTGTATATGCATATTGTGTGACATTTTGATGGACTTCTGAGTGGCAATATTCAGTGTATTCTTTATCATTATCATCCAGTCTAAATTAAGATGCCTTTTTCCGAAGCTTACCTTCGGTCAATGGTTAGATAAGATTATTGAATTTCGAACACCAAAGATGAACTGATTGTAATGCAGATAATTTATAAGTGCAGTGAACAATGATCGAGAAAATTAGAGGTATCTAAACACACGGTTTCTGACTCTGATAAGTAGTAATTTCTCCGGTAGAAATGGATACTTGAATTAATGAAGTTGGTTTTCATCATTCATTAATCATTCATTGTCTTTAATAGGTTTAAAAGACTGTCTATCACTACTTATTTCCCCGTTCATATTGCTTTCTTAATGACTCGCAATCATCACTTAAGCCTTCGGGATTTTTATTAGTCTTTACTATTATTTTTACAACAAGCTGGAGATAATGCTAAGTTCCCTTAAAATAGGCACTTTCACCGATCCCATAGATAATCGTTCCCTGAATATTTCATTGACATCATCTCGACTAATTTCCAAAGGGTTCTCCAGCTGTATGTTTCCTATAGATAATGGCTTTCAACAAAAAGTTTGGTTCTAGCTGCAGCCAGCAGGCGTCCAAGTAGCAACAACAAACAGGAAACCATAGATTTTTTTTATCTGTCCCAGTTTTCTAATTATATGGAGGATTTATTTACTGCGTATATACCAGCGATCAAAAAGTCCGAAACACAACCCTTATGAGTCCATTAAATCGTTGAGTTAAATTCAAATGAACCAGTATACTTAGACCATGGATTGAATTTTTAGAAATTGACCAAAAAGTTCTATGGTTTTCGCTAATGAACCATGTTTCTCTGTTGATTATAGACATTGAAAACTTCAATATGTGGTTTCGAGCGCGGTTGTACCTCGTGTGACCATGTGGCCAAACAGTCTCACTTCCAAAGACCGCGCTGTTCTATAAATTGGGACACAAAGATTTCTTAAGACGTCTTAATAACAGGCACCACAATCGTTTCAGATTTACACGAAGTGAACATTAATTAGTGGTTAGCTCGTCAACCAAAAGCTTTTCAGTATATTAGTATATAAGCCTGTTTACAGATATTAGGTTTTCTTCATTCGCATGGTAAGGTCACTATCATTCCCAACAATCCATGTTTCACAAATTTTGTTTTCAAGAAAACGAATAAAATTCTCCAACGATTTCAAACTTTCGGAGAAAACAAGTTTCTATTTTTCGAAAAAACCGTACTCTACATAACGAAACTAATGTAATAAGTTTGTATTTTTCGTATTGACGTTTAGATAGTGTAAGAGCAGAATCTCTTCCACCATAAATGAAATAGAACTAATTTCATGAAATACTATGTTTGGGTTTTTGACGATATTGTATGAACAGTTTTTAACATAAATGAACATAAGTGAACATAAAAAATTCGCATAATTTAATACGGTAAGTGGATTATACAACAGTGTTAAAATATCCGGTAACTTCCAAAATTATTGTCTACCAGATAATATAATCAACAACAAAGTCCAAAAATATCTTTATTTCATTTAACTGCCTAGTATTTCAAAACGTGACTCTTTATTGTGATAAATCTATAAAGGAATGTTATATGAATGGAATTATTACAATTTAGTAGATTAATCAGTATAAGGTAGTGAATTAAATTTGATGAAGTCTTGAATATATTTTTGCTTGATAACTGGAAAGAGGGTTATTAGCGTAAACTCGCCCTGGGAATCTGATAAATTATACTGGAACCGATATGGCTGTGAAGTGAAAATTAATCAAGAAATGAAAGCAGATGTTTTTTGAAATGTTCATTTCGATATATATGTATGTATTGATAGAGCTTTCAAATAAAACGAGAAAACTCACTGACAAAGGGCGACGCACGGTCTATCCTACTTTGGATAGCTTTTATAAATGATGGATGAAAATTTTGCCCATGTGCTGACGAGAGGAGAGATTGAATTCAGCCTAGGAAAGCGTATCGATTTAACCTATTTGGAACTTGATGAGTAGAAAATTAACAAAACCTTTGTGTTCATGAGAATGTGGTGAAGAAATATCCATAAAGCTATTGGAGATGCTTAAACTAACACCCAATTCTGAATGGGCTTTGATAAGTGGTAAATGGATGATTATTGAGAAGTCGTTATAGGATTAAGCGAAACATTTTAGCGATGCTTATATAGCTTTGTTGGTAAATTCAACTTCGGAAAAAGTAGTTTTAATAATTAACGATACTGCCTTTGGATTGATTATTTTAGCATTTACCTTCATGAAAATACATACTAATACTAAAAGGTTAAAGTCAAGACAACAGTCATTTTATGGCTACTATTCATCTATCCTTTTCAGAGTGTTCTCTGGATATCGTTGATCAGATTAGTAATCCGAGTAAATACATGTTTGTTTTTATATGCTTTCCTTGACGATATTGGAGTTCAGTTAGAGTCTCCCAGAGGTATAAACTTATTTTGGAGTCCTAGAACAGTTCACTAATTCGTAGTGTTATTAAAGTTGAATCACCTTGATTATTAAGCACTATCCTAGGAACTGGTTCCAACTAGTACTCAATTTCATTCAACTGAACGATACTACTGTTTTAAGCATTATTGGTGAAACCAAACGGAACTTGTTTCAGTTTTTATAAATCTTGGTAATTACTGTATACACCGATTGAGAACAGTTTAACTTGAATATAAGATACTTGAGAATAGAAATAGTCAATAGTTCGTAAAAATATCAATCTGAAGTAATTTGGTTATTTGGAAATGCAATTATTTCGTGGCTTTTTTTCCTAATTTAAGATTAAAGTTGCAGTTAATGTTGTATCACTGAGTAGAAGTACAGCAACATAACTAATTTAAACTGTAACCAACTTAATGAGCTTTCCATATTCATCAGTGTTCAGTAACTTACAGAATTACATCGGTTAGCAACCTAAATTCCTAGTGTTATGATTCTGATTCCGTGTCAACGCACATCACTGGTCATCTAAAAGGGAACACTTCGGAAAGATTTAGCTTTGTTTCTTACCTTATTATCGACCATCATATTGTTTGATGTAAGGTTCATTTTTTTCACTTGAGAATTGTCATCATTATTAATAAACATATCGGATGTTTACACTTTTTCTAACACAAACTCAGACGGTCAGTTCTCTTTTTTACAGTTACGGGACTAAAAATATCAATCGAAAAAGGAGGTTGGCGTAACTCAGTAGCTGAAAATACACTGTTCTAATTTTCGAACCAGCGTGTTGGATTTAGTTGCACTAAAGTAATTTATTGTTCTGATAAAACTATATAACGATTACTAAACAGCACGAAAACTCACTACCCACCAGTTTCGTATTGCATATGGGTTTTCGTAATTCAGAATGCGACCATTGGCTCAAAGATTTCATATGACTATTCTCTCAAGACAAAATGCGTAATTACAAATTATCTTAGGGTAGTTTACTTTTAATAAATTGATGGGTCCTTTCTTAGTATAAAACATCTGTAATATAATTTATCCTAAATAAGCTGTTCAGTTTAAGGAATGTGTCGTTTATTTTCATCCATTTAAAAGTACGTACATTTGGTCAGTCAATTGAAATGTTTGTTTGGTGTTTTTCCTGACTACTTTGCTAGACACTTACATCAATATTGTCTTGAACAGCTGGAAGAGTACCTGTTCTAAACAACTGGGTTATACTGAATGTTTATTTTTCACACTGGTGTTCGAAACAAACACCAACTTCTGTTTTATCAGTATGATGAGTGATTATAATCGCGTAAAATTTTTGTCACCTAGAGTCGCTGACATTTAACAAAACTGTGTTTTATTTTGATCGGTACCTTGTTACCTAGTGAGTGAATATAGTATCAGTCCAAAATTATCATCCCTAATAGTGAGTCCCAGTAAACTAATAAACTAGCTTAGTGCATGTTCAAATTTATCAGAAAAAATGATTATGTTACTTCGTAGGTACTCTAGACCAATTTTAAAAACGATTTATGGAAATTTGACAATTTTCGATAAATACTGTCTCTGTAGCACTCGATGGTAAAATTATACTATACCGAAGACCTTTAGCGGATTAATGGATTGTGTTGATACTAGCTAATCAATAACAGTCCATGAGAATACAGCTTTCATGTGAGAGCTCTAAAATATAGAAAAATGATAGAAATACAGAGGATTAGGTATTCTGAAAACAATAACTTATTAGTGCCAAACATTGATAATTAAGGCAGGATAAATCTTAATTCTTAGCTCTACATCATTCAAAGCCTAACTCTTAATCCTAAAACCCCTCATCCCTACCTGCTAACCCTGAAACTCCTAAATCCCATATCCTAACCCTAAAACCCCTCGACTTTGGCTCCTAGCCTTAAAACACCTTAACCCTAGATCCTAACGGCAAAACTCCTAACCAAAATACACTGAACTTAATGGTTCATTCTACAATGAATACATTATCCGATCCTTTTGAAATATGAAATATAATGAAAGTCATGAGTTTTAGCAACAAGCTATCAGGAACTCAGTTTTAAATTTGTGCATCGGTTCGCCTAGTTTTGATTAGTTAATCAAGGACGTCGTTATAGCACAGTATTATTAGTTTCATTATTGGCTTGCTGCTTCTCACCGTTTATCATATAAAATAATACGAAGCAATGAAGGGTCATTGATCTCGACAGTTGTACTTTTAAAACCTAGTCAAAAGACTTTTCCAACCAAAAATTGTATCAAATAAAAATAAGGGCATCATCAGTAGACTAACATAAGTCCCCAAATAAGGTCACTTATATTACAGAAACTAGAGTTAAGCTTTGCTATGGTGGATGAACCATATCTTGTGACCTCTGTCCAATATCATGTGACAAATCTCCAGTCAGAATCCTGATTCTTAATCAGCCTATTTCGCGTTCACTATTTACTCTATGACTTAGTGTCACTAATAAGCACATAACTAATACTACTAACCGTAAGCCAACAGCTAGTTCCTGTTGGTCCACGATTCTCCAACTTTTCTCAACCTTGCCCTTGAGTCCGGAAGTCTGAAGCCATCCTCTACTATATTGTATTTAAAACAGACGTAGTTTATATACAGGGGGACAAGACCACATCACACCATGAAATGAAAAATAACAGTTGCTGTGAGTATTGGAGACTGTAATTAATTGACTGGTAACAAATTAAATATAGTAGTAGTTAATAGGCTAATCGAAAGCTTATGATAAAGGGAATACGTATAAATAGTAACCTAGTTAATGAGTAATTACACTATAAAGTTCTAATTAGTAATTATTTGGAAAAAGTCGGTCACAACTTTGGCAATATTTGTTCCGTTATAACAGGACCATTTTCGAACTAACGTTTAAGTAATCATTTCTAAATGAAAGTTGTAATTACAGTAATAACAAAAGACCTTAACATTTAAATGTGAGTGATATGATGTACACTTTCTAGTTATCACAATTTTATTAAGCAAAGTTTAATCATTTAGTCATTTTCTGGAGATCAGAATATCTTATTTTGATAGATGTTGCAATATCAAATAATCGATTATGTTTCTTCTCATTTTGTTCAAACATAGGACTACAATAAATCCCCTTTATTTAACAAACCATAACTGACGGAAGAAAACAAATTAGAGTTTCTTGAGTATACTTCCATGTGACGATATTTATTTTACCTTATCATCGAGTTACGTTCAATTTTTATATGATATCACCATTTTGTGTACTTCATCTTTTTCTATCCTAGAAGTACCATGGTTCGTTTTTTGAAAATGATACGTTGAATTCCATAGCTCTAGCATAATGTTGTTTTATAGCCATTAGTTAAAATCGTATGGTGGATGACTTTTTATGTTTTTGTAACTTTGTCAGTAGAATAATGTGTCATCTGATACGGCTGAAATGTTAATGTCATTTTCAGATCTTATTTATAACACTCACAAAATACTATATCATTTAGGAAACATGAGTACCTTTCACGTTTTATTCAAACAAATCTGAAACCACAGACCACTGGATACATATTGAAAAGTTTAACCGAATGATTTCAATTTTTTGTACATGAATTAATTTTCATACAAAACATAAGGGAAGCTGACAGTAATAAACAGCTGGTTGTTATGCATTGTGACTTAAGTAAAATGGGAAATATTGTCTTTTGCAGTAACTCAAGAACAACATCACTATGATTCATGAAAATAAACACATTCAACCTAATACTGAGTATTTGCACACTATAAGAATAAACACAAATTATTAGTTCTTTGCGATTGCCGGTGTTTCCTCAGCCTTGTCGGTATGCACCTGAAAACGGTATGTAAACTAAATAATATCCTACAAATCATGAGGTTGTAAAACAATCCTAGTTTATTTAAAAATTCTTTCTGGAAAAGATTTAAACAAGCCTCTACAAAATGACCCATTTAAATTATAGGGAATATGATAGATGATGAAAAGTGTATCTCACAGCGTTCTTCACATGACTATATCTGTTACTTTTAAAAAAATGTTCACATAGTTCACTTATTTTATTATTATAATCGGCATTTTCTAAGTATAGATACACAAGTATCCCCGTTTTAAGCACAATGACACAAGTGTTTTTCTCTTTTTTTTTCTTTTTAGACATTTATAATTGTAAGTATGACAATTATTGTTATTAAATGTCCAATAATAAGAATATTTGTACTTTATTGGTTCTCATCTTAAAAAAATAAGAAGAAAACATACGACTAATCTTTTTCATTTGTAACAGATACAATATGAAGAAACATTAAACTTTGAAACTGTTGGTTCATTGAATTTCGAAATCGATATTTCACAATTTCGTATTAGAATAAAACGAAAATTTCTTCAATATCACTTTGAGTGAAGGTAAAAAAAGAGGTAAGTTTTTATAATTGACATACTCTCATTAGAATATATGTAATCTGTAATAGTTAAGTTGATTAAGACGTTTTATGCGATAGAAACTGATTTTTAACTAATTCTTATTATATTTTAAACAATATGTACATCATCATTCAAAACTGAAAATATTGTAACATTCTATTAGTATTGCTTGTTTGAAACTTCCCATTGATGTTTAGGAATGCAATTGATCAGTCTCTTATTGGCATATGTGCATACTATGCGTATTGCATCAATATAGCTTTAATTGACAAACATCGTAAGCAAAGATGGATAGTGGTTAGCAGTGGAATGGAGGAGTCGCGTTTCGTCTTGTTTTGGACTCGTCAGCTGGATGGTGTTTGAAGCGAAAGGTACTGGGTTCGAGTCCCAGAGTGAACACCAACTCTGAGATGCAGGTACATCCAGCTGACGAGTCCAAAATGGGACGAAACGCGCGTCCTGGATTTCACTGCTAGCCACTATTCATCTTTGTTTACAATATAATATTCTTTTTGGTTCATTTTCGAAGTAATTTACTCAGATGCATTGTGTTAGCATAGGTAACTTGATTATTTTAATAGACTATGCATTGTGCCTTGAAACAAACTTGGTCGTTCATATTGAAAACGTCTTTATTGTGGTGTTAACCAGCTATTTTTGTGAAGTTTAATATATATAATTAAATGGTTATTTCATATTTTTAATTATTTAATTAATGATAAGGTATACAGTGAAATGTTCAGTTTATTATTGCTGGTAATTGAGTAGTGATGACTATAACATTGATTCATTACTACAAAGACACTTCCACTACATCCCGGTTGATAAAAACTTGTCCAACGGGAAATCATGGAATTTAATCTCATTAGCTAATGAAGAAAATAATTCATAACTAAAAGGTATCATAGTTTAAAGCCATTGAATAAATAAATAAAACTATATAGCTGAATAAAGGATCACAATTTATTTTACTGAAACCTCAATGTTAGCTGACTTTGGTGAAAACAATAGACATTTATGGATTATTGATAGAGTGACTTAACTTTGGGCACGCACTAAAAAAATTTAGTTTTCCTAGTTTCCATCAGCAATGAACTTAATTCATTTACTGTGCTTCGTCTGTCTCATCCTTCGTGACTGAAAGAGTTTACACAAATGTTCATAACTTGTTTAATAGATTAACAACTCTCTTTGATCTACTTGCTTTTAAGTTATTGACTCGTTTTGTTAATAGTTTTCGGATCTATGGTCCCATCGTAACTTTACATCAACTACAAGTTAATTCTGACTTCAAAATTTATCTGATGCACAACAAAGAAAATTACAAATAGTGGTGTATTTGAGAATAGAACTTAATAAGCAACTTGTTCCTATAGTCAATGTAAAAAAAAGGTTGAAGTAGTCTGTATCACGTATAACATTTGTAGGTATTAGAAAATATGTTTAAATTACTTATAATTAATTTACATACATCAACAATATCACTTATGATCCTATACTTTAATAATAAAATCTTGATATTGTTTACAATAATAAAGTGAAGACAATTTATATACGGATGCCTTATTCAAACGCCGCTGTACAGCCGATATTGTCAGTTTTTTTATTTGACTGTTCACAAATGCGTAAGAAAACTTTGCATCTTCTGTGTACGTTAACTTATTAACCTTGGTCAATGAGATACAAGCGTGTTAACGATATTGTATCACACTGTAGGTGCTAGCGAATTTGACGTGGACATGTTTTAGATTGTTCTGTCGACTTGCAAAATGCAAACATTTAGCTTTCAATCATTCATTTACATTTTGCAATGTGTTCTGCCATCCAGCAAATTCTAAACTGGCTTCTCTTTTGGTCTCTAAGTTTTCTACCTTCGTCATGCTTCTTGATATACTGAAACTCATCTCCACATATGTCGACTGTAACAACTTCTACGACACTTCTCAACATATACTACTCAAAAGTAATCTTTTTAGTAGTACTCATCACATTAAGACAGTAGATGCATAGAGGTAATCAGATTAATAATTTATTCCCCTCAACGAATTTATGGATCACACAACGCATTTTTAGTAAGAAATCATATTCAATATGATCTTAGCTAAAAGTACAACCAAAACTGTTTAAACTCACGGACAAGAATATTATAAATCTGCTTATTATAATCAAGTTTTGATTCTCTTGTAATTAACTTCAGTAGTGTGTGCTTTACGTGTTGTACAGCCTGAAAACAGTGCTATTTATTGACTAAAGGGTAGATAGTTAAAGACCTATATGTTATGTATACTTATATTTATGGATGGTCATTCTACTATTGCATTTAATAAATTCAATTGTCAATATTGTATCCCTCTCTTAAGCCAGTGATGTCTATTTATATGCTTTCGATGCAACTGTAACCCTTTGTATGGATTTTCTATCATGTTATCTGAGAAATCTATCGGTTAGTATTCTATGAATATTTCAATGTTGAGGTGTGAAGAACTACTGTGACTGAGCACCTGTTTGTTCCTGAAAGTAGTTTGGAAATTCCTACTATAATAACTTGGTTAATCGACAAAAGGTAGATGTTACCAATATCCTCAAGAGAAGAACTTCATAATAGTTCGATATCTAACTCAATCTCTGAGATGTTGAAATCTTTACAGTAACTTAATAAGAACCCTGTCCTTTCGACATTAATAATAACAATAATAGTAATAAGTCATTTTCCGACAATTAAAAAAAACTTGTTTGTTTCTGTAGTCGACCGAATAATTATAGTTCATTCAACGTGCTTATGATATTATTTAAAGTAAACTATTAAACGTAAAGGATTAGTTTCATAACTTATCATTTGTAGTACGTATCTTATTTCTTGGAATACTTATTGATGAAGGCGACAGGATAATTATATGGTTGTGATATCCCAATGAATAGAAATTAGAATTTCCTGGCATAGTGTAGCCCATTTCTCCAAAGTAAATAAACGGTTCACCTTAAATTAAAAGCACTAAAAAAACCAAATGTTTGCATGTTGATACACTATTATACAGATTATCAAAATCATGCTTATTCTGCCGAAGTTATTTAAAAGGACATACTAATCAACAATCTTGAACAACTGTAGAATTCAATATTATTTAAAATTAAGAAGCTGGGCATCAAAATACCATTGGCTGAGTTTTCTAGTCATTCATTATTCATTTTTTTTCCAACGGATGGGTTTTATTTGGTTACTTATAATTAAGTCACCATACCCTAATTATAACCTGAAATAAATTATGAAGATACCGTAGAAACATTATGTTTACAGTGAATTTTGTTGTTTAGTTCTATTTGGCCACAATTACATTCAACTAGAAAAATAATGAATAATTTATTTTCTGAAAACCATAGAATTGTTTCAAATAAACGATCACCTTTGAATCGTTAAACTTAATATCCCCTCTGTTTCAAATAGATATTGTCTACTTTGTATACAGGTAATTATATGACCATTCTAGATAGCTTTTCTTAGTGAAAATTCCAATAACAACAGTTTTGTTCATTTGAAGGCACCAGATGCCTGTTTAACTCGTTAACTATTAACGTAAAACTGATTTTGTGTTAATTACTTTAGTTATGATGCATTTATCAGATAATCATGATTAAATCCACATTGGTAGTTTAAAGCGCTATTATACTCATGGAATTATGCTTGATCGAACCCTGGCGAAGATATGTATAGCATATATGTAGCCTCATAGGAATTCTTACATATAATTTGTAATATTGACTTTTCAATATCTACTTGAACGTAATACACATCATAAAGCTTACTGTATATCTCTGTAAAGACGAAATCCAAAAATAGTCTTTATTAGTAAGTCATAACGTAAGAATATCTTAAATGAACACAATATAGTAGAGGAAATTTAAACAATAACATAATTTAAACGCATTATATCAGAATAACTGTAAAGTAAGAAGAGTGATTGCAAATTTTCTAACATGATATTACTGTTGTAGAAAAATGTATTTATCGTTCCTCTTTTAAATGTAGACAACAAACAAGTGAAAAATTAATCAGCTTTCAAAATCGTTACGGAAATGAATAGTAAAAATAATTCACCATCAACATTACTTCCTTTAACTGAACATCTGAATCTACATAATGGTAACTATGACAGTGAAGTCGAAGATGTACTCAAAATATGGGTAAACTAAAACTAAAATGAATTTCTTTTTCTTTTTTGTTCTTTAAATTTTTATAAAATATGTTTGATGAAAAATCATTGGGGATTAAGTACCAGTAGGTGGGTTTTCATTTTAAAGCTGAATTACTTCATAATAAGGAAACTTTTATACAGATACATATGTGATTGGTAATCTGTAGTATTCTAATGGATTTAGAATTTCGATCGTATAATACAGTTACGTTTTTCATGTCCAACATTAAATTACGGATTCGTCCCACTGAGTTTATTGATCTCACATAAGAGATTTGAACTTGAAATTCTTTAAAGCGGAAGTTTTTTGATTATCCTAGTGAATAAGCTACCAAATGAGACAAAAATCACCGGGTAGTTATTTACTAGATAAACCAAACTCCCTAAGTAGCACTTTCTCAATTTTGACCATTTTGTCTAAAGTCACAATGTTCTTGGCTTTTGTGATATCCCCCGGTGAATTACGAATGTTAACTTTTAGGTCTATTTATCGACCAATGTATTATGCCTATTTCGTATTGTACAATTGTTACGTAACTAAACTATTCATATTCGTGTTTCTCTTATCATGAGCTTTATTTTGATCTTTGATTTATTATCATACGATTCTTGAGTTATACTCAGTTATTGATTACTTTGGTTTGTATAAAAACCCAGTATGTTTGTAAATAATGATTCATACCACTGAGGCTGTTATTGGTGTTTTGGACTTAACTGGCTGGGCTAGGCAGATCGCAGGACCGGTTAGCACTCTATTTTGCTCGTACGGCTTCGTGTCGCTGATCCAATCGACGATTCGCTAATCCCTGTTAGACGGTCTTATCGCGTCACACATTAGCAAGTCATCCACTCGGCCACAAGCATAACAGCTTTAGAACAAACAACTAGAGCGACAAATATATATATATATATATATATATATATATTGTTTGTTGTTTTTGATAAAAGAGCTATCGAATATTTTCGGTGAAAAAACCAGAGAAAAGTTCTTTTTGAACCGTATGTGTGTATTACAAATATATCATTAAAACAAATAATCCTAGAGATTAGATGTAATCGTAGCAAGTAACCTTAAAGCATGGAAATAGGTTTCCTGAAATTTCTATTCCATTTTGAGCACCGTGTTTCTTCAAATCAATTGTTTTGGTTAAAAGTATGGTTTTTACCTACCAGCTAAGTAAAAGATTTATCATAATTTTTTCCAGAAATTTCTAATTCAATGCACAGAAAACAGTTGTTGAATAATTAATTCTGCACTTAGTATTTAAGCAGAGCATTTTCAACTGTGCTGAGACCCTTTTATTCATCAAGAGGAAATAAGTAATCATTACCTAGTCGGGACTAACGCAATGAAGCATACGATTATAGTTAAGTATTAAATCAGGTTTTAGCTTTCAGTAACCAAATTAAGTACTTATCCAAAGGAAATATGATTTTCATTGCCAGATTATGAGTACTTCAACTTCTACATGCGCTAAGTGAATTCAAAATTTTTCTCGCTTTAAACCCTACTAAGTACAAAGGTTGATTATTAAAAACTATTCATTCATGTTCGTCATGAAGTATCTATTAGTTGGAATACTTGATCTCTCTTATAAAGTTATAATACCTTTTTATATAACGAACATATACGTCGCCGAAATTGGTTATTTTCATAGTTGAAATCATGAGCCAATTGAGACTAGACCACCATGGAAAACCTGGAAACACTGGACGGCCGTTTCGTCCTGCTATGGGAATCCTCCCGCGATCGCGAGATTCGAACCCAGGACCTACCAGTCTAAACATTAACACCGTTGGATGCCGGCTCAGTGGTCTGTCGGTTAAGTGCTCCGGCGCGAGACAAGTAGGTCCTCTGTTCGAATCTCTCGAGTGCGGGATCGTGGATGCGCACTGCTGAGGAGTCCCATAATAGGACGAAACGGCCGTCCAGTGATTCCAGGTTTTCCATGGTGGTCTAGCTTCAATCGACTCATGATTTCAACTTTGAAAAATACTGAAATCTCCACAAAACCACTTCTGATCTAGAAATTGGTTATTTTAAAATTATACCTGGGTAGATAAAACAGGGTTAAGTTATTATTTAGAAACAGATGGTTTAAAAATAATATATTCTACCAACCTATTCAAAGATAGATTCACTTGTTATTAAGGGAGTTTTTTAAATAATAAATGTCGCCAGCTCGTATGTGTTATCTACAATCCACTCAGATTTGTTTAAATTAAACCAGATCACGAAATTTGATTGTTTGTATCGGAATAATGATACGATAATTATCGTTAATTATTTTAATTGAATTAAGAATAATTTCTAGATTTAAAACAGTGATTTTTAGATTTATTGGTAAATAATGGTTTAATCGATGCGGGCATGTGGTATCCTAAAAGTGGTCCTCGTAATAACAAATTTTTGGTATTGAATAATGTGAAGACCTAAATATTAACTGGAGTCCATTTGAAATAGTATCGTCATAAAAGTACATTTGTTTTACGTCAATTAATTTAAAGTTTTATTAGAATAAACTTGAAAAATCAGGATATCAGAAGTATGAAGTATGTGAAACTAAGACTAATATTTTCATAGTAGAAAGCGTGAGTCAATTGAAGCTAGACCACCATGGAAAACCTGGAAGACTAATATGTTGAATATGTTTAATTTCACCACTTTGGAATGAGGAAAAATTGTTATAACGTATGCCCTGAGCAGTCTTGGGTGCTATTCGGTCCTTCCTATCTGCCTAGCCCAGCCAGTTAAGTCCAGAACACAAATAACAGCCTCGGCAATATGAATCCAAAAATATGTAGCCCAGTTAAACTATTTATGGCGTTGACTTCTTTAAACTGAACGATTTAGGGGCAAAACTAAGCTGTCTTCAGTTGTTATCTTTGTTACCTTTGTGTGCCTTTTTACTTCCATCGACTATTATGTTAGACTAACCTCTAACCACGAAACTAATAAACCTTGTTCTAAACCGTTGTTTGACTTTATTTTAACATGCATTTAACAGACTGAATTTCTAACCACACTTCTGGAAAGTTTTGAACATTCATAATTTTTTTTTGTTTCCTGGTTTTAACACTTTTTGGGTTGAATATTTGTCCTTAGCTATCTCCGTACATTATCATGATCTCATTCATTTGCAAAATCTGAGATTCTGTTTTCATAAACTACGTGGAGGTCCATTATCTCGATGTATTGTTTCTTACAATTAGTTCAATTCATTGTCTTAAAATGATTGCTAATAGTTATTTCTGACTAAATAGCTTGCAAAATTAATCGTCACTAATAGAATTAACCTTCTTTTTAGAAATTAAATAAACTTTTCTATCTGAACAACCAACTTTTCATTACCAGGACCTCAAATAATAAACATTTTGACTAGGATGGGTGACTTGTATAAATTATGAACTTTGTTTTTCGTACTTTCCATTAATAACATTATCAAAGAAAAGGGTAATCTTTGATTCCATTGGATCATACGAAGGGAATTTTAATCAATAGCAACGATAGAGTTTATTATATTAATAAAAAATGAGTGATATGTAATCTCAAGATACAGTTGATTAGTAAAAATAAATAAGCAATCTCTCATCATTTCATCATGGTAATTGGAGCAAAGCAGGTTTATATGTGTGATAAAAAAGACTACTAGTAGTACTGACAGTGAGTGTGCACCTGAAAAGTAGGTGTAATCTCTACCTTCACACTTTTCAGCTATACATTTCTACTGTATTGAAGTTTTTACCCAGCCTACATATTTAAACTAATGATCGCACTTAGATATTACTTGCAAATTCCTTTTTCTTTGATGTTATGTCACATACGATGTTAGATATAAATTAGAGTACGCATGATTCCATCACCTAAGACTCAGTTGTTCAGTCACTGACTATCCCATAATGTACGCAAAAATCTGACGTGGTGCATTACTACAGCACCGACTATATAAAGTCACTTTTTAACGAACAAAATAAAATATTCTATCTATTAATATGTTATGAGCATAGTTTATATCCAGAATATTTATCTATCCGTAAGTAAACAGAAGTCACCTGAAATTTCACAAAACAGAATAATAAAGTGGAAAATTAGTAAATATCTCCTACATTTGAAATTCGAAACAAAAATGCTAAATACTTTTCTTGTAGACTAGAGTTATAAAAAGTTTTATTTGAACTGGAGTCTATGATGAATTGAAATTAACCACAAATCTACTTTGTGGTGTGAACTACTTATGCGAACAGACATAAGCAGAATGAAGCAGGAATTGGAATGTTTATCAGCAGAAGGTTAAAATAAAGAGAAGAGGAAGGTAAAGAGAGGACAGTTAGAACAACGACGAGATTGGTAGAATGATAGAGTGTGTAAAGGACAACTCAAGGAAGATATACAAATGAAGTAATTAATGTATGATTTTCATATTTTACAAAAGCATTGTTTGATTTTGCATTAAGCAATAAACTGGTTTACCTTACCCGAGCTTTCGCATGTTTTTTACATTTTCAAATTGGCAGGGTGATGTAGCAAAACCTCATTCTTTTAAATAACCAACAAGATCCTAATTCCAGACAACTCTAGACTGTGCGATGAAATGGTTTTCTCAGATGACCTGAGCATCCACTAGGGGTGATGCAAACTCATGGCAAAAGCTAATCTTGTTAAACAAATTTGGAATACTTTTTCACTTTTTACGTTACAAACACCGTGCTTTGACGAAAACTTTATATTTATTATTTCACAGAATTAAACAGAGATTTATGTGAGATGTAATCACCAAACTTACTTCTTTTCAGATACTGCCTACGATCAAACAAAATATTCATGAAGATTTGTTGAGAAATAAGTCCAACAAACAAAGGAAATACTGTGACACTAATAATTACTCTATGTCTGCAAATGTGAATTCAGCTGGAGAGTTGACGCATTCCGAATCAAACCATACACAAATTAATGATGAAAATAAATTGGCCTCAAATTTAAATCACATCATGAAACGATTGTCACGGAAAATGTGCAAAGAGTACCTCCTTCCAGATGAATATACTGAACTGGAATCCGAACTTGAAAAGTCACTGAATATTGCCGAATCATGTTCAAATACAGTTTTGTATGCAAAATTTAAAAGTGACAACCAATCATTAAATCATAAAACAGTGAAGAATTCTTATACAAAGAATAATTATGAAGACCCTAACGTGAGTTGCACTATGATTGACTTTAATACAACGATTCTTGACTTAATTTAGTTTAACCTATGTTTGACTCATTCTGAAATATAATTTAGAATCACTGTATAGTTTGAATTTAATAAAGCATTGGTGACACTATACTTGCCTAACAATATCACATAGAACACCATGTAAAGATGGTAACTGGCTATAGGTTTACAAATGTTTTGAACGATTAAAAAATGTAATTATGGAATCCAGTCGACACTAAGTGTTTAGAGTAACCTACCATTCAAACTTCATGAATGATGAATTTTCATATTTTTATCCACATATTTAACATCACTGAATCATAGTTACTTTAAGATACACGATTTGTTTAAATATCTTTACAGATGTTTGAATGGTGGTTAGAATGATCATGAGCACAAAATGCTTGTTGTCCACTTTCGCTGACTGAATGTGAATTGTGGAATACACTGATTCACTACAAACATCAGTTTTCAGTTCGCACAATTTACTGGCTTATACACGATTCCAGATAATCGAGTCTTTACAAAACTACTATTTTTATTTAGCAGTTTAACAATTTAAATGAATTGATAGTTATCATAGTTAAATTGATCTCTAGTGATATAAGTTGATTCCCTGAGAGCACAGATGTATGTGAGAGAAACATATATTCGCTTTCTACTAAGTTGTTTATCTGACTGCGCTAACGAAGTATGTCTCTTATCTTTATAGAATATCTTAAAGAAATACTTAAGAAAATTAAATCTAACGGGTAGAGCTATCATCATTTACTAGCTCGTAAATTTATTTCATTGATTATCCACAATATAAAATTCATTTAGTTTCTACGTTAATGTAAAATAGCATCAAATAATCAGAATAGTCAGACTATTCAGTGGGTCATACAATTTTCCTAGTTTAACACATGTTGTACAGCATGAACTTATTTATAACTTACAAAATTTAAGGGAGGATTTAAATTTCTCCATCCTTGCCGATTAACTAATGACAAAGTTTGAGAGCCTTGAGCGTTTGTGAGTTTTGTTTGAGTGGCAGATATAACCGATTTTTGTTAGATGACCATTGTTAGAATTTGAGAACATAGTTAACTTAATTAGTTCTCAATATCGTGTCGTTAGGCGAAGATCAATTTTAGTTAGCAAGCGTTTTGTTAACGAATCGGTATTCAATAAGTGAAGTCCAGGAAAGTTATAACTTGTTTATAAAATGCAAGCTAAATATACCTTGAAAACAAGTTTCCGCTTATTAGGTAACTGACCTTACGGCGTCCAAACACTTTACAGTGTCATTTAACATTCTAAAAAGAAGACAAGCTATGAATGATTAAAAAGAGATCAAGAAAATAAGAACGTTAACCTGAAAATCTAATGGTAGGTACAATAAAATTGAGTATATCCAGTCACTCATTTTTTTACGTATACTTTGGAATCGATGACATCACTTCGACGATATGTGAAATATAAAACATTGGATTACCTTCAAGATATTCTTCAAAACCAAACATTGCGTTTTAAAAGACTTGTATATTTTTACAAAGTAGTCATCGTACGCTAAGTTTAATTGTTTTCTCGTGCTGAAGCACTCAAATTAAATGGACAGAGAAAAAAACGCCATTGATTCTGTATGTTGCGAAAAGTGTCTGGTTGAACTTTTAATTTCATATGAACAAAAACTGTGGAATAAAAATCATCATTTGGAAGATTTGAAACTCTTGAAATTGATTAGAAAACAAGGCAATTCATGTATTCAGGCTGTAGAAGCCAGTGATTTCAATCACAAGTAAATAAACATTCTTATTCAAAAGAAGACAATTGTAACCAAATTCATCATCTCAAGGATATGACGAATTTATTCAATAATCTGATAACAGTATTTATTATTCTAGGATTTCACAGTTCTGAATTAAAGTTGACTTTTAATTCATCAAGGTCATCTCAACATTTTGTCTATTTTTCACCATCCACTTACTTACATATCTTCTTATTTGAAACTTTACCGTATTATCCGTGTTATTTTCGTCATTCTGTGTAATAGGAACTTCTTGTTGAATAACATGTAGAAGCTGTATCTTCTGTTTTACTTCTTAGTCAACTGGAATACTTTCTAACCTAGTTATAAATATAACTTACCTACCTACTTTTCAGTAAAATACAATAATTTAGACTCACTTGTCTAAGCCGGTACTTAATCAATAAAAGTTTGAAGCAACTAATGCAAACAGGATCGAATGAATTTAATTTACATGTTTACTGTTTTGTTCATTTACGAAAAACGATCTTTTGAAAATTGAGCAGAAACTCGTTTGTTTGAAGTATACTTCTTAATAAATCGGATGTCATAAATACTCAAAAGTACCAATTTTGCAAATAAAGAAACAATAAGGATATTTAAGTTTAGTTTTACAACTGACCAAATCCATTTTAAAAATGCTTAACGTTTTTTATATTCTTAACTATAAAGTCACAAACGTCAAATTAGTGTGTTGGTTCTACAAATGTTATTAGACAATTATATAAGTGTACATTAGTTGGTACATTTATCAGATACTTATTTCAAATTGAATTGTCACATCGAATAGAACAGGCAACTTTTTCAACATAAGTATATAGACGAAAGAGAGAGAGAGAATAAATAGATTATACTGAGGAATAAAGTAATAAATCGGATACAATATGCTTTCATTCGATTATTTTATGGATGTACTACAGCAGAAGATATTGATAATATCATTATAAGTGTCTCATAGTTTTGCCTAATATGGGATTAAAGTTATCAAAGGATATTTTTATGTTTGGATATTTCTTGGCAATGAGTGGCGATCGAATTCAGGCTAAGGACTAGTAGCTAAGCAAACATAATTTTATACTGTTTATTCTAATAAATTTGCACAAATTAATATCACCATGGCTTAAGCCTTCATTTAAAACTTATGGATACTCAAAAATTTTCGTATTTATTAATAGGATTTTGAAAAATACCAATATAAGGATTTCGGATATGGTATTAGCGAGATAAATGGTGAAAATTTAGAATACATTCTGAATGGTAGACATACAAAATCACCAGCGAAACAAATTTATGGTATGCTTAACTATCTTTCTTATTTCTTTTTTTTGCTTTTATTTACCGTCTTTTGTTGAAAATGTTGCGACATGTTTTCTAAGTCGGTGTTGAATGAAAGATTAGACAAAATTATTTTATATAGTTGAAACCATGAGTCAAGTGAAGCTAGACCACCATGGAAAAACTGGAAGCACTGGACGGCCGTTTCGTCCTATTACGGTACTCCTCAGCAGTACGCACTCACGATCCCGGCTTGTGTAATTGCTCGCGCGCGAGACTTATAGGTCCTGGGTTGGAATCTTGCGAGGCGGGATCGTGGATGCGCACTACTGAAGAGTCCCATAATAGGACGAAACGGTCGTCCAGTGATTCCAGGTTTTCCATTGTGGTCTAGCTTCAATTGACTGACGATTTCAACTATATAAAATTACTAAAATTTGCACAAAACCTCCTTTCTTTAAAAATAAAGGGAAAACAAGTTTGTATTGTATATAGTTAGATGAAAACGCTTCAAACAATTTACCAAAGACACTTTGATTTTGTTTGTCAGAATTTATAAAACAATTATTCAGAACTAGGTTATTATCATGAAATGAATTCGAATTTCTAAATATATACAGGCAATACCTTGATGGTGAGTGACTGAACCGGTTTTAATTTCATGTAAAAGCTATGATATATCAAATAGTGTAACATAAATAGAATCGTTCTTGTGATTACGTAACAATCCGCAGTTTAAAGCTAAGCTTACGATATCTAGTGAAAAATCAGGTACCAAATATAAAAATTCAATTAAAATCTACGTAAAAGGAACTAAATTGTAGTTGAGTAAGAACAGATCAACAAATTAATAGAGGGGGATAATTTGGTCCAGTGGATTTCATACAACCTCATTGTTCTGTTGAAAAAACAGATTATCATCATATTCAATTTTTATGGTTAGTGGTTTTTCTAAGGGATGGGGTCGCTAACCTCATGCCCAACCCTCCTCCTTTATCCGGGCTTGGAACCGGCAGTAGCCCCCAGAGGAGATACAAACGAAGTTGCCATATGTAATCGCTAAACATAAATCACGTTTCTTAGAATTTAGGATATCCGAATCAAATTCGAAAGGCCATTTGGTGGTATCTCATTCAAAAGTATTCAATATATCTGAGTCGTTTTCTTAGTGTAGGAATTAATCAGTTTAACACTTAATTTCTCCTTATTTGACTGATTCATCCTTACCGCAAAATTAAATAAATCTGTAGTAATTTTTAAAAGCATTAAACACTTAAATTTTATGCACATAATTTTAAGTTGACTTTCAAACATCTCTAAAATACACCAATAATGTTGAGTTGGAAGTTCCGTACTGCACTTCAGAAAGTCTCTAAACTGTATACATATGTGTTCGTTGAGATAAAAAATTTCCTTCTAGTGAGGCATATTTGTGTTCGCCATAGATTAATCTGGTTTTGTAATATTATGTCTGTTAAATATATGTTGAATGAAACTTATTTTCTGGTAGAAACCAGGCTGACATTAAGCCTTCAATCTAATGATCCAATGTCGTGTATATAAGTCGTAGTTTCAGTATGCATAACTGAGAACGTTAGAGTAAACTGAATTATATCATCACAAAGAATAATCCAATCCAGTATATCGTTCTTAAGCTTACCACTTAATCTATTATTTTTTACATATCTAAAGGGGAAATGTTTTCATGGTTTATAAAAAATCTTAAAATACTTATGACGACAGAAACGAAAAGTGTTCAGTGATTGGGAAAGTCTACAATCATAATAAACTGTTCTGATTTAGTGATAATGAGTGATGGGGTATCTGATGTATGAAATCTTGGCTCTAATAACTCCTGAACCTATTTAACTGATTCCATAGCTGTCTTACGTAAACTCTTTTTTATAACTTACCCACTGTGTTTTCATATCTCTTATTTAGGATGAACAGAATTTCATCTACAATATCCCACCAGTTTAGTTCAATAAATTGTACTATTTTCGAGAGAAAAAAATTATTTTCTAAGTTTAGCGAAACTATTTAGGAACGATTATTCCATGATATAATTGATGTCCTATTATCGTTCTAATTATTTTATTTAGAGCTTGACAGTTTAGTAGATTGCGAATATAGATAAAATTTAATGGAGTATTATTGAAGGGGAACAATAACGGTAACAAGGAAATGATGCAAGTCCATCGATCCCCTTTTTTCTTATCAATTAATTAAAATATTCTTTTTGGGTACTTTATAAAACGGTGATAATATTTCTTCATTTATTCGTTCACTAATACAATTGTTTGTTTGTTTGTTTTTCTTTCATTACTGCATTATACTGAATAACGATTAAGCCGTTGTGACGAAATAACTAATGTCTTGTTCCCATAATAAATCAAATGCGTTTCCCATATCATCATTGTGTAAATTTTCTATGAAACTATCAAGAATACTTTCGTAATAAGTGAAAATCAGTTTTGTTGCTGGTTATATTCATTGTATAGCTGGTAATGTGGTTAAGGGATTCGATTTTTACAGTAAAAGTCTTGATATCAGTTATTTAAGACTACAATTTATCTTATTTCAAAGAATGTTTCATTTTGATTATCTTGAAATAGCTTTCCTCATTTGTATGCAATTACTTTTTCGGTATTGTGAATGATTAAGCTCTAATAGTGAAAAGGAAGTTAAGATTAATCTGGTCACTTTTTAAACTGTCCATAAGTACTTATTATTTGTAAATGAGGCAAGAAACTCAAAATGCCTATGTATATAGCATATTGTTTCATGGCATATTTTTATCGAAACAAATAAATCGTTTAGGTTTCATTTTGCCAATAAATAACTTCTATCGAACTCTGGAAACCGAATGTCATCTGTTAGTAGATGACAGTGCTGGAATAGTGGGATTTTGCACAAGCTTTTGGGATAACTTCAATTACTTACATTAAAATAGTCACGCCTAGACATTCGTTTTGGATGATTTTATTATAGTTTGACTTCTGATAATGTACTGAGTATACTGAAAAATATATCATCTACATTCTTATTGTTCAATATTGAAAAGTTTCTTTCAATTAAAATAATGTGCCTGAAAAGTTTCAGCATAAGTGTCCTTATATTTTTAATTATAACCAAAGTAAAATACTAACGGGAATTTATCATTAATCCATATTTTAACTTATTTATAACAACTGACTAGTAACTCATCGTTCAAAAATTTTACTGTACCTAGACTCTATACCTTAATGGGGTTTGTGAAAAATCTTTGTAACTTGAATATAGTTTTCATCCTAAGCCACTGGAAAAATAATTGAACAACTGTTTTCTTCTTGATTTAAGACACCACTGAAGTATTCATCCATAGGATACAAACATAGGATCAAACACTGGACTTTAAAGTTTTATACCCAGTACTGAATACCTCGGCCAATGAACCATTTTTTGCATTCTTTAGAGTTATCTACTTTTTGTAATTTGCACAACAGTTGTCCAGTGTCATTGGCACGTAAGTTCTGATTTATTAATATGATTGAATGGTGGTGAATCCATCTAACATATTCATGGTTTGAAAAATAAAGAGATTTCACATCCATCTCGATAATACTTGATCCTATGATAAGATACAAACTTTTCATGCATGAACTACTCAACTGTGGATGGTATATGATATTGATATTGTTTAAAAAATTAAAAGTTAATACGAAAATGTGATTTAGTTGCGAATGTTCTAAAAATTGCTTCATATCTAACCTGATATGGTCTTTTGAAACTAATTTGCTCATTAGAAATGTAGCGGATAAAGCAAGCAATCTTATTATATCTAATTACAAATATTATTAAACAGTTTAAAGATAAATTCAAGAGAAAAGTTTTTAAAACTTAGATTGTGTCTTATAGAAAGTTTGTCCCATTTCTTTCGTTTTTATCTTGTTTTTATATTCTTATCATTTATCTACATTATGTCACTCAAATTAGCAAACTAATTTTGTTCGTTCGTGATTACTTATTATAACTGCGTTTTGAATCACGTTACCATCGCCGATAACTAAGATTTATCGTAAGTCATCTCTCCGATAACATAACCTATTGAAGTTTCCTCGACCATTAAATAAGATTCTTGATAATTGGTTTATTAATGTTTTATTTTGTTGAAACATAATGTGTAAATAGTAAGTGAAGATAATAGCAGCGAAAGGTTGAGGACTGATAGCATTAACCTCTACTAAAAAGAGCCTTACAGATATAGAGAGTCATTTAAATCTACAACTGGATTTAGTATACTTTATAGTAGACCACTAATTTTGTGCTATAAATCTTTGTTGCAAGTCAGCAAGATTAAGATTTAGGTGATGAACACAGAAAACTAGTAAATGTGTTATAAATTATGAAATGACCTAATGAATTCCTCGTTTTAACACTTAATAGTTCCCATTTAAAAGTGACTTGGAAGTAATTCTTTTGCGAATATTATTGTTAATTCTTAATTGTATATTCGGCGTTGGAGACTGTAATAATACTTACTTGTTTCATGAAAATATTACATCAAGTTTTACTGAATTACACTGAACTAACAATAGAAAATCCTTTCATTATCTGGGAAGAGTATAAAGAATGAGGATAACTGTCTGCTTACAATCTACTGCTATATTCAAGAAAAACTTGCTAATTTTAACATGAATTTAATCACTTTGAACTTAGCATCACTGTATGGTTTATCATTTGTGAAATAATTATTTCCTCGATAGGGAGAATGACACACAGTCATCGTTTTTTATGTACATTCCTTTATATTTGAGTTAGTATGAAGCAATATGTGTGAACTAAAAAGAGATTGTTTTCACTCCAGGGGTGCCATTTTTAATCACTTCTTTTACATCTATTAAGTCTATAGGTACATATTCCCACGGATACATTTATCTTTGAATCCTAGTTATTTTATCCACCTCATCTTTTAAATGTTTTGTCACTCTTTGCAGTTAACTGATTCATCACTTGACTGGCACTGGCTTTGTTTTCACTCTCGGATATATATATGTACTAGTATAGAACCTTCATGAAAAAGTAATTGCAACGAAATACGTTTTCACCCTTCTAGTCTCTTTTCTGGATAAGAAATGTGTTATTTTGCTTCTACTTCTATATTTTTTTATTTCAACATTGTATTTCATCTTTAGGCAAGATTGTTCGTAAACAGAAATTAACTCATATGAGTAATGGGAAGAAGATTGCGAGTACTCAAGTTGTATGCAAACATAAATACTGTGAAGATGCAAAATTATTTCCGTTAAATACTTGCACATGTTCATCCACCTGTGCACCAGAATGTAGCAGGTAACAATTGCGTGTAATAATAGTTATCTTAGTAGATATTCACTTTATTTCGTGATCAATGTAATATAGTATGAGACTTAGAAAAGTAATTATCTTTAGTATTCAATAAAACCTATGGCATAATGATTTATTTCAACTTTAATATACAGGAAAACTATCAGATAGATAAATGATGAGTTTCAAGGGTGCTTACGAATATTTTCATCTGAATTTAACTTCAATCGACAAGGGAAAGTAAATGCGCTAATAACAATAAGATTAAAAGTATTTGGAGATTCTTTAAAAAAATCAATACAATAAGATCTCAGTTCAAGATATAAAACAACCTTTTTATGTCAGGGGTATTTTAAATGCATTTAAATATAGGCCATGAACTTAAATAAAATCAATGAAAGACTCTATAACCAGAATTACATGATTAACACGATAAGGTATTGAGAAGACACATTTTAAAGCAGGTTTATTATTACATGGTAAAACAAAATTAGCCTACAAAAGTATAAATATCCAATAAGTCAGCCTTCCATCACAGCTTGCAATAAAATTTAAGTTGAATACACTACAGTTTACTAAACGAATCAAAATTACTTCCAGGATTACTCCAGCTTATTTCTTCTTATTTGGACTTCAAAATGATTTTCCATATAAAGTATTTTATTTCTGCAGCCTTGTAAATAATCCTTTTATTATTTTTTGTTAATTTAGCACATTGGCAACACGTCATTTGGAAGTGGATTTAAACAAATCAGTAAGAGTATCAATTTAAAATTGAATGAATTCTGAATACAAATCAAATTTATAAGATTTAGCTAAACATGCTAGAAAGAATGATAATAAACTGATCAAATAATTTATAGGAGCTCGTAGATGAAATCAACTCGTGGTTTAGACTGTAAACTCTATATTATCGAATAAAAGACAATTTGCAGTCTTCACTTTTTTATTAACAATCAGGTTGTGTCAAACTGATTGTAATCAAAACCATATAGAGTTGGTTTTTGTGCTTATAACTTTCTGGTTGCATAATTAGTTGTACTCAGAAGCAATAACATACATTGTAAGAGTTTACTAATCTATTTTACTGTTAACTCAGGCAATTGAATTAGTATACTCGGATAACCCCAAAATAAACGAAAATATATCACGTTCCTATGACGATACAAATCTGACTTCTCAGGAAATTGCTATTGCTGTATACTTTTTCTGCTACTTATTAACATCGAGTAAGTAGCCGTTAAATAAAAACCAAAAGACCATATTAGATGAAATATATCAAAGCAAAGAAAAAAGAGATAATGGTTATTATTAGATTAGAAGAAAAAGTAATAGAATCTTAAGAAATCTATTTGGTTTAAAATTGGTTTAAACCAACTCTTTTGTGTTATCAGAATGGGGGGGGGTTGTGTTTTATGTTAGTATTCATTCAATGAAAAAAGTTCAAAGCTAAAATTAATTTAATCTTTTTAATTTATACATTTTATAATATGATAGCAAATAATAGTTGTATTCTCTTTTTGGTAGGGAAACAATTTTATTAATGATAAAAATAAAATCTATAATTAGAGATGGTGTTTTGGACAATTGCTTATGTATAATTGGTGACCTATATCATATTTATTACAGAGATAATCAACTTCTTATTTAGAAGAAGAAGAAGCAATGATTAAAGCAAACTAGATAACAATGGATATAAAATAAACTGATTGGTCAAAACAAATTTCTGTACAAAATCTTTTAGGATTTTTAAAAAAATTATTTTAGGGAAGATCAGTGATTCCTATATACCTAAGATGTTTTGTTATTACTTTGCAATGAAAGTCTAAAATAACCGTCTAAGTAACATACCCAGCCCAAATGGTAACGAGAAAGATGGATATAAATTACACCATAAAAACATATTATGTTAGTTACCCGTTTAATAATTGTATACATCTCTTAGTTTTTGCAGCAACCTAATATTCATTTAGATACATGAAGTAATTAGATGAACAAAAATTAAAGTTTATCACTCGTATGATCAATAATTAGGCAGTCATTACTAGGCTTTGAAAAGATGTAAAATAAAGTTGGGTTAAATGCATCTTATTGAACCAGTTCCACAAATAAGAGTTACAGGATTGCTTAATCGAAAAACAAAAGTTTTATACTAATAAACTAGTTACTATTGTTGTATCTACTTACGCAAATTTCAGCGCGATATTTCCACACACTATGAATTACAATTGACGAGCAATTTTCCCAAATACTTTGTCACTTATTGACTAGCTACGTTTTTTCGATAGGATAGATAATGCAAGTTAAATAATTTATTTTACTTGATATCACAAATCGATTTCGGTTGAAAAATCACTGAAAACCAGGAAACACAAGAAAGCTCTTTCATGTCAGCATAAGACTTTTCAGGGTCTCACATTCACGATTACACTGATGATGCAGTTCAGGTCGGTTTAGCTAGAGAACGTTTAACTTTAGACAGGAAGGTAGGTATGAATGTTTATATACATATTTTTATAGCACACAGTATATTATGTATTTGCGTCACACTTTATTGGGTGACTTACAAAACGGCTTCTCTGTTTTACAGATACAACAAACGGGAGACAACGAAAATCACAATGCGAATAATAGTGTGCAGACGTCCATTTTTTCGGAAAACATTACACCTTTCAGCTTGACAGAGTGCCCATTATTGATGGACTTTTTTACGATTAAAAAAGAAACAACTAACTTCTTATCAAACCAGAAAGATTCTGCATGTGAATCAGATAATCTGTCTTCACTGAATGGTGAATTGTAGTGAGTTATGTTCATAAGTTCCACTAAAACGGACCATCTGTAATTGAACACCAATTTTTAGTAGTTTCTTAATATGGATATCTTTTAAAACAAACAGGTAAAGATTGGTCATCATAAAAATCATTTAATATTGTCGTCAAATAAGAATCACAAGTGGACAAGTGATTTGCTCGTAGACTGTTGTTTATTTTTAGGTTTTTACTCCTTGAAGTTTTAAACGATTTATTTTACAAAGTATCTCATTTATGTGCATAGTCAAAGGTTATTCATTTACTGATCATTTGTTGATATTGCAAGTTGAACATTAGTCTTTTTTTGGAAGAAATGAAGCTCAATCATTTCAGCTAAATCGTTTTTCAATAATTGTTATGACCCAGAAATATAGAACCATCAGTACCTTCAAACCCAAAATTAGGTATTATTTAAAGGATAGAAGGTTTATAACTACTACCTAGTTCATTTAGCTCATATGTTTGTAATCACAGATATACATTAATGATAAAAATGATTTAAACAAACTGAATTCTATAAGTTATCACTTTTAAACCTATATTTCTATCGTTTAATCAACCAAGTTGTTTCTGTCGCTTTTATGAAATGCACAGTGAATCAAAATTGATTCGCATTCTTCAATATATACACGAACTTATGGTTGAACTGATCATGGTCTAAAGTAGAGTGCTTTCAAATTCTCCCAAAAATAAGTAATCTCTATTAGGTAATGATTGAGTTGTTTGAATGATCAGTTATTCATACAAGGTCGCTAAAACCCTCCTATATCCATTTAGTATTGTTTGTTTGAATCTTCCCATCGATGTGTTAGGACTGCAACTGGTCAGTCTCTAATTGGCATATGTGCATACTGTGCGTATTGCCTCGATATAGCCTAAATCCACAAGCATGGTAAGCAAAAATGGATAGTGGCCAGCAGTGGAATCCGCGATGCGCGTTTCGTCCTATTTGGGACTCGTCAGCTGGATGTACCTGCATCACAGAGTTGATGTTCACTCTAGGACAAAACGCGCGTCCTGGATTCCACTGCTAGCCACTATCCATCTCTGCTTACCTCCTATATCAATTAATAACAAGAAACATTTAGATAAATGCTTAGAATGAATATTTGGTTTAACATCTATTACATTATATGAATAATATACATCATAATCAGTTTTCATGTTCATAATAAATGTTGATATATTGAAAAAAAGTATTAGTGGTTATGAAAATCTACTCAAATGTTGGATAATCTTCTCACTGTGATAATAGAATAGATGAAATATACTGAAGACGCTTGTATAACAATGTATATAATATAAAACAGATATTTTACACAAAATGAATTGTCATATGATGTTGTTGTAATTATGTCATAAGCATGAATGATTAGGGTACAGTATAAATTTCAATATGAGCATGAATAATTAACAAGATGTTTATAGATAGTAAAACAGTGTTAATATGATTTGCAATAGAAGAAAAGCAAAGCAAAACTGTGTATGTTCTCATCTGTTTTACATTTAGGATTGAAATAATTTAAGCATGAAATGAATAGGCAAATGTAAATGTTTAGCAGTTGAACTTTTTTTTAGAAAGAAGAATCAGAGAATGAAACCATCATCTATAAATAAATCTGGAGCTTAGTATACAAATTAAGATCATTTAACTTTATCAGACAAACTGTCATTCAATATTCTACAACCCAAAAGAAGATTTAAATAATAAATAGTTGTGAATTGACTACAGAAAGAAAAAAGAAGGACTATACTGACTAAATCCTGTTCCTTTGTATGATTTAATTAAGTACACTTACAAAGAAGTGATAGCGAATTTCACTATTTACCATCTTTCTAAATTTAAAATAAATCATTCAAAGATCTTTTAACAAATAATTATAAAACGGTCATGGAACTAACGGCATACCTTCCGTTTACTCATTCTTTTGTCGCTCAAATTAATATACAAAGACATGTTGGCCCCAAAATAATATCTACTTTTCTTCACAAGTAAAATAATTCATAAACAACTTAGAGTATGTTAGTTATTCAGTACATTTTGTCCGAGTGGTGAAATGTGAAACATTCAGTTCACTACAGACTGAATTACTTCTGTTGTAAATATTGTAGTATAAACTTATGAATTCAAGATTATCACCAATAGAAAAACTAAATTTACTATTATACATACAACATCGTAGTAGTTTTGTGAATACTCAAGGGAGGATCAATAACATATTCACTATTCACAATATGTATCCAGTAATCTGAAAATATGGGTTGGTAAAGTCGCTACAAAGTTATGCATAACATTGAAACCTGAGGAAGAATATTTAAAATATAGATAAGTGACGTCAGTAAAGTAGTTACTCTCGTTCAGTTATAAATAAATATAATAATAAATACTTCATAAGAAAGAAAAGCGATAAATCTGAAAAGGAACACTCCTTCATCGGGCAAGTCTTTGAGGGTGATCAAACAGCAAAGGTATTGATCATGGACAGAAAACAGAGTCAAATTGATTGATTCCTAGCAAAAACTGGTTTTCTGATAAGCTGCATGACTTTGAATAACATGAATAACCTACATAAAACAGTCACTTGTCTCGTTTAATGACGTTTACCAATAACAGATGTGTTTAAAAGGCATGGACATCTTAAAGATGTAAAGATGAGCACATGCGTATTGAAAGACCATTTGCGAGGAACCTTTATTTAAAATGAAGACTCAGTCCTCAAGGTTCTATTTCATGCAACTCGTTGGACACGAGACAAGAGAAAGACACATAATACGTTCAAAATAGACAATAAACACTACGACTTAGTACTAAGACACCATGATAATTACAAGGCTAAAATCCAAGTTGTATTCAAATAAGTTATGGATTAGCGTCCAGTTGCTTTGACAACAACATTTCTAACCAAATCATCACTACGATTCCTTTAGTCTCAGTCAAATTCTTCATACCATATTACAATGTTACCACCCAAATTATTCATAGAGCCTCAGAACTGTAACTTTGTCTTTTAAATAGTTTTACTATTTTCTGATAGCATCTCGGTTCCTAAAAATTTCAAGACTATGATCAGTTCAGACTAATTTAACTTGATAGTCTCTATGTAATTGAAGAGAAACCGGCGAAATATAATACATTCGTCATATTCTGCAAACATGTTCGTTCTGGTGGAAATCTTCATCACAACCTAACGATTGAAGACTTCGGTCACTGTAGAGTAGAAAGCACGGCATTTTTAAGCCTAAGAGTTCAAATTTTGTACGATTTTCACGTAACGCGATTCCTATACAATAACATAGATGATAATTATCTCGATATATTTTTGAGATGAATTTCCTGAAATGAGAAAATTCTTTCTTGCCGCAGTTTCGATGCAGAGGCTTCACACATTTATGTCATTGAATACTGGTCTGAATGGATGGGTAGTTTAATTCAGTCAGCAATATTGCTCTTTAGATCTAGACTCACCCATTTAATGTTATTCCACGTGACTGAAACCGGTTCTGTGTGAGGTAGGAGTGCAGTTGTCTTCTGATTCCTGCAATTATTCAATAATTATTGAGCACTTCTTGGTTTTTAATGATTCTGATGATGATGACAGATAGATAGATAGATAGATAGGGATCAAATCTATCCTTATGCTTTTCTGCCTTTATTGTTTTTGTTGATGGTTACTTGAAATCCACTAAATTGATAATAATCATATATATCTGTGTTTTTATATCAAAGCAATCAACATTTTCGACATATATTCTACATATAATTTCATAGTTTTCATTGTTTACTTTTACAGTCCTTTCAAAAACTCCCTTGAGTTCCTCAAACCACCATCCCATCAATCATTACCAAAAATTATTGATTATTCAACGTATACATCCGTCATGTGGGAAAATCTGATGAAGTTATTGAATCACTTGATAAATGAAGAACGTTTGTTTTGGCTAAACAAAAATACATTTAATAATTCAGAGATTGAGACGATTGATATTAAATCTTTACTCAATGATATTGATCGTTTTTATTCTGAAGAATTGCGCCTGCTATGGAAGCAAGTCTATGAAAGTTGGGTTCCTCGTGATTATCTACAATATTTTTCAGATGAAACAAGGTATTCGATTAAATGTTCTATATCTTTATCACTAATACAAAATATCTATCTTGGTGATACTATAATTAAAATAATCAATGTTATAATTACCATTATATATTATTTCATATAAATACTGATATTTACAGAACCATCGTAGATGGACACTTAGACGTAGTCTTTTTGCATACTTAGGTATAAAGTTAACGGTAAACTTTTCACGCATATTCATGCGTATTTCTCACATCAAATAATAAACCATGGCTGAACTCTAGCAATATCTGTGAGATGTCTTCACTTCAAATACAACAAATAATTTCAGAGGTTAATAATTAGCACCTGGTATTCAAACGATGGTATTTTGCACTTCAAATACTTACTTACTTACGCCTGTTACCCCTTGTGGAGGAGCATAGGCCGCTCACCAGCATTCTCCATCCAACTCTGTGCTGAGCCTTTCTTTCCAGTTCTTTCCAATTGCTATTCATCCTTTTCATATCGGCTTCTATTTCCCGGCGTAGTGTGTTCTTTGGCCTTCCTCTCTTCCGCTTCCCTCCCGGATTCCAAGTTAGGGATTGAGTCGTGATGCACATTGGTGATTTCCTTAATGTATGTCCGATCCACTTCCAACGTCTTTTCCTAATTTCCTCTTCAGCTGGAAGCTGGTTTGTCCTCTCCCATAAAACGCTGTTGCTGATAGTATCCGGCCAGTGGATGTTGAGTATTTTGCGTAGACAACTGTTTATAAATACTTGTACCTTCCTGATGATGGAGGCAGTAGTTCTCCATGTTTCATCTCGGTACAGCAGGACTGTCTTGACGTTCGTATTAAAGATTCTGACCTTGAAATTGGTTGAGAGTTGTTTTGAGTTCCATATGTTGTTCAATTGTAGAAATGCTGCCCTTGCTTTGCCAAACCTCACCTTTACATCTGCATCCGATCCTCCTTGTTTATCAACGATGCTCCCCAGGTACTTGAATGTTTCCACCTCTTCCAGAGTTTCGCCGTCAAGTGTGATTGGGTTGGTGTTCTCCGTGTTGCATTTGAGAATCTTGCTTTTTCCTTTGTGAATGTGGAGGCCTATCAAATACACTTTGATATTTTGAGATGTTATTCATATTGTAAAAATCCAGGGTGATTTAAAAGGAGATATTTAAACAGCTTTGCTGTTGAACATTTTTCCTTCACAAAACTCTAATAAGATACAAAGTATTATTTTGTTTGTGATTATTAACTCCTATCTACATGATCATTCATCGTGACGTCGATTAACAAAGGGAGAAAGTAACGCTGGTAGTTTAGTTTCAATAAAGATAATATTTACATTTTGCTCTGCCTATTAATACTTTATGTTATAAAATCTCATTTTTAGAAAAGTTTTTATCAATTTGAATCTTGTCATTGAAAAATTGTTATCATTTATCGAGAAAGGAAACTGTGATACATCATCAACACATTCGCATATAGGTTTCACTCATGAAGGTCATTTGGAAAATTTCGACGGCTTTAAAAGTTATTCAAAGAACTGTTTCACTAATCAAGAAAATCGTGATAAGAAGCGTCATTCCATGATTAGCAGCAGATTATCTCATTCATGTAGTTCATTAAATAAACTTCAAAATAATGAACAGCTATTTAATGGACAACACTTGGGATATAATGAAAATAAGATAAATTTTAAGCACATGAGAGAATTATTAAAACTGAGGTTAGTCTTTTTTATTTTATGTCTTTAAAACATACTGAATAAGTAGTCGTGTCACCATAGATCTACTCTTATTCAATAAGGGTACTAAGAATTACGATGGTATCTCTCAATGGCTTTAAAATATTCATTTTAGGATTGGTCGATAGCCATACAACATTTGTAAACTATGCTTAGCTAACCTATTAAACATAGCACTCACATAAATGAAGTGCCCAACCATTTTGGAGAAAATGAATGATTACCGCTTAACGGAATGTGACAATTTTCGAGATAATTTTACACAAAACTTGTTTCTACTAACAGAATATGTTGTGTTTATAAATGTGACTGAATACTACCGTTTAGAAATATGATGATGTCTCATTCGATTTGACAAAAAGGTGAAGTGATTAATATAACCAGTACGATGGTTTCCTCATGGGACAGATTTCCAAATCTTAGTCAAGCAAATTCCAAAAAACTATTAGTTACTTAATTGAGTATGTGAATAAATTGAATGAATCAAGCTAACAACCATGTGCAAAATATTTGAAGAAGTAGTACTACCACGAGCTACTCATCAGTTAAGAAATTAATAAGCGTAAAAATGGAAATCACAAAACAATAATTGTTTGCGTGTTTCGACTATAACTAGATGTTTTTTAACATATTTCAATAAAGAATATTGTGTCCAACGGGTTTTTGGTTTCTGAAATTTCAAAGTGTCTTACAATATTTCTTACTAGAATTCTTGGTGTCAATCAGGAATAATTGCTTCTTGAATGTTTTCTATGGGAACATATTCCAGATCTCTAGTCAGACATTTATAAGTACAACCTAGGTTTTTCTAATAAGAGTTTAGATAACGTGATGTAAGGGTTTCTGAATTTTTAGATAAAACGGATGTTTTTGGCTCTTTTATTGGTTTGTGTAGGGGAGGCATGGATAACGTTTAGTTAAAACCTATTATTATTAAAGTTCCTAATATTTTAATTTAACATAGTTTTCAAAGACATAAAATTTTGTATAATTTTATGTGTATAACTAGGCTCCCCTTTTACCTAATTATAAATATTGAGTGATATTAAACAATGTATACTGATGAAATGTGAACCAACTAATGATGCTGCTAATACTTTGACTTAAACCGATGTAGAAATATATGCATAAAATATCTCCTTTTGATTTTCTATTTTACATTATTGTTTTTAGTCATCAGCAGCTTTTAGAACAGATTTATCATGTGACCGAGATGGTTGGTGCTGCACTTGACACGGACATGGAGGACGCTATCAATGGAGTACATATCTCTGCCGTCAGCAGTCACAAAAACATCAATGATAATCAGACTAACAGTAGTATGAGCAATAAGTTAAAAACGAGTGGAATGCTTATAAATCCATCAAGTCCAGGTCTACAAGTTGTTGCTAAACTACTCAGTGCTATACTTGATTTAGAAACACGAATAGACACAATATGTGAAAACCAAATTATAGCAGAGAATTTAACAAACTCTGATATCACATTCGATTATGATCAATGTAGTAAAAAATATTTAAAATATACTCCATGCTTATCTTCTGATGAGACTACTTCATCGTCAGTTCAACAAGGATTAGAATTTCGGACAAAAGATCTGCAAAACCCTCAGTGTATAAAAGTGATTGAAGACATTTTAGAAAATGGAAGATATGAAAGAGAACAGGTCAGATCTCCTTCAGTCAATGATCATAAAAACAATTTCGGCTAAGAAAAATAAAGTGATTTAGATGAATTAGCTATTTTAATAGAATGTGAAAGAAATTTCTAAAACACCAGGGATAATTATCTAACGCTAACTAACCAATTTGCATTGTTACCGATACATTTAGCGACATTATAACCGAGTTTTCCTATCGCAAAACTTATGATGTATAGCTTATTTGTACCATAGAAAAAAATATATAGGACACTGCACTAAATTTTTTTGTCCAATTATAATAAAGGAATCTTAGAAAGTGTATTGTTGGATACAATTAATTTCTGTGGAAGTGTACCTGATTTTTTTGTTTTTCTTGTTCTTTTCATTGTAAATTTTATTCATTTAACTCTTCTCCATTAAATGCATCCATTCACTGAAATGATTCAGTTTATTTTACTTTACTAAATTGATGACATTTTTTAAAAAAAAATAAAATAAAATAAAAAAAAAGAATAAATTGGATAGAAAAACGAATTCATTGTATCCAATGAGAACGTTCCTTCACTAATAAAAATCTCGATAATCCCCAATTCATTATTACAGATTTTTTTGTTTGTTTGAAAATCATGAATAAGAATTTCTGTTGTGTTTTTTTATTGTTTTCGATTGATTAATATAAGTTAATTATTTTATTATGAAAGTTTATCTTTCATATCATACAATTAATGGTATTCATCTAATATGGCGATAATTATAATCGTATTAATAATAACAAAAATATTTTTGATAAATGAGATTTTTCAGTTATTATCAAATAAAAATGGATAGAAAAATCAAAATACCCATGAAATCAATCAGTTAACTGAACAAAATGATAATCATGGAAAAAAACGAACAAAACAAAAAAACGCATGGGGAACTAGTGGTGATTGTCAAGAAATCAGTTACTTTGAATATTCACTTTTGTGGAGCTCCATACGAAGGAAATGAAAAGTCACATTATTGGAAAAAAATGACTCTTATTTGATGAATAAACGTTTTTTGTAATTGTTTCTTTTTATGTTGAATAATTGATGAAGTCACTCACTGAATTAGAGACAAATATTATTACTTCTATAATGAGGCTATCATGAGAGGAGAACGTTTGATCATATATTATGCTCAACTTTCTTATATTTGTAAGTAGCTGTCAACTCGATGAGCATTCAACGAACAATGTGGTAATGCACTCTCAAAATAAATTAAGAATAATAAGCCTTTATAAAATAACAGCAATATGCAGTAAATATTTATTTATCATTGAAAGTTGTTTGTTTTAACAACGCAAAACAACTTATGTTTATTAGATTAAACTAATGATGGTCTGATTCTCTTAATCATCATTAATCATGATAGGCAATTTTTAAACTTATAAAGTTTCGGAATAATGTCCTAGTTTAAAAAATCAACTTTGGTGAGAAACTACAGTTATGTACATACCTCGTAACAATCTTCTAAATAGAAACGCTTAATGCATCAGCTGACTACTGTCAGATGTTTTTACAATTCCACAGTGGCAATCTAGATGAATGAGTCAAGGATACATATACACCGTTAGGTGAGTAAGTAAAATATTGCTAAAGTATACATATCATGATCATTAGATAACAAAATCGCCATAAAATAGGGTTCAAAATAATTATGAGATAAAATGAGCGCGATGTAAAAAGTTATATATATATATATATATAGCATTCAATCACGAAGAAATTTTCATCTTGAAACAAGTTTTGCCTTGGTTTTTTGCACGTTTTAGATGAGTCATTAATGAAATAATGTTTGAAAATTAGTAGTAATAAGTCAAACAATGAAATTGAAACTTCTTTTATTCCTGGTTATACAAGAATTATCAACAACTTTGATACAAATATACGTGAGTTGGTAAATTATCTCTAAATAACGTATGAGGATAACCTCATTCCTTTTTGTGTTCTTTTGTAATTTATGCCTAAACTTAACTTTCTATACAATCATACAACACATTAAAACATTTCTATTTTGTTAAAATTAACCTTCATCATCGTAAATCATACCCTTTTACTAACAATTAAGTGAATATTCAGAGTTTACTACTAATTGCTCTTCCTAAAATACTCCAAGAAAGCTTCATCTTAAGACTTTCATTATAAAATTATCTTCTTACTGTATATGAATAATATTTTTATTCTATCAAAAAAGAGAAAAATAGATATTATTCGGTCACATTTAAATTAAGAACATAAAAAATGGATAGCTAAATGGGTTAATGGAGTAAATTATTAGAATGTCACAGTTTTACTCCTTCTAAGTATATATATATACGTTTTCTTATCAAAGCAAATAGAAAAATGTAACTTAAAATAAAGAGTCTTTTTAAATTAATGTAAGAAAAGTGAACTCTGTAAGTCACATTTTATTTGTTGACTTAAAACAGATGATTTAGGGGGGAGTAGAGGTTAGAAACATTGAAAACCTAATATAAGTTTTACAATTAGATAAATAATTAAGAGAAGGCTTTATATGGAAATCTCCTGACTTGAATGATGAGAACACTGCAAGTATGGAATTATTTTAGATTCTAGCTTTTTGACAACTATTTAACTTAATAATTCACACCATGAAATGATAATTGGAAATACTCGTATGATAAAATCATTTATATGAAATGAATCTATCGCATTTTCAAATAAAAAGATTGTTATTTCAAAGGTGGAAACATATTTTCGACTACTATATAATCTGTAACTTCAGAAGTTGCCTTGTATTTTACTAACACTTACTTAATCTACCTACCAATATTGTGATGTAGCTCATGATTAAAACTGTGTAGTTAAGTTTATATTGCATTTCGAGTCCATGGATAAGCGGCGTCGCATTCCTACATAAACCTTTAGCCGTTGATGGCTACGTATTTCATTTTAGACATTACACTATCGACACAAACTTTGGTTTCATCAGAACTAGACAATATTTTTATTCTCAAAATGGTTTTCACACCAACACAGCGATAATGAAAGTTCTAATTCTTGAATCATTTGGGGGGAAACAGATTTTGGTTCGTTGTGGCCTACGAATCGACTTTCCTTACTTGCACTCTGTAGCTTGTAAAAATGATACTGATATTTTTCTAAGTATAAAACTTTTTACTGTCGATTGGGATAATAAAATAAAATATGGTTTGCTTACATTAGATAAAACTTAAAGCACAATTATCGACGGTGCATCATTCATATTAATTCATATATATCTGTGATGTCTGGTACTATTTCAAGCCTATATAGATTATTCTAGTTTCTTGATAGACCAATTTATTCCTTCTGCTCAAGCTACATATTGGTCTTGTCAATTATCTGCTTATTACGCTGTCTCTCTTTATATGTGAATGTATGTGCGTTATTCTAGACGTATGTGCGTTAATTGCTTACCCTATTCATTATGTGTCTGTAATTTATTTTCGTCTGAATATAAATATTAAGTCACACTCGATCAAAACGGAGTTGGCTGACGCGCCTTTACTATTGTGCGTCGTTTCATTTCGCTTCGCTCTTCCCCATTTGCTTAGTTTGCTTCGTTTCCCTGATTGCCTAATCATATCAACGAGTATACGAAATATATGTATTCAAACTTCATTCTCACATTTGACCTACTTTTATTCCGTTGTTCACTCACACTATTTAAGTCGATTATTGTATACGAGGATTGGCGGCATGTGTGTTACGATAACAGTCAGACTGGGGTCAGAGACAGGACCACAAAAGATCAAACCAAAAAGATAAAACATTATTATTGTCGGTTTTTAGACGCACGTATTGTTTTATTCCTAGTGTTATTACATCTAAAATGGAACTCAGAAAACATTTTTGGACAAATAATTAGCTATGACTTCTAGGGTGAAATCATCTGTTCGAAATTAAAGTTAGAGTGGAAAATCTTATTTATTGGTTTTTAATATCAAACAAATGAATCAACCGAATATGTGAAGGTACATTTTACGGCGAACCGACATCGACCTCAGAACTGAAAAAATACCTCGTACAAGTTTTCATAACTCAGCAGGCAGCACGTGCAACTTCATACAGGATTTAGACAAGCGCGTTTGTGAAAATTAGGATTTCCCATTGTTCTTATTAGAACAACATTGTTTACAATAACATCTTCATTAGGCTTTATTTATCCTGGTATATGAATATCCATATATAAAAACACCAAAACAGTCTAAGCGATTAGTGGTTTAGTGATTACAATCAAATAGATTACATAAATATTCGTAATAAATAGAAATTATGTATTGATAGTAAGATGACATGTGAATCTGTAGTGATCAAAACAATAACAATAATTATTATTATTGCAGCAGAGGAAGTACGTTGAAACTTTAAAAAAATCATGTGATAAAAAGTGTATGGATAATCATTTCAAATACTCAGGTAGTGAATAATAGATGTGAAAGAGATCGAAAGAAACAAAGGTTGATGTAAAAAAATAGTAAAATCGCCTATTTAATTTTTTCTAAACACAGAGTGGATAAAGTTATCGCAAGTCTTTTTGATTCAAAAACTACGGTTGCTAGTTGAGAAACTCATAGTCTCTCCTCAAGGTAAAAGGCGAGTTTGAACTCTATTAGGAAAACGTGGGGGCATAATATGAATCTCTTTGAATACTTTGGTTTTATCGAGCACATAACCACCATCTATCAAGTGTGATAGAAAAGTGCTGTGTATGGATTTTGTCTGTCCGTTTCTAATGAGAGATGCTCGCCAACCCACTGGCCTATTTAAATATTAGTGTGGCCAATATGACTTTCTCCACATGACTTGCTGAACTCATAAATACATATTTAGACAATAAGACCAGATAACATATTCTTCAATTTAGGAACTGGAAAGCGACAAATAAATATTATCTTCACATGAAGACTTTTTCACAGCCTTGCTCAGTCTATCGTACCAGGCATCACAAGTTATATTCCCGTTGAATTGTCGCTTCAGGAAGAAAAGTGTTTTCAAAAAGCCCTTAATCGTTGTAATATGTTTATTCCTGAGACTGTGAGTAACCTATTCCAATCAACAAATTATGCATAACGGTAATTCTTTTTTTATAGTGTCTTCTGAGCTCATTTTTCTAGCTCTGTTTGAAAGGCATTTAATTCAAATTGTATGGAAATGGATATGCGCAAAACTAAAGTAATAAGCATTACCAACCAAACAAAAGTTTCCTATACACACGCCCAGTGATAGACTCACCTTTCTATTAAAATGTTATTTATTGTTAAGTTTCTCTTCGCAAGCAAACATGATTGCCGAATGTGCGATGCCGATTTCCCCTTGTATTTTTTTTCTAATAATCTAATTGACGATAATTAATGTGACATTAGTACAGAGACAGTATAATTGAAATATGTTGATGAACTCCATGAGATGTTCGTTTTCTTATTTCGAAAAAAACCAAGTAAGATAGGTTCTA